GAAGATGGAAATCAGGAGACGGTGGGAAAGAAAGAGCTTGGGGTCTGGATGACAAGGCAGAAGCCCAGGACAGCACAGCTCTGATTACCTAGCTTTAGATTTCTTCCCTATGAGAGTAAATCCTCCATTTTATTCAAGACACTATTATTTTGGAGTTTTCTCTTAGGTTTACTCAAGTAAAATACCAATGGTTATAGACTATTGAATAACTTTCCTTTTAAAATATTGAAGATTGGACCTGGCATGGTAGCCTAGTGGCTAAAGTCCTTGCCTTGCACTCACTGGGATCCCATATATGGGCACCAGTTCTAATCCCGGCTGCCTCACTTCCCTTCCAACTTCCTGCTTGTGGCCTGGGAAAGCAGTCGAGGACAGACCCAAGCTTTGGGACCCTGCACCCGCATGGGAGACCCAGAGGAAGCTCCTGTCTTGTTGGCTTCGGATCGGTTCAGCTATGGCCATTGCAGTCACTTGGAGAGTGAGACAGTAGATGGAAGATCTTCCTCTGTATGTCTGACTTTCCAATAAAAAAAACCAAATTCTCAAACAATAAAATAAAATATTGAAGATTGAGGGTATATGCTTGGCCTAGTGGTTAAGATGCCAGTTGGGATACTTAGATTTCACATCACAGGGCCTGGGTTGGATGCTGCACTCCAGCTCCTGCTTCCTGTGGACACAGACCTTGGGAGACAGCAGTGCTGACTCAAGTATTTCTGTCCCTGCCACCCACATGGAAAGCCTGACTGGAATTCCTGATTGCTGCCTTCATCCTGTGGCCCTCTACTTGGCCATCGTGGGTATGTGGGATATGACCTAACACAAAGGAGTTTCCGCTCAAATTAAAAAATAAATAAAAGACAAATAGTATAAATAAATAAAATAATAAAATATTAAAGAGTGTATGAAAGCATATGTAAAAATAGGAATAATGAAAAATCTGCCACTTGCAGGTTACGGGGCAGCATTTGGGAGTCATCCTGTCGGTGTCTTGGTTGGAGTTCTAGAGAACCCAAGTCAGGCTATCCTGAAGCGAAGGTGATTTTATCCAAAGGACATCAGAGGTCACTGGATCGGCAGGAGGCTGGAGAAGCAGCAGCCTGGGAATGGACAAGAGTCTGAGCAACTGTGGCAGTCGGAGTTGGACACCTCCTCTAGCAGCAGGCACCTGCTCGGGTCACTGCCGCGGCTGCCAGCCCTTCTGTTCCTGTGGCCCTTGCTGCTGCTGTATGGGTGCGTGGGTGGCCTCTAACTCACTCAGGGTACTCACCCTTGCAACGGCCACTCCATATTCAATGTCTGGAATATACTATGTGAACTGGGGAATGGCGACTCTTAAGAAAAGCAGATTATGATGGGAAAATGGTAATTGTCCAAGCATTTGCCCTATTACCTGAAGGAGATGACGTGTCTCAGCCCCACTCTGCTTCTAATCTCTGGAGCTAATCTAAAATATTTTCTGTGCTTTAGTTCTGATCTCTTGGCTTTCTGTCCTTGTTTTCCCTTCTCCTTAAATATGCTTAAACAGGAAAGTTTAAGAACAGGATGGAAGAGATCCTCAACTTCAAGGTCTTTATTTCTTATATGAAATGTTGAGGTCTTTTATTCATTCCACATTAACTCTCAGCTTTTTTTAAAGTTTGTCCATGCCATTGTTCCTACCCCACCCTATCTTTATTGTTTCACAATTGGATGATTAAAATTGCCCTAAACTGTCTTCCCCAACACCAGTGATATTTCCTTCACCCCTTTTCCATGTCTACAAGATTGATCCTCCAGCTGCCCAATGCCAAGATTCTTCAGCCTATAACAGAGACTTTTTCTCTAACTCAAAGCCCCCGAGGCCTTGGCTAGCCTTGAGCACACCAGATAAGCGAGCTCACAGACTTTCTCCTGTAGCATGCTCTGAGTAAACAGCCTCTGGTACCCTCATTTCAAGAGATGAAATTGACGAGTGAGTATAGCTTGTCCTGGTACTTTCCTCACTAGGTGGGGTGGCAGCATGGAGTTTCTGGCAGGCAGTATCTTGGGTACCAAGTGGGGGAAGGCCTGTCTGAAAACAATAGCAACAGCGAACAAGCGAAGCAGGAGACAGACAGCAGAAGTAGAAGTTTCTGGGGCCTAGCATGGTGGCCTAGCCGCTAAAGTCCTCTCCTTGCATGCACCAGGATCCCATATAGGCAACAGTTCTAATCATGGTCGCTCTGCTTCCCATCCAGTTCCCTTCTGTGGCCTGGGAAAGCAGTTGAGGATGACCCAAGGCCTTGGGATCCTGCATGTGTGTGAGAGATCTAGAAGAGGCTTCTGGCTCCTGGCTTCGGATCAGCTCAGCTCCAGCCATTGTCGCTGCTTGGGGAATGAACCAGCAGGCGGGAGATCTTCCTCTCTGTCTCTCCTCTTCTCTGTACATATGACTTTCCAACAGAAAATAAATCTTAAAAAAAAAAAAAAGAAGTGGAAGTTCTGATATTATCCAAGATCTTGGCTCCACCTATGGTTGAAGTCAGCTGTATTTTCCAGGTGAATGAACCAATTAATTCCTTGTCTTGCATCTCAAATTTTGAGTTGTTTGCATCTTGCAAACTATAGTCCTGGTCAATAAGCTCTCTTGCTGATGCTCTGCCACCACCTAACACCAGGGGCCAGGCTTGCTTGTCTGTCTTTCTTTTCTTTCTTTCTTTCTGATTTTATTTATTTTTATTAGAAAGTCAGATATACAGAAAAGAGGAGAGACACAGAGGGAGATCTCTCTGTTGATTCACTCCCCAAGTGACTGCAACAGCCCGAGCTGAGCCAATCCAAAGCCAGGATCCAGGAGCTTTTTCCAGGTCTCTCATGCGGGTTTTGGGTCCCAAGGCTTTGGGCCGTCCTCGACTGCTTTTCCAGGCCACAGGCAGGGAGCTGGGTGGGAACACACAGGCAGGCTCGGCTCACACAGGAAAGCCGATTACATTCACACACCTTGAAGGAGCCATCACATCCCTGCAGGGTCGCCTGGGAAAGCAGCAAGGTAGTTGGGAGGCAGAAGGCGGGAGCGAGGGGACAGCACGCACCATAGCCTTGATGACGAAGGTTTGGAGGGGAAAGCAAGGCAGGGCAGGGTAGAGAAGCCAATTTAGAACAGGCCAGTTTGAATGACTTCTCCCAGGGCTCTAAATTAGAGGGGTGGTTCCCGTCTGGATTGAAGGCCAAGAATTGTTTAGGCAGCGCGATCTTGCCCCCTGGGGTATAGGAGCCAGACCGGGAAGTGACTGTGATGCTGTGTTTGCATATTAAAGCTTATGCTCCAGGCTGAGCCTTTGTTGTCTCCAAGGTGTGGCCAGCCCAGATGAAGAGTTAAGACTTCCAGGGTTTTGGGGGTACTAACAAGCTAACCATCTGCAACAGATAGCCTCAGATTTGGATGCTGGTTCACAGTCCTGGCTACTCCGGTCTGATCCAACTCACAGTTAATGGCTTAGGAAAGCAGCGGGGACAGCTCAATGCCTTAGACACCTGCACCCGGGTGGGAGACCCAGAAGAAGCTCCTGGCTCCTGGCTTCATCCTGGCTCTGCCCCAGTCATTGAGGCTGGGGAGTGATCCAGCACATGAGATAATTCTTTCACTGTCTCTCCCTCTCTGTAACTCTTTCAAGTAAAAAATAAACAAATACTTTAAAAAGATTGGGGCCCAGTGCAATAGCCTAGTGGATAAATCCTCATCCACCAGGATCCTATATGGGTGCTGATTCTAATCCTGGCTGCTCCACTTTCCTTCTAGCACCCTGCTTGTGGCCTGGGAAAGCAGTGGAGGATGAACCAAGGCCTTGGGATCCTGTGCCCGCTTGGGAGACCTGGAAGAAGCTCCTGGCTCCTAGCTTTAAATGGGCTCAGCTCTGGCCACAGCGGCCACGTGGGGAGTGAGCCGATGAATGGAAAATCTTTCTCTCTGTACCCCATCTTTCTGTAAATCTGCCTTTCCAAATTAAAAAAAAAAACTTAAAAATTTAATTTTCAAGACATCAGAACTATGCAGAAAATAAAAAATGTGTACAATGTCTCAAGCAACAATACTTTCCCTTTCTTAAGACAAAGTCTGCTTCCATATTTGCATAGTAAAAGAAGCCGTTTAAAGGATTCTGCAGAAGGCAGAATGTCTGTTCCTGGACAACTTTATCTCTGTTTATTCAGAGAAGCAGTTTCTGTGGTTTAAAAAAGGTAAGAGGAAGGGAAAAGCTCCTGTTTCCAGGACTGTGCCTTGGGGTCTCGGCCTTGCTCCCCGCGCCGGCTGTGTCTCAGCCGAACCCCTCGCTCTCCAGCTTTTAGAATTCTATGAATTCTAAATTCATCTTTTTGAATTCTGTGAAGATTGTCATTATAAGCATCATTAGTATTTTAAGTATTTTCATCACACGTGTGTTTTGGATAATAGGTTTTATTTTTAACAATCAGAAAAAAAAACAGCATTCTTTTACACATTTCTAGAATTACTACTTAGCAAATTTACATTTAAATTGACTTCACTATTTTGAAAAATAGCTTGAATCCTGTACCAAACACTTAGAAAAATCATGCTTTTTCACCCCAACAGTACATTCTCTAGTTTCCTCTTTATCTTCATAAGAGAATATGTATGAATCAAAATTTTAATTTTTTAAAAAGGATTTTCAGCTTGTCAGTAGTCCAATCATTTAGAATCTGGTTTAAGTTAGTGTTTTCTTATGTGCTGTCAGAGGTGAGCAGATAGCTTGCCGCTGTAGCTCAGGAGCTTCCCGGTGTGGTCCCAGGAGCGTCTCCCTGACCTCCCTCCTGAGGAAGGGCCTGGGGCTCTCCGGACGTCAGTGGAACTGCGCCCTGTAAAACTGCTCTGGGAAGTCAGAGGGAACATGGGCACGTGGAGTTTCTGATTCTCTATTTGCTTCGAGATGGAATCTGAAAAGCCCGAATGGGGGAATCAGGTACCTCTCCCCAGCTCATTTTAAAATGTGTGAGTGTCTATATATATTCATGGATATAGATATTCAAGTGTATATGTGTTTTATATACCACATGTTATTCAGAATATATTTATATATACATGCGATGGATCGTTATAAATCAGGAACTTTTTAAGATAAATTTAAGATTTAAATCTGTCTTGCTGACTTTCCTTTAAAAACCTATGAAAAAGCAAACTGTTATTTCAAGATGTGAAAATCGAGCCTGTCTCCTCATTTCTTCAGCTGCTAATAAGCACTGAGCAGCGATCTGCATCACTCCGCCACCTACTCCTTGGCATCCCCAATTCCTCCAGCAGTTATTGCGAAGGTGGCTTCGTTTTCAGGCATCTCAGGGCTAACAAAATACAAGGGAACAGAAGTTTATAAAAAGCTCCATTTCTATAAATACTACGTTCCTGTCACAGGCCTCATCCTCCCATCAGTCTGAGTCTCCAGAGACAGCTGAGGGTTGGAGCAGCTAAATGTAGACGCGCTCCCCAACTTGGAAACAGGCAGAGGGATAACTGGGTGTTTGTTCAGGGTGGTGTCAAGCGTTCCCTAGCAGATCCTGGGAGACTTATCTGGTCTTCCTTCTTCTTTTTTTTAAGCTTTCTTTTATTTTATTTTTAAAAAATATTTATTTATTTTTATTGCAAAGTCAGATATACAGAGAGGAGGAGAGACAGAGGAAGATCTTCTGTCTGCTGATTCTCTTCCCAAGTGACCGCAATGGCTGGAGCTGGGTCAATCCAAAGCCAGGTGCCCAGAGTCTCTTCCGGGTCTCCCACACAGGTGCAGGGTCCCAAGGCTTTGGGCCAATTTTGACTGCTTTCCCGGACCACAAAAAGGGAGCTGGATGGGAAGCAGGGCAGCCAGGATTAGAACTGGTCCCCGAATGGGATTCCGGGCACATTCAAGGCAAGGACTCTAGCCACTAGGCTACTGTACTTGGTCCAGCTTTCATTTACGTTTGAAAGGTAGACAGAAAGAGAGAATAGGCAGAGATCTCCCATCCACTAGCCATTCCCCCAAAACTCACAATACCCATGGCTGGACCAGGCTGCAAGCTGGGGGGTAGGGACTCCAGCTGGGCCTCCTCCACAAGCGCAAGACTTTTGCCTCCCAGGGTTTAATTCAGGAGTGGGGCTGGGATTGAAACCTAGGAATTCAGCTCTGATTTGGGGTTACCGTCTAGACAAGGTGACATAAGCTGTACAACTCATTGTCAATGGGATGGACACTTGGCACAAGTAAGATGCATTTTAGGGGGCTGAAGTTGTGGTGTAGTTAATAAAGCCTCCACTTGCAATGCCAGAAATCCATGTGAGTGCTGGTTTTTGTGCCAGCTGCTGCACTCCTGGTCCAGTGCCTTGCTAATGGCCTGGTAAAAGCAGAGGAAGATGGCCCCAGTGTTTGTTCTCCTGCTCCTGGCTTCATATTGGCTCAGCCCCAGCCACTGCAAGCCATCTGGGGAGTGAACCAGTGGATGGAAGTCCCTCTCTTTGTCTGACTTTCAAATAAACATTTTTTTTTTTTTAAAGAGATGCATTTAGGAACACTTGCATCCCATACAAGAGTGCCTGAACTCAAGTCCAACTCTGCTTCCAAGTTGAGCTTCCTGTTCCTGCACAGCCTGCAAGGCAGTCCTGATGGCTCACACGGTTGCCTCCCTGCCACTCTTGTAGGGGCCTCAGACTGAGTTCATGGCTCTTGGCTCTAGCCAGGCCCAGCTTCAGCTGCTGCAGGCATTTGGGAAGTAAAACAGCAAACAGAAGATTCTCTCATAACTAAAAATAAATAGAAAAATTATAAAAACCATGGAGCCAGTGTCATCACACAGAGAGTTATGCTACTGCCTGCAATGTCGGCCTCCCGTATGAGCTCCACTTTGAGTCTCGGCTCCTTTACTCGATCCAGTGCCTGGCTAATGCTTGTGGGAAAGCAGCAGATGGCCCAGGTACTTGGGTACCACCACCCACGTGGGAGACCCAGGTGCAGTTCAGGCGCCTAGTTGCAGCCTGGCTCAGTCCCTACCACTGTGGCCATTTGGGGAGTGAACCAGGAGGTGGAAGGTCTCTCTTTGTTTCTCTGTCTTTCCTTCTCTCTAATAGTCTGCATTTCAAATGAAGAAATAAATTTTGGAAAACATAGTTATTAATGGCATGAATATGAGCTCCAGGAGGGCAGGAAGTTATCTTTGTTTTGTTCATTGCTTTCTATCAGAAACTTACACAGCTGATAGAGAGCAGGTTTCTCTGTACAAATCTATTAAATTTATAGATTAGCCAACAACATATATGGACACATATACCCCTTTCCTTAAGCCTGCATTGCTTTGTTGCTTGCTTGCTTAGGACCAGTTTTAGATGCAGATAGGAAAAAATTCAGGCCTAGTGGAGAAGACACGTAATGCTGAGACTTGATCATTAAGACACAGTGGTATACTTATCATATAAATATCTGCAATTTGTACGTCAATTAGAAACCAATTTTTATAAAAATAAATTGACACTTGAATGGTAAATGGAGTTAATCAAGTGCAAAGAAGGGGATATATTCTCAAACACTGTGCTTCTGTATTTATGACCTCTAGTCTGAATGAAGGCTTCTCTAGGTAGGAGCACTGTGTGCCTTCAAAGGCTGGAGACCATGTGCAAGTGTCCACAGGGCCCTGAGTCCTGGCGTCTCACACAGTCGGGACTTCCCAATCAGCCGAAGGAGAGCCAATCAGGTAGCACTTGCCAGGAGAGTAATCACAACCTGTCAACAGATACCATTCTGTCCAATACCTTACCAACAAGAATCTGATGAGGAAAAGAAGAAAAGTTTACCTGTCGTAAATCTTGGCAATTCTCAGCTCCCCTCTTCCCTTCCGTAAGCTTATTCTTGTTGTAGAAGCATGAGCCAGAATGTGTCCCCCGATGGGTTTTTTGGGATCAGCCTGAAAGCTGGATGAATGAAACACAGCTTCAGGTTTCACGAAGTTGACTAAGCATAGCAATATTTTCAGTGGCAAGGTAAGCTTTCCATGGAGGGTGACAGTGGAAGAAGTAGATGCATATTCTACACAAGTTTCTTCATCAACTATGGGGACTGAAACTACTACACACTACAGTCACCACCTAGATAAGGCTCCACAAGCAGGGAGCTGGATGGGAAGCGAGGCAGCTGGGATTAGAACCAGCACCCATGTGGGACCCAGGAGGTTGCAAGGTGAGGACTTAAGCCATTAGGCTATGGTGCCGGGTCCCTATAATATTTTTTAAAGAGGAGATACCAAAGGATGGCCTGATTGAGTGGAGAGAAGTCCTAAGAGCTCTTCTCCTGTTTCTCCCAGACAACCTGACCTTGCTCAGAGTGCACGCTTAGTTTCATTGACTCTTGCACAAATCTTTTCTTGTACTCTTGAGTCTCCTTTCTAAGATTTATTTTTATTTATTTCAAAGGCTTCATTACAGAGAGAGAGATAGGGATTTCCATTCACTGATTCACTCTGTGAATGGCTAAAATGGCTACAATGGCCACACATAGGCAGCAGCTAAGCCCGGTCAAAGCCAGGGGCCTGGAGCAAGGAGCTTGCTCTCCCACATGGCTACAGAGGCCCAGGCACTTGGGCCTTCTCCCACTGTTTTTCCAGGTACATTAGCAGGGAGCTAGATAGGAAGTGGAACAGCTGAGACATAAACCAGGGGTCTAAACAGGATGCTGGCATTGCAGGTGGTGCTTAGTCCACTGTACTACCAAAACAGCAAAGGATGGTCCAAGTGTTTGGGCCTCTGACACCAACGTGGGAGACTCAAAAAAAAGCTCCCGACTTGTGACTTTGGGCTGGCCCAGTGCTGGCTGTTGCGGGCATCTGGGGCGTGAGCCAGCAGATTGAGGATCTCTTTTTCTCCCTCACAAATTAATACACCTTTTTAAAACAAACAAACATTTTTTCACGTAAGTTTAGGAGACTCATAACCTCTCTCAGATGTACCTGGGTGTTACTACTAGTAATAATTTTAACCAAAGACAGTCTTAACTGTGTGGCAGGCTTTTTTTTTTTTTCAAGAATTTATTCTATTGGAAAGTCAGACATACAGAGAAGAAGATACAGACAGAAAGATCTTTCATCTGTTGGTTCACTCCCCAAGTGGCCTCAACAGCCAGAGAGTTAAGGCAATCCAAAGCCAGGAGATTCTTCTGGGTCTCCCACACGGGTGCAGGATCCCAAGGTTTTGGGTCGTCCTCCAGTGCTTTCTCGGGTCATTAGCAGGGAGCTGGACGGGAAGTGGAATAGCCAGGACAGGAACCGGCGCCCATATGGGATCCTGGCATCTGCAAGGTGAGGACTTTAGCCACTAGGCTACTGTGCCAGGCCTGGCAGGCATTCTCTTAAGTAATCTTTATATGGATTATATAGTTAGTAAATAATTATGGATTAAAATTTGAATTGCCATAGAGACCTATATATATATTGATAAAATGCATTAGTTAGATTGATTTTAATAGCAATTTTGACACATAAAAATGCCCAATAAGTGGTAACTTATTATTAAGCTAGATAATTCTGCCAAAACAGTCATCCTCTCGAAGTTTCTTTGAACTTCCTGACTTCTAGCAGCTATAACAAAGTCTTGAGGTAAAGCACAAAAAGGTACCATCACATTCCAATCTTTAGAGGCCTTTAATTTATTTCTATTTCTGACCAAGTTAAAACAGCATTGTCAAGCCACCCACACCCCTCCTTCAGCCTATTCTCTTATTTTTCCTTCCTTTGCATCTTCTCATCCTCTCTCCTTTTCTCAGGAGACTGGGAAGTACAGAAAGGGGGAGGAAGACATGTGGGTGGATTTTAAGAATAAAGGACAGAGAAAGCTGATTTCACTTGTCCCTGTCTGCTTGGCCAGGAGATAACAGAAGGGAAGGCCCAGAAAGCCTGGGCTTCCTATTCCAGCTAGGGTGATGGGCTAATGAAGAACAGTTAGGGGCTGAGATGTGAAAGGCGCCTGTGAGACTCACAGATCAGTTTTGAAGTAAAACACACCTGGGTTCAAATCCTGATGCCCTTGGTTGTAAACTGTGTGGTGGCAGACACTAAATCCTTGGAGTCTCTTTTTCCACTTTTATAGTTTATATAATCATAGGACCTGTCTCAAAGACTGGTTGGAATGTGAAGCCTAAGGGCATGGCAAGCTGAACCTGGAATGACAGTGGTCCTTCCTGAGGCTTTGACTTATAAGCGATAAGCTTACAGATGTAATTTAAAAATATTTTATTTTATTTTTATTTGAAAGAGTTACAGAGAGAAGGAGAAGCACAAATCTTCTATCTGCTGCCACTATGCTGGGTGGAGATGGTCTTTAAAAAATGGTAGGTTTAAAAAGTTTTGCTAAGTAACACTTTATGTCTGTTCCAAAATATGCCAAAAACCCCTACACTTTTTTTTTTAACACTCTGCAAAGGGAATTCTGAGTTTCCTGAGGGCTGGGGAAGAATGCAGCCACATACAGAAGGCACAAGGCGCTAGAGGAGGCCGCTCCAGCAGGATCCCATGCGGAGAGTCTGAGATGACATATGGCAGTGCTTGGTGCATGCTAAGTAGGTGCTACGATTGCTCCGTTTTGGAGGGGAAGAAAACAAAAATCAAATAGTCGAGATGACTTGCACAAGGTCATGTGTTAGGGATGCTGGCTCAGTGTTTTTTTCTCTGCATGTAGTACTGTGTGCCAGTGATGCTGAACCAGTAGGTGGATATCCTTAGAAAATCAACTGACTGTACATTTACAAAATTGCAATTGCTCTATGAGGACTTTTTGTTTCAGGGAACAAACACATAAATTAAGTAAAAGGTTGTGGCTTACAATGACACAGCAGGCTAATCCTCTGCTCTGTGGTCCTGGTTCGGGTCCCAGCTGCTCCATTTCCCATCTAGCTCTCTGCTTCTGGCCTGGGAAAGCGACAGAGGATGACTCAGGCCCTTGGGCCCCTGCACCCACATGTCAGACCAGGAGAGTCCTGGCTTTGGATTGGCTCAGCTCTGGCCTTTGCAGCCATTTGGGGCATGAACCAGCAGATGAAAGATATCTCTCTCTCTCTTTCTCTCTGTCTTGCTCTCTGTAAAATCAACCTTTCAAGAGAAAATAAATCAACCTTTTAAAAACGTTTGTAGGAGGCAACAACACGTCTTAGTTGGTGCTTCTCTTATTTTTCCCCTAGCGTGGGTCTCTGCTGCTTTCACTTTGGATCTCCGGGGCCAGATTATCACGCTTTTGAACTCCCTCTGCGTACGCTGCATGTGGAAGCTCTGGCTCTGCTGCATCGTACAGCAGCTCCTGGCCTCTATAATTTTGTTCCTTTTTAATACGATGCGCCATCAAGTAGAATGCACAGGATATAAGCCTCAATTATTGTCAGTGCACTTGGGGACTCATCCCAATTATAGTGATATTCCTCTGACAGGCCCTAGGCAAGCTGCAGCTTGGCATTCCTCCACACTGAGAAACAAAGATGTTTTCTTTATGGGAGGTTCTCTAACAGCACTTGAAACCCCTTAGACGAAAACTGTCTTGATCTTTTTTTAAATCTAGATGTACAATTTTTGTGCTTTACATGAAGACATGTATTTAATTTGTATTGTTTTAATTTAATATCCCTTAGAATATTTTATTATAGCGAAGCTTGTTTCCTTATAGCTCAGCCAGGTGGAAGAGACAACGTGGCGAGGCCCACTTGCCCAGGGAATGTAGCTGCCTTTGTTGACACCTCTCGCACTCCGCCTGGCTCCCTTCATAACAAATCTACCTGCTCCAACCGTCTCCTTTCTGACATCTCTGTCCCTCTGTCCACTGTCTTAGGGGGGTTAGTTCAAAAGGATAGCACTCCTTTTGAAACTTTCTACAAATATCAGAAAAAAAGAACCCCTATTTGACCCAATTTCTGCTGATTTCCTTTGGCTTCTAACTCTGGAGTGACAGTTTTCACCTCTTCAACGTTCCCTCCCCACACCTGAAGAAAGAACATCGCTCTTTTATTTGAATGCAACCCACTTCCTCCCTCTGAGCCGATGAGTCATTTTTTTTCTTTTTAAATTGCGCCTTAAAAATCTTCCATTTCTCTTTGCTTTAAAAGGATTCTCTGTGTGAAGTGCTTTCTGTGCTGTGTATTAAGGTCACCCACTAAACAAGGGCTGCCGGCACTGCTCCAGGACTACCCCACAGACCACGTGTCTGGCACAGTGAGCTTGCTGGAACTAAATGGACATTATCTTTTCTTTAATGGAGACAAGGTTTTTCTTTCTTTCATTCACTAGTGAATTCCCAGAATCTTGGCCTAGATTTTCTTTCTTTTTTTTTTTTCTAGATGTATTTGGTTTTTTTTCAGACAGTCAGATATACAGAGTGGAGGAGAGACAGAGAGGAAGATCTTCCGTCCGCTGATTCACTTCCCAAGCAGCCACAATGGCCGGAGCTGAGCTGATCTGAAACCAGGTGCCAGGCGCCAGGAGCTTCTTTTGGGTCTCCCACACAGGTGCAGGGTCCCAAGGCCATAAGTAGGGAGCTGGATGGGAAGCAGGGCTGCTGGGATTAGAACCGGTGCCCATATGGGATCCTGGCACATGCAAGGTAAGGACTTAAGCCACTAGGCTATTGTGCCAGGTCCCTGGCCTAAATTTTCAACAACTATTTATTGAGTGAATAAATAAGTCATTTTCTCCTCAATCTTTTTATCTTAATACTACTGGAAATACCCAGAAAAACATTTTGAATGGGAGACAGAGTACTGCAGACAATGCAGGAATACTATTAGGGCTAAGTTTAGACAGCACTTAAAGAAAGAGTCATTTTATTACATCTTATATAATAGATAGTAGCATATCAAATATCTCTTAACTATGCATGTCACTGATTCATTTTACCTACCATTGTATAAGTGCGCAGGATTCAAGGTACACTTGGCATTGCAACCATCAGGGTGATATGATTTAATAAGTTATTTATCCAGGAATATTTAATAGATACTAAAATAAATGAATGAAAGGTATTGCAGCACAAGGTATTTGCACAGTCAAAATATTACTCTACAAATGATGTGATTACAAAAGGAAATTCTGTACTGCTCTTGCTGGTGCAAAAAGCCTGTGAGGACAGTCTTGATCACATGACCAGCTGCCATCATGAGCCTCCTGAGGTGACGGGCTGAGAAGATCATAGTATCAACGACACATGTCTCCTGCCCAAAAGTTTAACAGTACAAGACATTTGGCCTGCTCTCCAAGATGTTGGTGCCACATAATCTAACACAGGTTGAGAAACTGTTCTGATGGAAAGAGAACGAGATGCATGACAGCTGCATGGAAGGCACGATCTGCAACTGACCCTCATTTGAACAGAAAAACGCAACTCTACAGAGTGACATTATCAAGAAAACTGGAGCACTTGAACATAACTTTAGATTACATAGCACTATCATGCTGACACTAGATATCCTGAATGTGGTAATTGTATTGTGGTTATATAGGAATTTTTTTGTTATTTGAAGAGATTTGCTTAAGTACTAAGGGTAAAGTGTTATGACACTTGCAAATAATTATTAATGGTTCAGGAAAAGACAGACCTTTTAAATGGTTCACAACAAATACACATACATACTTTGTGTGTAGAGAGACAAGAGACCAAGATTTTATATGCACTAATGTGGGAAGAAAAAATGTGGTAAAATGTCAATAATTTATGAACTTAGGTGAGTGATGTATGTGCATTTATTGCGTTTCTCTTGCAACTTATTTTCTGGTTACAAACTTTTAGAGGCAGGTGTTTGGCCTACCAGTTAAGACACTGGTTGCCATGCTCAAGTTCATATTGGAGTGTCCAGGTTTGACTCCCAATTGCAGCATCCTGCAGATGCTGGCCATGGCAGACAGCAGTGGACAGCTCAGGCAGCTGCTCTCTGATCTCCACACGGACACTCAGACACTTGGCTTCAGTCCAGCTCAGCCCTGGGCATTATATATAGGCTTGTGGGGAGTGGAACCAGTGGGTGGGCCTCTGTCTCTCAAATAAAAGAAAAAATAAAGAAACTTTAAAGAATTTTGAAAAAATGTGAAAATTGTGATCATGAATTGATGGTTATTTTTGATGGTTTATTCAGATGCTTTTCACAGGGTTCACAAGTATTTACTTGCGTTCTCTTCCTTTGCTATTGCACTTTGGGCCTCCTTGTCTTTCTTTCACCTGGTGTCTTTGAAATAGAGCCTCAGTAGCAAAGGCATAAAGAGACCAACGCATTCCGTAAGCCTAGTGTGGACTAAAAGGCTCTTTCTTTAAACATCAGACTCCTCTCATTGTGTCTCCTTTAAAAATACCTTATGTATACACTGTAAAAAAACCTGTTTTTTTGTTTGTTTTGGGGATCACAGCTAGTCAGTACAATAGAAGACATTTATGAATTTGGAATGTAAGTTCTTATTTCCCTAACACTCTTATCACCTGGTAATAGCCTATTAACCCCTGAAAAGGGTTTATTCTTTTTTTTTTTTAAGATTTATTTAAGATTTTATTTATTTTTAAATCTTTTTAAAAAACAATTTTAAAAATTTTTATTGGAAAGGAAGATCAGATTTATGGAGAGAAGGAAAGACAGAAAGGTCTTTCATCCATTGGTTCACTCCCCAAATGGCCTCAAGAGCCAGAACTGAGCCAATCCAAAGCCAGGAGCTTCTTCCAGGTCTCCCACGTGGATGCAGGGTCCCAAGGCTTTGGGCCGTCCTCCACTGCTTTCCCAGGCCAGAAGCAGGGAGCTGGATGGGAAGTGGAGCAGCTGAGACATGAACTGGTGCCCATTTGGGGTCCTAGCGCTTGCAAGGTGAGAATTTAGCCAATTGAGCCATCATGCCAGGCTTGAAACTGCTTTAAAGAACCAGAGAAGGGCCCAGTGGCGGTGTGGCTTAGTGGCTAAAGTTCTCATCCTGAACGTGCCAGGATCCCATATGGGCACTGGTTCTAATCCTGGTGGTTCCTCTTCTCTTCCAGCTCCCTGCTTGTGTCCTGGGAAAGCAGTCGAGGACGGCCCAATGCTTTGGGACCCTGCACCCACATGGGAGACCTGGAGGAAGTTCCAGGCTCCTGGCTTCAGATCGGCAGCTCAGCACTGGTCGTTGCAATCACTTGGGGAGTGAATCATCGGACGGAAGATCTTCCTCTCTGTCTCTCCTTCTCTCCATATATCTGACTTTGCAATAAGAATAAATAAATCTTAAAAAAAAAAATAAAATAAAGAGCCAGAGGAAAAAGGCTCTAGAGAACATATAAGTGATGAACTTCAAGCTTTTCCATAAATTTTTGATGCTCTTTCACATTGTCATTCTGAATATGGACCGTGCCATCAACTTTTTAATATATTTGTGTATGCATCAAGACTAATTATTTTGAATTTTTAAATTTGCAAATCAATTTATTTATTGAGAGGTAGATAGAGTCTGGTTCATCTACTAAATGCCCACAAACAGGCAGGGTTGGGTCAGGTCACATCCAGGTCTCACACAGGAGGGGCGGGAGCCCGGTCCCTTGAATAATCACCTGCTGTGTCCTGGCAGGTGCAGCAGCTGGCAGATGGCATCAGGAACAGAGCTGGGACCAGACCCAGGCACTCCGATGTAGGACTTGGGTATCCCAAGCAGCAGCCCTGCCCTCTTCCAGTAACCATTGTAAAATACAAAAACAGAATATTGAGCTTACGTCATAGTTGCTCCTGGATCAGCAGTCATTTGATTGGTCACAAAAACAGCCACATTGTATTCTGTATCAAGAAATAAAATTAAGAAACTAAGAGAAGGGCAATACAAATATAAAACTTTGATTGTAGATTTTAGAACTTAGAGACATTGTACCATAAATTTATTTTAGAAACAACACCACATTTTTGTCACTGATAATAGAAGTCAATTTATTTAAGGTTACTATTAATTTTACTTAGGTCAGGATCAATATTTCTTGTTTAAAAAATACATGTGAATACCTTGAAGGTAATTTATTTTTTAAAGAAAGTATCGCTCCCCTCCAGTTCTGAATATCTGCAAAGTACAGCTAAAGCACTTGCAGCTGCTATTCCAACACAACCACTGGAGCTTTGAGATGTACCTTCTGAGATTTTTTGGAGCCTGGACAACATCTGGGCCAGTTTCTGCTGCCTCTCAGCCAACTCCCCACGACCACTGAAATCCACTCGAAAAAGTGCCATTATTGAATCAATTATCTGTACAAGGTTGATGGAAAAACAAATAAGCATTTGGAATCAGAAGGAAGGAATTAATTTGCATAGGAATCAACAGAACAGTAACATGTTAAGTAGCTCTGTTAGTGAGCATGTTTAGAAGCTTGTACCAGCAGCTTGAAGATGCCAGCCTCTTCATGGAACTTTGCAGCTACATAATCAAGTAGCTCCATCTGATGTTCACCTGGTAGGAAATGCAATAAGAAAATGTAAGGGTTCGAAGAAGCAAATCACTCCTGTCTGTGGGAGCCATGCAAAATAGAGGCCTGGGAGGGTTCTCTGAATTATTTATGACTATATTAAATGTGATAATTTTTCCAAAAAGAATGCTACTCTGTATTTCAGCGACAATGTAGAAGAAAAAAATTCAGGGCATTTTAATATCCAGGGATTTACCAGATGATAAAATGAGTGACTAAATTAATTTGGAGAAGAGTAAATTAAAAAGATAAAAGAATAATGTCAAGATATTTAGTATCGATCAAATCATAAACCAGTGTTTCCAATCTCATAATAACGTAGGTCTTCGGCTGCATGGGCCTTACTAGTGTATGCACGTGCATACAGCACATTGTCCAGTACTGCATCGTGGTCTACGTTGAAGCGGTCAGCAATGTCCCGAAGGCGATCTGGACGACTGGAGTAGCCAAGGTTAAGGATTCAATAAATCAAGTCCAAAAAACCTGAGATGACAGCTACAAAACACAATGCCTTAAGTAAGTAAATTAAAAGAAAGGTAAAACACTGTATCTGCAAAGATATTCCGAAGAATGCCAACCATTACTTAAAGTCTATGTTTTTCCTAAGTGCGTCAAGTTGCCGTAGGTGGTGATACCGTCACAGAATTGTGGGGTAGGCCCTGTAGTGCACTGGGCTAAGCGATCAGTTAGAATACTTGGATCGCATCCTAGTGTGCCTGGGGCCTAGTTCCAGCTCTGCTTCAGGGTCAGCTTCCTACTAATGTGCTAGGGAAGCAGCAGAGGATGGCCAAGGACTGGCAGGCCTGCTCTCCCTGAGGGAGACCTGGCTAGAACTTCCCCCGGCTTTGGCCTCCTCAGTCACTGCTGTTGTGGGCGTCTGAGGAGTGAATCAACAGATGAACGACCTCTATTTTTGTCTGTCCCTCACTCTGTCATTCAAATAAATAAAATTATCAGAGCAGTTTGGCATTCAGCCTAGCAGTTAAAGCAACACATTTCCCCTGGGTTTGATCCCCGGTTTTAGCTCCTGACTGGCTCTTCCTACAGTGCAAATCCTGGGAGACAGCAATGATGACTCAAGCATTAGGTTCCTCTTACCTGTGCAGACCTACACTGAACTCCCAGTTCTCCTATAGGCGATTCCAGTGAGCCAACAGATGGAATTGGTTTCTTTCTTACTCTCTCAAATAAATAAAAATCTTTAAAACGTTAATTATAAATTTTACAGTAATCTTAAAAGCTAGTTACTATGGCCTGTGTTACATATTATAAATGAAAACACTATAAAAAATAGATGTAGTCTAGAAAAATATCACTGAATTCAAGTCCCTTCAAAGTGAACTAATTCATCATACTTCTCTGTTCACTATGAAAGAGTTTAATGTACCATTAATTGTGTGCTGCCAACAAATCATGAAAATGACTACAGGAACTAAAGTGTCAATAACCTCAAGGGTACAGAAGGCGTTATCAACCCAAGGATTTGGGCTTATGTAGATTTTTAAAAATTATTATTTTTCTTTGAAAAGCAGAGTTACAGAGAGAAAGAGAGGTCTTTCATCCACTGGTTCACTATCCAAATAGATGCCATGGCTGTACTTGGGCTTATCTGAAATCAGGAGCTTCTTGCAAGTTTTCTATGTGTGCAGGGGCCAAAGGTTTTGGGCTGTCCTCCGCTGCCCTCCCAGGCCATTAGCAGGGAGCTGGATGGGAAGTGGAGCTGCCAGGACTCCAACCAGTGCCTGTGTGGAATGCCAGCACCCCAAAGGAGCTTATGTCATAGCAGTGGCCCCAGGCTTTAATATAGATTTTTATAAAGATTGATTTTTTTTTATTGGAAAGGTAGATTTACAAAAAGAAGGAGAGACACAGAGAAAGATGTTCCATCTGTTGGTTCACTTCCAAGTGGCCACAATGCCTGGAACTGAGCTGATCCAAAGCCAGGAGCCAGGAGCTTCTTCTGGGTCTCTCACATGGGTATAGGGTTCTAAGGCTTTGAGTCACCCTCGACTGCTTTCCTAGGCCACAAGCAGGGAGCTGGAAAGGAAGTGGAGTAGCTGGGATTGGAACCAGCACTTGTATGGGATCCAGTCGCATGCAAGGTGGGGACTTTAGCCACTAGGCTACTGTGCTGGGCCCTTTATATAGATTTTAAAGTCTATTCTCTTCTGGGGAGGGCCTTGTGGTGAGTGGGTTAAGCTACCACCTTCAAAGCTGGCATTCCATATGGACACTGGTCCGAATTCCAGCTGCTCTACTTCCCATCCAAGGTGGGGGAAAAGGAAGAAATCCCAAATGGATAGAAATACACCATGCAAATTTCTCTACTACCAGTCGAATTCAGTGTCAAGAGAGCATGTCTGGATGCTGTGGCATAGTGGATTAGGCTGTTATTTGGGATCCCTGAATCAAGTCTTGGCTTCCTAAGCAGCTTCCTGCTAATGTGCCTGGGAGCAGCAGATGGTGGCTCAAGTGCCTGAGTCCTTTCCCCACACTGGAGTTCCTGCCTTCTAACTGTTGCAGGCTCCTGGGGAATGAACCAATAGGTGGAAGATACCTCTTCTCTCTTTCTGTCTCTCTGTTACAATGCCTTGGATATATACAAACAAGCCAACAAGCAAATATATATATTTTTAAGTAGTGAGAACAAATTGAGGGTTTTTTAAACAGGGCTCAAAGTTTGCTGCCTAAATTACTTTTCTGAAAGAAGTACCGAGGTAGGTACTCCAGCAAAACAGAAAGTGGGAAAGATGTAGGATGCAAGAAGTCCACGTATGCAAAAAAAATGATAATTGCTGATGTTTTCAAATTCTAATGACAATGCCTGTTTAGGCATTGGGAGCAGATGAGAAAGACTCATCTCCTTCCTTCCAACAGCAACACCCTGAGTGAGTGATGAGGCTGGAGGGGCCTGGCTTGTGAATGTTGGGGGGCTTCCCTGTTATTAACCAGAGTTGCTTGTGAATCGCAGGATCCTCTGCCACTGCTGGTTTCTGTTTCCATTACCCATCACTTCCACTGCCTTCTCTTCCTGCTAATTTACCAGAGTGTCTATCCCCTCATCACAATGAACACGGTCCCCTGGACCCCTCATTTCCAACTTCCCAATCTGCACCTTCAGAATCCCCCCTTGCTCCAACAGCCCCGACACTCTTTATTCTCGCTACTCTCTCACTTGCTGATCTTCCTACTTTTACGGGGGGAAGGAGGGACTCATTTTAATCCTTTCACTAAATAAATACACATCTCAAATTTATGCTTTCAATTCTCGTCTCTTTTCTCTGAGTAAGTTCTCTTCTTGGTTAACTCATCTCTCCACTCCTCCATCCACTTCAAGCTGAGCCCAGTATTTCCAACCATCAGCCAAATATAGTTATACACACCAGCACCTCATATACAGCACATCAAAACACCACTTTTCTCTAAAACATGATCTTAATCCTGTCATTAACAGCATTATTATTTCAGCATCCAGACAAAAAACCTGTGAATGGTTTCTTTTTTTTTTTTAGATTTATTTTTATTATTTTTTTTATTGGAAAGGCGGATATACAGAGAGGAGAGACAGAGAGGAAGATCTTCCGTCCGATGATTCACTCCCCAAGTGAGCGCAACGGGCCGATACTATGCCGATCTGAAGCCAGGAGCCTCTTGCGGGTCTCCCACGCGGGTGCAGGTTCCCAAAGCCTTGGGCCGTCCTCGACTGCTTTCCTGGGCCACAGGCAGGGAGCTGGAAGGGAAGCGGGGCTGCCGGGATTAGAACCGGCACCCATATGGGATCCCGGGCGTGCAAGGCGAGGACCTTTAACCACTTGTGCCACCGAGCCGGGCCCTGAATGGTTTCTTAAATCTATTTTTCTCTTAAATCTCTTTTGTCTATCTAAATAATCATCAAGCCCTGTCAGTGTTGCTAATATTTTCCATTCTTGTCTTTTTATTCCTGTTATTCCCAACCTAGATCAAATGCCCCTAACTTGCTCACAATATTTTTAGAAGTGTCCAATTGGAACCAGCACTGTGGCTTGGTAGGGTGAGCCTCCACCTTTGGTGCTGGCATCCCTCATGAGCACCAGTTCGTGTCCCAGCTGCTCGACTTCCCATCCAGCTCCCTGTTATGGCCTGGAAAAGCAATGGAGATGGTTCAAGTCTTTAGGACCCTGGGATCCTGGCTTTGGATAGGCTTAGCTCCTGAAGGTAGATCTCTCTTTTCTTCTTTCTCTCTCTCTCTCTCTGTGTCTCCTCTCTGTAACAATGCCCTTCAAACAAATAAGTCTCTAAAAAACCCCCAATTTATGGGACTGGTGGCATGGCCTAGCAGCGTGGCCTAGTGGCTAAAGTCCTCGCCTTGAACGCGCCAGGATCCCATATGGGCGCCGGTTCTAATCCCAGCAGCCCCGCTTCCCATCCAGCTCCCTGCCTGTGGCCTGGGAATGCAGTCGAGGATGGTTCAAAGCCTTGGGACCCTGCAACCATGTGGGAGACCTGGAAGAAGTTCCTGGATCCTGGCTTTGGATCGGCATAGCATCGGCCATTGCGCTCACTTGGGGAATGAATCATCAGATGGAAGATCTTCCTCTCTGTATCTCCTCTTCTCTGTATATCTGACTTCCCAATAAATAAATAAATCTTAAAAAAAAAACACCCAATTTACACGCACCATCTGGTTTTTAAAGTCCTTCCTGTCTAGTGAAAATCACCCTCTAACCTTGTATTCTGCAATACTTTACTTTAAAAAAAAAAAAGATTTATTTGCTTTTATTATGCCAGGGCCGTCTCCCCATACCCCAGCCCCTACCAAATGGTATATTTCAAATTGTCTTTGAAAACATCACACTATTATATTAGCAACTTATTTAAACAAAAAGGTTACAAAGTATTTTCTGTATCAATGAAGATAATCTTTCCTCCTGGGTAGCCACTTGCTCCTGGAAGTTGAGCTGTCACTGGGGAGCAATTAAAAATTAATGTTAGTAAGGGTGAATAAATTTTATACAAAAAAAATATAGATAAATGTTGGGTTTTATGTTGATTGCAACTTTCTTTCCCTGATTTTGAAATTTACTATAAAACAAACAATAATCAAGATGTCTAGAAATAAGTGCATATATATAATAAAATAAGTATTTATTTTCAAGGTTGCAATTCTTCAGTAAATTTAGCAGAGAATCAGTCCTTCACTTTATAAATAATATGCTACATTTTCACATAACTAACTAGTGGTGAAATTATACAAATATCCTGTCAGCATAGTAGTAATTCAACAAAGAATTGCAGTATGTCTTGCAATTCAAGATGATGTTGATGAAAGATCTCCCAAATAGATAAAGAAGGAAAATAGTATTATTGCCCTCGTAAGAAATAATCACAAAGATAATTTCTGCTCTGGATGCATTTAAGTTACCTTTCAATTTATGTTTCTCAAGAAAAGTCAGTGCATTTATATCCTATGCAGCAGTCAATAGTAAGGAGTTACAGCATAACCGGTACATGTATTATTGCATATTTTTCTTTTTTTAAGATTTATTTTATTTTTATTGCAAAGTCAGATATACAGAGAGGAGGAGAGACAGAGAAGATCTGTCCGATGATTCACTCCCCAAGAGGCTGTGCCAATCCAAAGCCAGGAGCCTCTTCCAGGTCTCCCACGCGGGTGCAGGGTCCCAAGGCTTTGGGCCGTCCTCAACTGCTTTCCCAGGCCACAAGCAGGGAGTTGGATGGGAAGCGGGACAGTCGGGATTAGAACCGGTTCCCATATGGGATCTCGGAGCATGCAAGGCGAGGACTCTAGCCACTAGGCTACTGCATGGGGTCCTGTTTCATTTATTTTTCAAAATCACCCCGCGTCTTGGCATGAAGCTTCCTGGCACTTAGTGGAGAGGTGAAGCATTGTGCCCAGGCTCACACAGCTGTTAATGGCAGAGTTAGACTGGATCAAACATTCAGTTCTAGAATCTCTTCATATCCACTTTGCCAGGCTCAAAGAAATGCAATGTATTTATGAAAAAGGAGATCTTTTAAAATTTTTTCTTAGAAGCGTTTGTTTTTCAGTCTCTTTTAGGACCAACCTTGCTCCTTGGAAAGCAAAGGGCTGATGTTACGGCATAGTAGGTTAAGCTGCTGCCTGCAATTCTATATTGCTTTGTTTGAGTCCTGGCTGTTCCATTTCCAATCCAGCTCTCTGTTAGTGTGCCTGGGAAAGCAGCAGAATACAGCTGCAGTAGCTGGGCTCCTGTTTGCCCTGTGGGAGACTCAGATGAATCTGGGCTCCTGGCTTCAGCCTGGCCCATCAGCTGCAGTCATTTGGGAATGAACCAGCAGATGGAAGTCCTCTAACTCTACCATTCAATAAACAAATCTTAAAAAAGAAAAGCAGTAAAGGATTCTAAACCTCAATAGATTTTGTGTTGTTTTTATAAAAAACAGATATAGAAAATACGGAGTAGGAAAAATTGAGCCAATGGACACTTCTTACCAACACAATCAAATGTTCTTTTACTTTCTTATTTCCATAAAGTGCTTACAGGGCAGCACACGGTACCGCGCCTCAAGTGTCACACACTCAATGAGCTGTTGCAGTGTGTGTGTGGCCAAGGGCAGTCCTGTTAATCTCCTTGATCTTGTTTCCTTGCAAGTCTGACCAGGTGGCAGGGCACTACGCGCACAGCAGACACAGAGGGACTTTCAGAAGCTGCAGCCATGACGGGTACTGTGAGTGGTGGGGTTACATATCCTTACCACAGAGTGTATGAGACAGCTGAGTTTTCCCAGTACGAAATTCTGTAAGTTGAAGAAAAAAAAAATTAACAAAAACATAGCTGTCTTTTCAGATATTTTTCTACATCTTGGGGGAATCCCAGTACAGTACCTATAAAACTGTGTCACATAATGCAATGTAATTAATAATAAAAAAAATAGTCTATAAAAATGGCCTTAACTATTACTATTTTCTTTTCCAATTATCAAATGTCACTCACAAAACACCTCTTGTATCATAAATGGATTCCAAATGTATGAATACCAATAATTTGGAAGATTCTTTTTATAGTGTCCTTTTCCTCAGGCTGCGTTTAAAAGTAATTTAAATCAAATTTTCCTTAGGAATAGTCCCATCCATCATAGGAAGGCAGGCAGGCCTGGGGCTTTCCCTCTGAGCCGAGAGCTTCAATGGAAAGCCCCAATGGAGCAGCCTCTAACAGGCGCATCCCTTCGTACCAGCAGATGCCAAGGCTCCCTAGCAGAAGACTTGCCCATTCACCAGTTTAGGCCCAGTGAATGCTCATAGATTAAAAGCAAGTGTGGGGCCCAGCACAGTGGCCTAGCGGCTAAAGTCCTAGCCTTGAATGCACCAGGATCCCATATGGCCGCCGGTTCTAATCCCGGCAACCCTACTTTCCATCCAGCTCCCTGCTTGTGGCCTGGGAAAGCAGTGGAGGACGGCCCAAAGCCTTGGGACCCTGCACCCATGTGGGAGACCCGGGGGAAGCTCCAGCTGTTGCAGTCACTTGGGGAGTGAATCATCGAACAGCAGAGCTTCCTTTCTATCTCTCCTCCTCTCTATATATAGATATCTGACTTTGCAATAAAAATAAATCTTAAAAAAAAAAAAAAAGCAAGCATGGAGCATGGAAATGATACTGTGGTGCAGTGGGTTAAGCCACTGATGTCAGCTTCCTGTAACAGAAGGCCAGTTTACATACTGTCTGTTCCTCTTCTAATCTAGCTGCCTGCTACCACACCTGAAGAGCCGAGGATGATGGCCTAACTACTCAGGCCACTGCCACCACATGGCAGGCCTGGATGGAGGTCCAGGCTCCTGGCTTTGGATTGGCCCAGCCTTGACCACTGCAGCATTTGGGGAGTCAGTCAACAGATAAAAGGTATCTTTCCCTGTACTCTCCGATTTTCAAAACAAATAAATATTTGTAAAAATCAATCCACAACCTTACAAAAGCGAAGTCACTAACTCAGAATCAACAGAAACAGCAGACACCAGGACAACTCCCAGGTCAAAAGAGAAAAATAACAACAAAGGGATTTACCTCCTTAATGCCAGCACAGACTAAACTGCTAGATGTGGTATATAATAAAGCTATGCATAAAATTCATTTTTAAAAAACAGAGGCCATAGTTAGGGAAGAGAGTTAATTTCTTCATTCATGGAACATAAATTATCTTAAAAGTAAGGATCAACTACATCATCCAATTATCTTTTGGGGAAAAAAAATTCTAGTCTCCTGTGGGAGTCCGAGGTGAAGGGGTAGGACACCCCAGTGGAACCTCTCTGTGCTGCTGCGTATTTGCACTGCAGCCCAGACTGAGGCCATGGCTGCAATGACTGGGAATCATTCCAAGTTCCAAAATAGGTGCCAGTAGCATCACTGTTTGATTTGATTTATATTTAATTTCAGGCAACAAAATATTAAGGTGTGCCTACCTCCAAAAGCCTCTGTGATTGCCATGCTTTCGATTCCTCCTCCTAGCAACTTACTGGAAATAGAAAGAAAGCATTACCAACAGGAGCAGAAATGGAGATAGCAAGAAAGAAGAAAATATTCAATCATTAGTATCATATGTAACAGCAATTCTAGGCTGAACAAGTGGCTTTCCTCCTGCTCAGGTGACAAATTCTACTACGAATGAGCAGGTTGATCAACAGAACAACACGTGGGACTGTGTGTGGTGTGGCAGCTGGGTTAAGCCGCCATCTGCAATGCCAGCAGCCCTAATCGGCACTGGCTCATGTCCCAGTCATGTGGGAGACTCAGAGGGAGCTCCTGGCTGTAACTTTCAAAATAAATAAATAAAAGATGTTTGGGTATGAAGGAATATTTTACTTGTAGCAATGAGACAAATAAGTTCCATACAGAAAGTTACGAAAGTTGCTGGTACTAAAACGGAGTCACTTCTGGTACGCGCTAACAAAGCTGAGTCAGAGGAGGCCACAAAGAGGCCTTCACACAGGGCTTATCAGGGGACATTCCTGCAGGTAGATTAGTAAGAACTTCCCCAAGGTTGTGGTGCTCCAGATAAGCTGCTTGCCTAGAGACCGGCTGCCCCAGCCCACAACTGACACCCCTTCCTGCAACCTTTGGTCTTCGTGTCCTCTGGTTTCCGCTGGCACGGACTCTCTGCCTGTAAGCGTTTTCTTCTCTCTACCTCCGGCTACACCTTGTTGCCAGTCCTAACTGTATACTCCTCTGTAAGCCTAAGTACGCTCGCTTATTCCAGACAGCCTGTCTGATTTTCTTTTCAGGCTGACAAAATAAAATTCTTCTACTATGTAGATGCTACTTTAAATGTTCAAGGGAAGTTAATTAATCATATTACAAAAGTCCCTTTAAGGATTGCAAGATTGATGCATGGACTTAGAGGTTTAGGGAAACTGTATAACATTTTAATGAATCCAATATTAATTTAAAAATGTAAATAGCCCCTGAGTGATGTTTTCTGTGTCTGAAGGCGAACATCAAGTACCCAGAGTTCCTGGCGCTTGGCCTGAGCCTGACTTGGCCCCAGCTGTCGCAGGCAACTGATGAGTGAACCAGCCAATGGGAGGGCTCTCTCTCTCTCACCCTGCTTTACAAACAGAGTTAAAAAACAAATAAACAAAAAAGAGCTCTTGGCTAACAAAAATAAATCTTTCAAAAATAAAAGACAGGGCCCAGCGGCATGGCCTAGTGGCTAAAGTCCTCGCCTTGAACGCGCCAGGATCCCATATGGGCACCGGTTCTAATCCCGGCAGCTCCACTTCCCATCCAGCTGCCTGCTTGTGGCCTGGGAAAGCAGTTGAGGACAGCCCAAAGCCTTGGGACCCTGCACCCGCGTGGGAGACCCGGAAGAAGTTCCTGGCTCCTGGCTTCAGATCGGCATAGCATTGGCCGTTGCGCTCACTTGGGGAGTGAATCATCGGACGGAAGAACTTCCTCTCTGTCTCTCCTCCTCTCTGTATATCTGACTTTCTAATAAATAGATAAGTCTTTAAAAATAAATAAATGAATAAATATAACATGAGAAACAATGTTAAAATTGCTACTGCTCAAATACAAAAATGACATTAGGTCATTGCTTCTCAAATATTCCATCTAACAACTGATTTTTAAGTAAAACCTAAAAAAAAAAAAAAACCCACAAAGTTTCTTTTATCAAGGGAGAAGAAAAGGAAAAGTTAAACTGATTTGTTCATAGAGTAAAACAAGTTGATTCATGAGCTAGTTATGTTTTGGGTCTGAATTTCTTGTAAGAAATTGAATCCCGCCCAGTGCAGTGGCTAAAGTCCTCTCCTTGCATGCCCCGGGATCCCATATGGTCGCCGGTTCTAATCCCGGCAGCCCCGCTTCCCTTCCAGCTCCCTGCCTGTGGCCTGGGAAAGCAGTGGAGGACAGCCCAAAGCCTTGGGACCCTGCACCCACGTGGGAGACCCGGAAGAAGTTCCTGGATCCTGGCTTCAGATTGGCTCAGTCCGGCCACTGAGCTCACTTGGGGAGTGAATCATCGGACGGAAGATCTTCCTCTCTGTCTTTCCTCCTCTTTGTATATCCGCTTTTCAATTTTAAAAAAGTTGTGCGTAGTTTTCTTAAAGAAAAATTTTTTTGAATCCCATTCCTTCAGGCTAGAATGTGCTTTAGTTTGCACTTTTGGGAAAAAAAGAAAAACAACCTAACTACTTTGAAAGAAGAAGCTATTTCTAGTACTTATAGTAGAAGTAACAACCAGAGAGAGGAAGCGGAACATGATATTCCAAAGACTGCTTGGTGGCTATAAAAAAATGTGAGATACGCACTCAAATTCCTGGCTCCCCGTGGTGATGTGGAAAACCATCTTCCTCTTCTCACTGTATTCAAACGCCGTCAGGAAGCCTGGTTCCTGCAAAAAGATAAGGAGGCACGCGGAAAAGGTTTGTAAGACAGTCACATCCTCAATGATTATGGTCACGGTTTTGTATGAGTACGATTCTTTTGTCTTTTTCCTTAACTAAACATTTTGAAAATTTTACTTGAAAGACCGAGATCTTCCTGCTGCTGGTTCACTTCTCAAATGTTCCCCAGCTGGGTCTCTCCTGTGTGTGAGGGACCCACCCACTCGAGCCAGCACCTGCTGCCTGCTAGGATCTGATTGGGAGGAAGCTGAATTACTCAGTCATTCTGATATAGGATGCAGGTGCCCTGACCAGCACCATTTTTTTTTTCAAGAAAAATGTATTTATTTGAAAAGCTTAAGGATTGTGTGTGTGTGGTGGGGGAAGAGTGAATGGCACAGAGCTGCAGAGAGAGCTCTCACGTGCTGATGGGCAGGGTGAGGCCAGGCTGAAGCAGTGCTCCATCCGGATCTCCCGCGTAGGGAGCAGGGGGCAAGCACTAGCAGTGCTTTTCCAAGCACCTCGGCAGGAAGCCGAATCGGAAGTTGGAGAGCAGGATCCTGGCAGCCATGTGGGGATGCAGGTATAACGTGCAGGCTAACCTGCTGCATCCCACATCACAACACTGCCCTGCAGCCCGGCAGGCGTCTTAACTCCTTTGCCCAAGGTCCTTGGAGGAAGCACAACAGGCGTATGGCTAAGAACACAGGCTTTCAAGTCATCCCACAAATGTTTCAAATAATCTAACACTTTTTAATGATCTGACATGGAGTGAAACTGCTTATTTTTTTCCTCAGCTTCCTCTTTTGAGCTAAATGGAGATAATAGCAGTGTCTCTTTCACAGGATAGCTGTGAAGATTAAATGATACATTCACAGCATTAAGCAGAACAATATTTCACGACTGATTCAGTTTGTTTAACAGCAGCATTATTTTCCAGCTCTAGGAATTTCCAGGAGCACAGGAATTCCGGTTTTTACTGTTCATATAGCTAGTTTTTTCACCTGAGAGGTAACTTCTTTGCTGAATCGCTGAGCCACAGCTGACACAGTGGAGGAAGTAGTGAAAAAGAGCCCTGATGGAGTCTAAAGTGTTGCATGGTACTATCACAGCGGTTTTCACTTTGGACAGTTTGGGAGGGTGGCAGCAAGTCCGGGCCCTAGCCTACTTCACCAGCCATCTGTCCTCTCTTTACTATTCTTTAGGAACCAGTCTAGAAGATTCTGATATACACCAGTGTTTAAAATCACTGTCTAGTGAAGCCAACTTTTTTTCTCCCATTCTGTTTGTGAACATCAGTCAATCTTTGTCTTTCTTTAAGAGTAAACAGCTTGGACCCAGCACTATAGCCTAGTGGCTAAAGTCCTAATCTTGCACACCAGGATCCCATAGGGGCACCAGTTCTAATCCCAGTGGACTCACCCCATCCAGCTCCTGGCCTGTGGCCTGGGACCCTGAACCCAAGTGGGAGACCCAGAAGAGGCTCCTGGCTTTGGATCAGCACAGCTTTGGCTGCTGCAGCCGCTTGGGGAGTGAATCATCACATAGAAAATCTTCCTCTCTGTCTCTCCTTCTCTCTGTATATCTGACTTTGCAATAAAAATTAATCTTAAAAAAATAAGAATAAACAGCTTTAGAGAAGAAAGGATAAGTCTGGATGTAGTACTGGGTGCTATTTTGATTTAAAGATTTATTTAATTTTACTGGAAAGACAGACTTACAGAGAGAAGGAGATACAAAGAGAAATATCTTCTGTCTGCTGGATCACTCCTCAAGTGGCTACAACAGCCAGAGCTGAGCCCATCCAAAGCCAGAAGCCAGGAGCTTCTTCTGGGGCTCCCAAGTGGGCACAGGGTTCCAAGGCTTTGGGCCGTCCTCCACTGCTTACCCAGGCCACAAGCAGGGAGCTGGATAGGAAGCAAGGCCGCTGGGATTAGAACCGGTGACCATATGGGATCCTGGGGCATGCAAGGTGAGGACTTTAGCCACTAGGCTACCACGCCGGACTCCCAAGATTTATTTTTTAAACAAAAGAAAACTCATGTCTAGAAAGTATAAGGTACCAGTTTTCCAAACTCTGGGTATTGCTCTATGGATTCCGTAGGCACCTTGGCCGCTGTGGAATTGCCCTGTGGTTAGAGCCACTCGACTGGATTCAGAGGAGTTCACCTGAGTTCTCTTCAAGTACAAAACCACCTCTGCCTATATCCCTCTCTGCCTTGCCTGAGAAATGAAAGCAACTGGTTGTCAATGAAGAGCTCCTTGGACTTGCTGGAAAGAAGGCCCTCACACACACGTGGAGACATGAAGTTGATTCTTTTGCCAAGAGAGAGGCTTAGTGGCTTCCTCGTTTTGCACGTTCGTGTTGCCAGAGCTGGTACCTCTAGTGGTCCCCAAAAGCTCTACACAAAAGCATGAGTCAAAGGCAGCTACACTTTTGTGTCTCAGCATAGAAACCGCACGGGCGCCCGTACAGTTTCGTGGGCCCAGCTGGAAAGCAGTGGTGACGCTCAGCAGCCTCACAGAGCACAGTCCTGAGAAAAACACAAAGATAAGGAAGGTAGAAGAAAACAAAATGAAAAGGAGAGGAAAGACAAAGAGATAGAAGCCAGAGAAGTAACACAGAAAGAGACCAAAAAAGGTTTTGGTTAAAATAATTATCTTCATTCATGTTCTAGGTCTCTTAACCCCAAACTCTATCTTTCAGAAAGTGTCATAGTTTTGAAACTGCAGTGAGAAAAAGTTAACATGGGGAGAATATACTGGGAGCTACAGGAACCCAGCATTCGCTCAACAGCTTCTAGTGTTCTCATGAGAGGCTACAAAGACGCACAGGGTCGATTAAAGCTTGAGTGGCATGAATGGACTTTGCTTACGATCAGTTTGTTGGCTGCCTCTTTGATCTTGTCCACTTTGGCTTCGGAGAGCCCTTTGACATTGCACAGGGCTCTTCTGGTTGTCATCTGGATCCCCTTGATGGTACAGATTCCCACCGACTTGAGTTTTTTAATGTCAGCCACATTCTGCAAATAAAAGAATGGGCATAGAGGTTGGGAAGACGCCAGTCTGGAAGGCTCCCATACTATGTCATGTGCTTTCGTGTCCACCTCCCTCATCAGGATGCCAATTTTATACAAGCAACCAGGTGGAACCCACCCACCATGTAGCCAAATGTTCTGGAAATATCTAAGTTGAACATCCCCAGCAGGCTGCCAACTGTTCTGGCTGTGCCCTCATTTTCCAAAGAATGTTAGTGAGTCCATGCAATGGAACAAGGAATTCAAAAGAGAAGTCTGTTGGTAGAAAAACTAACAAATTTATCACACATTCACCCCCTCAGTTCAGTTCCTTTCTTCTACAGTATTTCACTTCCAAAGTGTACTTGTGAAAAAAAAAATTTTTTTTTCTCCTCTGGCCCCTGGAGAATGCAAATAACTACATCACCAAAGGACTAGGATTTTCTCTTGTTTCTATTTTCTAAAACCAACCAAAAGAGACTAAATGAGAGCTTCAAAAGAAAATATCAGCAGTTTTATTACCAACTGACTGCAGTTGAAATCCATCTAATTTTTTTTCTCAAAGTTCATTATCATTTAGTTAGTTGTTTGCCATACAGAGTTCTGCCAGGACACCTTCGAGGAAAGTCAGACATTTCCCACCTCCCCCCGCCTTTTTTTTTTTTAAATCTGAGAGGCCATTACAGAAAAAGATGGAGAGACAGAGTTCCTCAATCCATTAGTTCACTCCCTAAGTGGCTGCACCAGCCAAAGCTGGGCTAAGCCAAGCCAGGAGCCTGGGACTCCATTAAGGTCTCCTATGTGGGCAGTAGGGGCCCACGTTCTCGGGCTATCCTTTGCTGCTTCCTGAAGCACATTATCAGAGAGCTGGATTGAAATGGAGCAGCCAGAACTCAGACTGGCACACAGGCAGTGGCTTGACCTCGGCCCCCAGAGCTACATTTTCTGTTCATGAAAATAGCATGGAGGCTAGCGCCAAGACTCAACAGCCTAATCCTTCACAAATTAGGCTGCACCCCTGAAGGGCACCGGTTCTGTCCTGGCTGCTCCTCATTCCGTTTAGTTCTCTGCATGTGGCCCGGGAAAGCAGCAGAGGATGATCCAGGTGCTTGGGACCCTGCACCCACGAGGGAGACCCGGAAGAAGACCTGGCTCCTGGCTTCAGATTGGCTCAGCTCTGGCCACTGTGGCCATTTAGAGTGAACCAGAATGGAAGATCCCCTTTTTTATTCTCTCTCTCTCTTTTTTCTTTGTAAATCTGCCTTTCCAATAGAAATAAATCAATCTTAAAAAATTACAGATAAGGAATTGGGGAACAGTTACAGAAAGATCTGAGAACATCTACAATGGGATCAGTGGTTCTTCTTGTTCTGAAATCACACACTGTTTATTTATTCTTATTTTCCATTGTACAGTTATGGATCAGTGGTTTTTAACCAGGGCAGTTTTGCCCTCCAGTTCTCTAGATATTTTCAATATTTTAAAATAGTTTTATTTTAATATTAAAAATTTTTAATTTAAAAATATTTAATATATCTGTAGACATACTTTGGTTTTCGTAGCTGGAAGGATATTACTGGTATTTAGTGAGTGAATTGAGGGATATTGTTAACTGGCCTGGAACCAGGACAGCATCCCCACCCCCATCCCAACAAAGAATTATCCAGCCCCAGAGATTAAAAAAAATGCTGAGGGTCCGGCACAGTAGCCTAGCATATACTGGTCTCCCCTATCGTCTCTGGTTCTAATCCCAGCAGCCTCACTTCCCATCTGGCTCCCTGCTTGTGACCTGGGAAAACAATAGAGGATGGTCCAAAGCCTTGGAACCCTGTATTCGCAAGGGGGACCTGGAGGAGGCTCCTGGCTCCTGGCTTCAGATCTGTGCAGTTCTGGCCGTTGCAGCCACTTGGGGAGTGAATCAGTGGATGGAAGATCTTCACTGTCTCTCCTCTCTGTATATCTGACTTTCCAATAAAAATAAATCTTTTTTAAAAACATGCTGAACTGGATGATTTACACAGTATTGGCAAACTACTTACAATTCCATGTTTCTGTAACAGGTCAATGTCTTGAAACAAAGATTCCTAAAGGAGATAGAACAGGAAAAACAATTTGATTTTTCCATATCTATTTCAGGTATTTGAAAGAGTTCATTACAAACTAAAAGTTCCTCAAATTCCACTTCCCTATACAGGTAATAATAAGAATAATACTTTACCCACACTGTTACATACTTCAGGCCTGCAACCCTGATAGGCTGGGAAGCCAATGACCTCTGTCGGAGCCCCCCTCAAATGGTAAAACTGCTGCCCAAAGGGGTGGGCAATAATTGACTTGTTTTAAATGTTTTCTCAATTTTCTTGTTTTTTTTTTTCATTGCAAATAATGTTATTTTATATATCCTTTTCAATAATGTTATTTTATACATCCTTTTGTGGATAGGTTATTCTATAACTGCTGCCACAAGTTACTTCTGTATGTAAAAACAGAATCTTCCTGATTCATATAAACCCATCCATCAGGGAAGGTTGACCATGGAGACACAGTCTAACACCCACAGATGTTCTGCATGCAGACAGCTGTTTTGTCAATTTTCTCCCCCCACCTCCCTCCTCTAGGAGCAGGCTGCTACGTGGTACCACTGCACAGAGGTTGAGTATAGCCATATCAGTTGTTACTTAAATATTTTCTTAGCAGTTGCTAGGTAGCTAATCTTAGCGCCCATTCCCAACCAAGTGGTTATAAGCTTGTAATATGTTTTTTCAAATAGTAGCTAACCAAGAACCAACTTGACTTGTGAACGGTGACTTCATTCCCCTCATACCTCCTCATCTTGGAATCCTGGCTCGTCCAGTACAACCAGATCCTCCTTCATGGTGAGAGATGAGTAGCTGGAAAACAGTCAACCCTGAAAAAATAAGAAATACTGTTTACAGAGAGATTGGACAGCAGGAAAATTCCTTTGCCCAGAGGCCATTTGGTTTTCATTTCAAAGTCACTAAGGATCAGAGAAGGACAGTAAATGCAACATTTTGTTTGGAAAGACCAGACTGGCTTGTTTTTTCTGCTTGGCAACAGGCCATGTTTTTATTGAGTATGGCTGTGAAGAGCCGTGGGATAAGGCTTATTTGCTTTATTTTTCTCCTCCACACTGCTCAATTCTTTTTGATCATTTTTTGATTTCTGACTGATTAATTATGATAATGCAACATCTTTGCCTTTGCCTGGGAATATTAGAACTGCACACTGCTATTCAATTGTATTTATTTATTTATTTTTACTGCAAAATCAGACATACAGAGAGGAGGAGGAGAGACACAGAGGAAGATCTTGCGTCCAATGATTCACTCCCCAAGTGGCTACAACAGCCACAGCTGAGCCAATCGGAAGCCAGGAGCCTCTTCAGGGTCTCCCACATGGCAGGGTCCCAAGGCTTGGAGTCCTCTTGGATTGCTTTCCCAGGTCACAAACAGGGAGCTGGATGGGAAGTGAGGCCGCTGGGGTCAGAACCAGCAACCACTTGGGATCCCAGCGTGTGCAAGGCGAGGACTTTAGCCGCTAGGCTACTGTGCCAGGGCCCAATTGTATTTATTTTTCACGACACTCTAAAACCATGACTATGTCATTCTTCCTCAAACTTAATCCACCCTCCAGAGTGTATCTTTCTCATAAACGCCTTCTTGCTGTTTATGAAAGAGCACTCTGTTTTCATGGAACGTTAATTCATGCTTTGCCTCTTTGTAGTAACTAGTTTCATGATGTCTTTTTACAAGCATGGTGGCTAGAGCAAGTGTTTGGTACAGTGCTTCAAACGCCACCCGGGACACGTGCACTTGCTTCCCACATGGAACGCCCGTTCTGGGCTCCTTCACCTCCAATTCCGGGGGGCAAGAGGGAATATGGGAGACCCTGACTGGGCTCCCGGCTCTGGCCTGGCCTGGGCTTTTGGGTAGTGACCCCTTTCTCTTTGCCTCTCAGAAAAAGCAAAACAAAAACAAATAAAAAGAGGGACATCCATGAGAGGTCAGAAGCAGTTCAGCTAAGCAGTCTTTAACATGGTAGAGATTTCGTTCGAGTTTTCGAGAGCGCGGAGCAATGGGGCCGAAGCAGAGCGGCCGGGAGCCAGCGCCAGCACCTCAGGACAGCGGCGGCTTCGGCGCTTCCAGAACCCGGGCCTCAGCCACGGCAGCAGTGACTGACCTCATCGAAGGAAAAAACACACCGCACGCCTCCCCCGGCACCCGGAGATTATCCCTGAGCAGCCGGTCCCACAGCGGGGCTGCCCCGGGCGGGAACCAGGCCCGACACCCGCAGCCCTCTTCCACCCAAGCTTTTTCCTGACCCGAGTCCCCTTGTCAGCAGGCCAAGGCCTGCAAGATTCGACGTAACTCGGGGGCTGGAAGTCCCTGGAGATCAGGGATCCCGGGCTGGGCTTTTGGTCTCTCAGTCAGGGCGGCCAAGCTCCCTCCTCAAAGCAGCGGGGGGCGCGCGTTCCCTGACCCGGAGCTTCCCCCTCATCTGAGTCCTCACACAGTTCCGACCACTCGCTCCCCTCAGACCCACAGGGGGCCCCCCACTCGAGTTTTCCGTTCCTCTGACAGGATTCTGACTCCGACCTAGAACGTTGAGGCTGGACGCCAAACGACGACTCACACCGCGGGGCGCGGGCCGAGGGGCGGGGCGCGGAGGGGGCGGGGCGCGGGCCGAGGGGCGGGCCCCGAGACGGGGTAGAGCGAGGGGGCGGGGCTGTGACCGAGGGGCGGGGCGAGGGGCGGGGCGGGGCACAACCCTCCCGGATGTGCCACGCCCAGGGGAGCGGTTGGGGAAGGTGAGGAGAAAGCTGGGGCTGACAGCAAGGAGAAGATTCCGAGGGAGGATCTGGAGGCAGGGAAGGAGAGCTGGGCGAAAAGTGGCTCACTTTCAGGTGCCCATCTTCTTACCTGTGGGAGCTTTAATTTTTCCCCCTGTCCATTTCATGCTTTGAAACTCTGGTTCATGCTTCGTTCTCACCTAGCTCAGTGTCCGCACTTTGTCTAGTCTGGGACGCTCTTAACACTTGCCTCGCTCTCCGTCTGTGACCGACACGCTTCCCATTCAGGATGGAGAGGAATTTTTTTTCTCCTAACTTGAAGTTTTAAATAGACTACAGTCGCCCAAAGCAGATCGGTTCGGCTTTGAGCGTGAGGCCAGCCTCTCCTCATTCTCCTCCCCTTGCGTGGAGCCTTTCAGCTGAGGGTCACGACACGTTCGCCCCTTGGAAGAAGCTCTCAGCATACACTAGGGACTTGGGGGGTTCCACACCTAGTATAGGATCTGAATCATTTTTATTGGAATAAGTAGCAGAACATTCTTGAAGCTGTTGGTATTTTGTAGCGCTCCTCGCATCGCCAGGGAACTATCTAGAGAGCCAGCCAGTTACTAAGATAGTTCTTCAAAATCTAGTGTTTTCTAGAATATTCTGTCCTTGTTCCATGGAAATAAGCGCCATTTGGAGGAAGTGCCACTGGGCAGCAAGGACAGGTTTTCAGTCAGTCCATCCTACAATAATTACAGCGACTTCGGAGCCACTTGTTGGATGGGGATTCGCCAGGGTACAGAAGAGCTGCAAAGAGCACAGCAAGCTGATTTCGGGAACTGTAACATATGTAGTTTGGTGTAGTGACAGCTGGGGAAGAGAAGTGTTCATAATATTTGAGGGTGTTGTGTGCAGCACATTTAGGGAAAGAAGCTGAAATGAAATTGGGAATGACAAACCACGAAGTGAGGGGGGCATTCTGGTTGCAATGTTACAGCCATGGGTATATCTGTGTCTTACGGGTGCTTGTATGCAACTTTATATGTGACATATCAGTGTCATATGGATGGCTATCTACAACTCCAAAAATGTCTTAAAACCACAACAAACCCCCCAGGGAGTCAGAAAGTGCACAGGAAAAGTTTTCTATTCAAACAAGGAGGAAAAAGGTGTCTTTCATATCATGCAAAAAATTTGAATATGATGAAGGTGGCATTTCAAGTCAGCGGGAAATTGATGAGCACACTGAAGTTAGAACTCCTAGGTGGCCATCTGGAAGGAAAATATAATTAGGGCCATCTTTCACACCTTATACCAAAATATATTCCAGATGGATCCAAAAATTAAACATGAACAACATGTAAAAATACCAAAAGAAAACATGGGACAATTTATTAACATTCCAGAATAAGAAAAAGTGTTTTTAAATACCACACAAAACTCCAAAGCCATAAAAAGACTGAAATTGTCTACTATACACACACACACACACACACAAACATATACACACATATATATCCCATGTCATAAAATACTGTTCATCTTGTAGGCGACAGAGACCAGAGCAAGCCCGATTGTGTCAGTTAGGGACCAGGTAATTCTCATAGAGTCTATCAAAGTTTTCAAGTCCTTCAGAGAGTCCACAGTTTTTCTATAAGAATTTTTATAGCTTCTGTTGTCATTTTCTGATATTCTAAGGTATTCAAAACAAACAATGGGTTTGTAGTCAAGACCTGGATTTTAAACACGACCCGTTACTGCCCCTCTGTGGACAGCCACCTTACAGCCAAATTTGAATAGACCCTACTCTGCCCAAACAGCCTCCTAGTGCACATATTTGAGAAACGCTTTTGCACAGAATTGAAGAATGAAGACTCTGCCATTTATTCACATTCCAAAGGCAAAAAAAAAAAAAAAACAACTTAGACGCACTTCCCTTGCTCTCTGGAGACACCGGCTAACATTCCAGGGTTGTAAAAGTCCAGGGACTCTTTATTGCCCTCCCTGGAGATGTTAACCTGTTGGTTGAGACGCCTGCATCCCAAATCAGTGTCAACTTGAGTCCCATGTCCAGCTCCTGGTCCCAACTTCCTGATAGTGCAGACTCCGAGAGGCAGTGCCAATGACTCAAGAGTTTGTATCCCTGATTATTGGCTTCCACCCCTTGCTTCGGCCTCAACCTGCCCATGGCAAGCATTGCAGGCACTTGGGGAGTGCACCAATGGAAGAGAACTCTTTTCTCTATCAAATACATTTTGAAAATTTAATAAAGAGATTAGATTTGCAACTGGGGACCAACTAGAGTGTCACAAGAATGGTGGCCCTTCGTGGTGTATGATGGGAAAAGCAGAGGGAACACAGAGGCTGTTTGGATGCTGCATGTGGTTCTTCTGGCGTGCTAGGACCAGCAAGAAAGGCACTCTGAATCCAAGAGGGAGAGGCTGAAGGAACACACCTGTTGGATGCTTGATGATACTGAGGGCCAACCTATTGCACTTGCCATGAACCAGAAACGGTGCTGAGGTCTTTGCTTGCAAAAATGCATCCACTCCTCACAAAGACCCATGAGGTGGGGACTGTCATGAGCCTCATTCACACGTGACAATGCTGAGATGTCACCAGTTTCCATAACTTACCCAGGCTCCCAGTCTGGCTCCAGGGGCGCTGAGTGGCAGGTCCCAAATAGTCAGTTGTGACTTTATTTCCACTCATATGCATATTCTATGAGCATATATAGGAGTGGTAACCAAGTCAGATTCAAGCAATAAACTTTGGTCTTAGGGGAAATAATTTAACCTGTGTCTTGGTTTTCTCATCTGAAAACCAAGAATAATAATGATACTGAGTTGCTGTGAAAATGAAATGAGCTAGCACACATGGACTGTTTGGTTTGTGGGGTGTAGAGTGGATTGAATGGGCAAAAGAGAGGGTGGAGAATCTTAGGAGAACCATGGAGTCCACTCAAGAATAATGGCTGTGTTAACCAATAAGTGCCTCAATTTGAGTGCTGCATATAGCTATGGTGGAAAGACAATGAAAAATTGTGTGAAGTATATATACTTGAAAGTATTATAGCAAATGCCTTTATAAAGATAGTTCTGGTGTTTTTGAAAGGCAGAGTGATATAGAGTGAGTAAGAGATTCCATTTGCTGGCTCCCTCCCAAATGCTTGCAACAAGGTAGACCAGGCTGAAGTGAGGAAGCAGGCTCTCCTTGTGGGTCTCCCAGGTGGGTGTGGCCAGGGCCCGAGCACTCAGAGGTCATTATCTTCTGCCTCCAAGGTGCAATAGCAGGAAGGTGGACCGAAAGTGGGGTAGCGAGGACTTTAGCTGGCACTCTGATATGAGATGTAGGTTTCTCAAGTGGTAACTTAACCCAAAATGCCACAATGCTTACTCCATAATTATTTTAAATCACAGATAATTTCAAGTATGCGCAAAAGTAAAGAGGCAGAATATCCCCATCACTCAGCATTAAAGTTTGGTCCAGCCAGGGTTCAGATAATACCCACATGCTCCAATCTATTAAAAGGTTTTGCCTCCACGTTCCTTGGGCAACTGAGGTTTTTTTTTTTGATTTTGGTTTTGGTTTTTCTTTGAGATACAGAGTCATGTGTACACACAGAGAGCTCATCTTCGGGTTCCCTCACCAGATGTTGACCACAACCAGGGCAATGCAGAGCCAGGCCCAGCTGTGGGCTGAGAACTGAACCCAGGCTCCTCTGAAAGTGGTAGGGACCGTTGGGCACTTCGACCCACTACTGATGCCTCCCAGGGTCCCCATAAGCAGGACAGTGAAACTGAAAGCAGAGTTAGGACTCAAACTTAGGTACTTATTGTTTAAAAGATTTATTTATTTATGCATTCATTTATTTATTTAACAGAGTGACAGGCAGAGAGCGAAAGACAGATTTTCTACTCTCTGGTTCACTCCTCCACATGCCTGTAAGGGCTGGGTCTAGTCTAGGACCAAGCCTGGAGCCCAGAACTCCATCTGGATCTCCCACGAGGGTGGCATAGCTGATGGCTCATCCTCTGCTGCCATCTCAGGTGCATTATCAGGGAACTGGATCAGTGCTCCAATTTAGGGTGCTGGCATCACAAACAGCAGTTTAACTCACCATGCCATCATCCAGGATCCACAAACTGTGGTACTTTCATGTGGAGGTGGGCTTAGCCTCTAGGCCAAACACCTGTCCCAACAATTTGCTTCTCAATATGATACTCATCTTGGATTTCATAATCAACTCAAAAGGAAGACTGGGGTTTGAACTCAATCACATCAGGCTTAACTCCTGAATTCCCCCCTTTTGCATGCAGAGAACACTAATCCTCAACAACACTGGGAATGCCAATACCAGAGTCAGAAGATCATAGAAGATCATGCAGTTACTCTTTTTTTTTTTTTTAATCTCACGCTACAGTGAATACTACTTTCCTGCGATGACCTACCCTGGTCCCCTTATAATGGGTATCATTTTTCCCTCCTAATATCTACAAACAGCAAGGCCAAGCCTTCTCATCTTTAACTTCCCAAGCGTCCTATGTTTCGGAGTTCTCAGTTGTTTCTGGAAGGCTCCTGGACCCCACAGCTGTGTCCTGAGAGGAGACAATGTACTTCCCCAGGCCACGGAAAGGGTTTTGTTTTTGTTTTTGTTTTTTTAGCCAACAGTGGAGGCACAGACATTATAACCCACTTGGTAACTGCAACCATAACAGGGGTATGCAAGGCTGCCAGAGCATGCAGAGAGGTTCCTGGGGGCAGCCTTGCTGATGGTGGATCAGGCCAGGCTTTCTAGGGAAGGAGTGCCTGGAGCGGGATCCTGTAGGAGCAGTGGGAGTTGGTCATGTTGGGAGCTCCCGAGGAGGAGGGGTGGGAAGGGACTTTCAAGTACAGAGGCAGTAACATGCATAGGTACAGAGGGGGCAAAGAGAATGCAACGTTGCAGCCTGCAGAGTATGGTTCCTCACGGGAGCAGAGCTAAGAGCTGGTGGCGGCTGGGGTAGGACACGGAAGGCTGGCAGGTGTTCCAATGACCTGCACTGCCTGGTGCCTTGCACTGGCACAAGGGTGAAGGAAAGAGAGAATACAATACAACAATAACAGCTGGGACAAGTCCCGAAGAAAATCGGCCTAAGCCATCTGACTGAACCATCACAGCATCGCCTCCTGGGCTGGCCAGCCCCTGTTCCCTTCTCAAGGTCAGGCTCAGCACAGGGTGGCCACACAGCTGGCTACTGGGACTGAGGTGATTCACAGATGACAGATTATGGGATTTCAGGCCTGCATTTTGTCATGCCAAAGCCTCAGTTCTTCCCCAGGCCCCTTCCTCCCCACCCCTTGTCGGGGAATACTCTCCATGAGGGTCACCAAGAGTTGCACAAAGGGTTCGATGAAAGATGCCGCCAGGCCCAAGAATCTGTTGCTTTGACTAAACAGTCCTCTGCATCCTTTCCTGCCTCCTGGCTAGGCCAGCTTGGCGCCCTCATGCCCTGAGGCCCAGAGGCAGGCCCTTCTGCAGGGCTCCCTGCCCACTGGCTGTGCCTGCCTTGGTTTCTCTCAGAAACTCTTGGGGGACATGAACGCACTCACTGGCTTACATGCCCTTCTTCCAGATCATGAGCCTCTTTTGAAGCTGAGGGGTTGCACCTCTGCTCCGTGTCCATAGGCCCTCGTGTGCGGGCAGGGCAGTGAACAGACAAGCCCAGGAATGCTTACTGCATCGCTCAGAGCCCCAGTGCCCCAGAGAGAGACGGAAGTAACATGGCATGGGGGTGGGCTGTCTGAGATCACGTCCAAAGTGGGCTTAGCAGAGCAGGAGGTGCCCAGCGAGCACTCAACAAAGGATGTCTCTCAGGCTCACCAGCATTAGCTCATATGAAATTATGGATCCCACTGTGTGTGATTATTGTTCATTAGACAGAAGTAGGGATGGGCATCTGAGACACCTGCATCCCTTAGCACAGAATCTGAATTCAAGTTCACGTTCTGTTCCCTGCAAATGTATTCACCTGGGCAGGGAAGCAGCCCTGATGGCACATAGTACTTGGGTCCCTGCCACCTACATGGCGGACCCAGACCAAGTTCCTAGTTTCCCACAGGGATCAGGTTCGACCCTGGGCTATTTGGGTCATTTTGGGTAGCAGATGGTAGCTGTCTGGCTCTTAAATAAGGTTTTTTTTTTTTTTTTTTTTTTTTTTTACCAACGGCAGGAGTGAACTTTAATGTTCTAGAGGTTCCCGAGCTGAGGCTGTGTTACTGTTTCTATCACAGATGGATGACACCTGTAGTTGGCTTGCCATGCGGAGCTCCTTCTAGCCTTGGGACACGGTGTCACTCGTTTGAGCTGGAGGGCGAGAGGCTGAGGATGGGTGGCCCCGGACTCGGACTCGGCGTGGCTCTGGACTTCGTGATGAGCTCAGCCTCCCTGCGAGTGAACAGAAACACCCACAGATGTCTAAACCGGCACAGCTGAGAGCCATGTAGGGGTGCCGGGGCTATGGAGATGGCTCAGAGGGAAGTGTTGGGAAGCTGGCCGCCATGGCCTGTATAACATCTGAGTGCCTGAGGGCAGGAGGATGGAAGGGGGGCAGTTACACACCCCTGGGAGAGGAGGGAGAACAACTCTGGCCAGAAGGTGAGGAAAAACAAAAGCAAGAAAATGGAAACATTCAAACACACTAACAAATTTAGTTCCAAGGAAGGTAAGAATGTTAATATAAAAAATAGGAGTTGGCACTGTGGAATAGCAAGTTAAGTCACTGCATGCTGAATCCCACATGGCACCAATTCAAGTCCTGTCTGCTCTACTTCTAGTCCAGCTCCCTGCTGATACACCTGGGAAAGAAGCATAAGATGGTCCAAGTGCTTGGGTCCCTGTAAACCATACAGGAGACCATGAATTAAGCTCTTGGCTTTGGGCTGGCCCAACCCTGACCACTGTGGCCATTTGGAGAGTGAACCACTGAATGAAAATTTCTTTCTTTAAAAGTCGTCACCTTGAACGTGCCCAGAATCTCATATGGGCGCTGGTTCTAATCCCGGCAGCCCCGTTTCCCATCCAGCTCCCTGCTAGTGGCCTGGGAAAGCAGCCGAGGACGGCCCAAAGCTTTGGGACCCTGCACCCGCGTGGGAGAACCAGAAGAGGTTCCTGGCTCCTGGCTTTGGATCGCCACAGCATCGGCCATTGTGCTCACTTGGGGAGTGAATCATCGGACAGGAGATCTTCCTCTCTGTCTCTCCTCCTCTCTGTATATCTGACTTTGTAATGAAAATAAAATATTTAAAAAAAAAAAAAAGCCTAGTCATTGCTGCAGTGCCCCAAGCACCCAACTCCCCACTCCTGCTTTTGCAGGGAGAACTACAACAGGACCACTCCTCCGACGGGGTGTTCGGTGACTTCCGCCACTCAGCCCTTGGGCGTGATCTCTCTTCCCACCTGCTCTCAGAAATGTCCCAGGTCCTGTTGGGGCTCTCCTTCTTCCAGGGAATGGAGCTCATTGGGGTGGTATAGTGAGAGGGGAGAAGGCTTAGTCTCTGTTTTTCCGCTCTTTCCTCCTCTTTCTTGTCCTTCCTGTGGGGGAAAAACAAGAGACAGCAGCATGACTGCATTCAGAGATCCAGTGTGGATTCCTCAGAGCTTTCCCTGGAATCCTCTCACCGGCTCCCAGGTGCCCACGTCCCTGCTGCCCGAGGTCTCTGTCTGCACAGACCTTATAAGAAACACTGTTTCCATGTGCTGACTTCCTCCGGACTTCTTTTCTGGCCGTTCCTCAGCCAAGGACGAAGGTGGGATGAACCTGTGGTCAGCCTTCTTTTTCTCGGCTGCTCTTTTATTCATAGTCTTTACATCCCTGGAGGAGAGAAAGGACAATGACACTTGGTTAGAGCAAGACCAGAGGCCCTGGAGAACCCAGGGACCTGCAGGGGAGACCTGCAAGAAGCTCCTGGTTCCTGGCTTTGGTGGCTCAGCTCCTGCCGTTGTGGCCACTTGGGAAGTGAATTCGTGGACAGATCTTCCTCTCTGTGTATCTGACTTTCCAATAAAAATAAACAAATCTTTTTTTAAAAAGTTATAATACAGAGGTGGGCATTTGGCCCAGTGGCAAAGATGCTACTGGGAATGCGCACAGCCTATAGGAGACCCTGGCTCTGTCCCCAGCTTCGGCTTGGGAGGCGATGGTGATGGTTCCCACAGCTGGTTCCCTGCAGTGGGTTTAGGGCTCCAATCTGGCTCAGCTGCGGGTGTTGCAGGCAGCCGGAGACTGAGCTGGAGACTCCTCTCTATTTCCAAGACATAATTTGCAAACGCAAGCTCCCTTAGGTACCTCAAGAAGTTCTCCCGCAGTTCCCGCAGGTAATTGTTGAAGTAATTCCATTCGCTCCAGTGAAGCCGGGTCAGCTGGCGGAAGTTGTCCTTTCGCTTCTGCATGTTGTTCAGCGTCAGGGCGATGAGCTCCGCATAGGTCAAGGTGGAGTCTGTGGTTCTGGCCGTCAAGGAGAACGCCCCTCCTGGACTGGACTGTGTGAGCTGCACTGTCAGTGACCTTGAGCCTAGGGCACTGGCACTAGGGGCTTGAGATGGCAGAAAAGGGTGCAGCTCCTATGTTTATGGACAAGGCCTGGGCAGTCTGAGCTGGTAAGGACTCCTGGGGTCTGACAGTTCGCCCCTGCCCACCCCTGGGGTCTAGAGCAGTTTGCTGGCCCTGTGGGTGGGAAGGCGGGAATAAGGAAATGCTTCGGCATCAGGTGTCACCCAGAAGTCCTACTCTGCTGGCCTGGTGGTAAACGGGAAGAGGTTCCCATGCCCCTCCAGCCTCCACCTGGCCCAGGGCCTCCATCTCAAGATTGCAGGTTGACAAAGATTCTCTGCACCACCCTTCTCTTCCTGATTGGACGAGATCTCAGCATCACTCACTACCACCTGTGTGACCTCCACGCGTCCATCCTCCCCATCCGTACAACAGGCAGAATGACCCCTACATTGGATGCTGTAATGGCAGTTATTTAGAACCGGCTGTATACCACTGGTTCGTAACACTGTTAGGTTGGCATTAACTGCCCTTACGTAGTGAGGAATAGGTTAAGGCATTGAGTTTGGAGGTGAAGCTGTGCACCCATCGGAGATCTCAAGACTGCAGTTGTAACTGTGTCCCAGAGCCAGATTCCTCCCATTCATGAGACTGGCGCTAGGACTGCACCTAGGCTGAGCTCACCAACAGGCTCCTAGCAGCAGGCACCCCAGTGGGCACTGGCTTTGTACACTATGTGGAAGCCTGGACACCTCTGGCCAGCTCTGGCTTCCCGTGATGAAGAATTGGGCTTGTTTGGGCCGGGAGCACTGGAACCATCCAAGCACCGCAGGCAGTGACAAGGATATGGGACGGCCTTGGTCTGCTCCTTCCGGGCCACCAGCACGTCCATGCCATACTGCGACAGAACGCAGTAGTTCTGCAGGAAGTACACGATCAGGGGGCTCTTCCCGTAGATGTTGAAGAGGTTTGATGTCAGTGGAGGATTCCGGCCGGCGGGGCAGGACTGGAGAGGGAGAATGCAAGGAAGCGATAAGGGGTGCTGCAGCTTTCTCAGTGAGCAGTAAGAACTGAAGGGATGGGGTGGTGCAGGGGGTTAGACTGCTGTTGGCAATGCTGTCATCCCGTACTGGAGTGCCAGAGCCAGTCTTGGCTGCTCCAGTTCCGATCCAGCTCCCTAATAAAGGGTCTGAGAAGATAGTATATGATGGCCCAAGAGTGTGGGCCTCTGTAAGCCATATGGGGGGCCTGAATGGAGTTCCTGGCTCCTGGCTTCAGTCTAGCCCAACCATGGTCATTGCAGCCATTTGGGGAGTAAATCAACAGATGTAAGGTCTGACTTTTTCAAATAAATAAATATTTAATTATTTTTTGTGAAAGATTTATCTTATTTAGTTGAAAGGTAGAGGGATAGAGAGAATGGGAGAATCAGAGATGGATGAGAGAGAAACAGATCTTCCAGCTACTGGTTCATCTTACAGATAACTTCAATGGCTAAAAGGCTCCAAGTCAAAGCCAGGAGCCCAGAACTCTGTCCGGGTCCTCAGTTCTTTACTTTTGCTTTTTTCTTTTTTACTCTATATTTTAAAGATTATTATTGTTATTATTTTTACTTGAAAGGCAGACTTTATATCTAGAAAAGGAGAGAAAGATCTTCCATCCACTGATTCACTCCCCAGTTGGCCACAATGGCCAGAATTGAGCCCATCTGAAACCAGGAGCCAGGAGCTTCTTTCGGGTATCCCACGCGGGTGCAGGGTCCCAAGGCTTTGGGCCATGCTCTACTGCTTTCCCAGGCCACAAGCAGGGAGCTGGATGGGAAGTGGAGCTGCCAGGATTAGAACTGGCGCCCATATGGGATCCCAGGGTGTTCAAGGCGAGGACTTCAGCCGCTAGGCCATGCCGCGGGGCCCTCCCTTTCCTTCCTTTTTACAAAAGTTTTGCAGCCCACATTGTAGCTCAGTGTGTTAATGCCAAGGACTGTGACGTCTGAAGCCCACACAGGAACGCCAATTGGAGAGCTGGCTGCTCCACTTCCAATCCAGCTCCTCCTTGCTACGCACTTGGGAAAGCAGCGGATGCTGCCTAAGGGCTTGGATGCTCGCTACCCGCATGGGATGGAGACACAGCTCCTGGCTCCTAGCTTTGTCCCGCACAGTCCTGACTGATCTGGCCATCTGGAGAGTGAACCGGCACATGGAAGATCTCTGTCTTACCCCCTCCGTCACTCTACATTTTTAATAAATAAAGCTTTTTAAAAAATTAACAAAAAATTAGCAAATAATTGAGTCACTCAACAACTGCAGGACCATGACGTGACAAGGAATGAGAACACGGCTGGGCCAGGTAAGCATGAGTGGTAGGAAGGAGAGCTGTTTCCGGGGGTATAATCAGGGAAGGCTGCTTGAGGGAGGTGAGATTCTGGCTGAGGAGGGAGGACGCTGTGAACGTGGATGGTCCAGGGCAGAGAGGACCCGAGGCAGGCAGGAGATGGGTGAGGCTGAGGGACAGAGGCAAGGCAAGGCAAGACCTGTGGGGTTCAAGCAGAAGCTGGGAAGCAGAGAGCAGAGGAGGAGGTTGCTGGGGCGGCAAAGGTTTGTGGGCTAGCGCTGCTTTCTAAATGTGAGAGGAGCCACAGGAGAGTCTCCACTGAACACAGCACAATTTGGATCTATTAAAAAAATTGCTTGGGGGCTGACACGGTGGCCTATCTGGCTAATCCTTCATGTACGGTGCTGCGATCGCATATGGGTGCTGGTTTGTGTCCCAGCTGTTCCACTTCCGAACCATTTGGCCTGGGAAAGCAGCACAGGATGGCCCACTGCCTTGGAACCCTGCACCCAACACTGGAGACCCAGAACTTCCTGGCTTCTGGCTTCAGAATGGCTCAGCTCTGGCCGTTGCGGCCATTTGGGGAGTGAACCAGCAGGTGGATGATATTCCCTCTCCTTCTCTCTCTCTCTCTTTCTCTCTCTCTGTAATGCTGAATTTCAAGTAAAGTACGTAAATCTTTAAGAAAAAATTCTTTGATGGACGTATGGGGAAATGATTGACAGGTAAGAACGGACAAGAGTGGTCGGGGAGCCCGGCTGGGGCCAGGGAGGAGTCCGCGGGAACAGGCTCGGTGGCTATGAAGAAGATGGAAACAAGTGGCCAAATTAGAACACACAGTGAGGGTGGAGCCAGCAGGACTGCCGGCGGCCCTGACAGGGGCTGTGAGAAAGGACCAGGCCTGGAGGGGGAGGATTCACAGAGAGACAGGTGCAAGGGTGGGAAGATCAAGGGTTCTGTTTGGGACACGCTGTCTGTGAGCGCCAAGGGAGGCCTGGGATGACTGGAACATGTCCCACAAAGTCAGGTGTCACAACCGTGATCCCCAAGGGATGAGGGCTTGGAGGAGGGGCTGAACAAGAGGTGACCAAGGATTCCTGGGATTCTCGTGGAAGTGAGTCAGGTGTCCCATGTGACACTGGTGAGGCTTTAGTCTACTCTGAGTCTTGCCTCCCAACCTCAGCATCTCCAGTGCCCTCGGGAGCTCGAGATGCAAGCCTGGGGCCCCAGCAGAACCGAGTCACACGGCACCGGCTTCTCACTTGATCCGAGCATCTGCCACTGGGGCTCCCGCACATTTTGAGAGAGAACTGAGAAAAAAAATCATGCAGCAAGTGCATGAAATAGTCTTCAACGACATTCAAATATGCAAACCGAGCCCTGGAGACATGAGGGCCGTGTGAGTAAAGATTTCATCAAAGGGCTCAGTGTGGTAGCCTAGTGGCTAAATCCTTGCCTTGCATGCACCAGGATCCCACGTGGGCGCCTATTTGTGTTCCGGCTGCTCTATTTCTCATCCACCTCCCTGCTTGTGGCTTGGGAAAGCAGTTGAAAATGGACCAACCCTACACCCACGTTTGGGAGATCTGGAAGAAGCTCCTGGCTCTTGCTTTTGGCTCAGCTCAGCTCTGGCCATTGAGGTCATTTGGAGAGTGAACCAGCAGAGGGAATATTTTTCTCTGTGTCTCTCCTTTTCTATCTGTAAAATATGCCTTTTAAATAAAACTAATACATTCTTAAATAATAAAGCAGAGAGTGTGCCTGAGGTTTGCCATGGTGATGATACAGACCCAGCCAATGCAACGTCATGATGTCAGGAAAACCACAAAGCACCAATGTGCCCCAGCAGTTACTGCCCCACTTTACAGAGCTAGAAACTGGGTCCAGCACAGTAGCCTAGCAGCTAAAATCCTCACCTTGCACAAGCTGGGATCCCATATGGGCGCCGGTTCTAATCCCAGCGGCCCCGCTTCCCATCCAGCTCCCTGCTTGTGACTTGGGAAGGCGGTTGAGGACAGCCCAAAGCCTTGGTACCCTGCACCCACGTGGGAGACCTGGAAGAAGCTCCTGGCTTTAGATTGGCTCAGCTCTGGCAATTGCAGCCGCTTGGGGAGTGAACCAGTGGATGGAAGATCTTCCTCTCTGTCCCCTCTTCTCTGTATATCTGACTTTCCAATAAAAATAAAATAGATCTTAAAAACAAAATAAAACAAAACAGAGCTGGAGTCTGCGGTCCAAGGCCCTCTTCTTTCCACATAATCTCCTGAGTTTCAAGGAGGTGACTCAAATCCTTGGAGGAACCAGACAGAATGCTTGGTCGGCTTGTGCCTTCCCCTCCGAGAGTCACCTCAGACCGCCTCCCGGATGTCCCTGCTCCCTCACGCTGACCTCTGACCTCCACCACGTCCACCACCCCCACGCCCACCTAGAGCTGTCCGAGCGCGTGTGCGCATGCGCCTACCTCCTTCGAGACAGTGTTCGCGTATTCTCTTGCTTCGGTGAATGCGGTGCGAGGATGACGCTCTGTCAAGGTGACAAAAAAGACAGAAACACAAACAAAAGCAGATCCCACTGGAGCCCACGCTGGGCATGAGCAGATCTCGGCTTCCAGTAAAGGGAAGAAGCTGGGTGCCCCGCGATCCCAGATGGCGAGGCACTGCAGGAAGGAACTTCATGCGCTCTTGCGTGGGTTTGAGTCGGACCCACGCCTGCAGGCCACGTACATGCTGGTTTATTTATCCCACCTGTCCGCCCAGCGAACACATACTGCACATCTCTTGGCATCAGGCCCTGGGTGGTGCTAGAAATGGACGGCCTCTGAGGAAGGCAAGGTGCAGTGGAGAAAAAGGACGCGGCTGACATGCATTCCCGGGTTCTGATGTTTGCTTGCATGTCCTCCCAAAGGTCCTCATGGAAAGGCTTGGTGCCAAGGTGGCGTTGCCAGCAGGTGGCAGAGCCCTTAGGCAGGCCCTCAGTCATTGGACACATGCCCTTGGAAGCAGTTCTTATTTGACCTTCTGCGATCTAGGAAGAGGGCTGACACGAGAGCCTAAGGCTGGGCCCACCCACACTTTCTGCTTCCTGGTCCCCCCCCCCCCCACGTCATCCCTTCTCCTATACTGTACCATCTACCATTGCCACCCACTGCCCTCAAACCAACTGGGTCATCTGATCTGAAACTTGAACCCCTCAAATCGGGAGCTAAACAAACTCTATATAGATAAATTGGGTTTTCTCTGGAATTTTGCCATAGTAACTGAAAGCCAACCGAACAGTAGCCCTGGTGACATGACAGGATTCCCACTAGTACAAAGAGTGGACACAGAATAAGGAAGTGTGTGTGCGGTGGGGTGGGGGTTAAACTCTTAAAATGCTCCCGGTTATGACTGTGGGAGGACAGTGCAATGGCTCAACTGGTTAATCCTCTCCCTTTGACTGCTGGGATCCTGTAAGGGTGCCAGTTCATGTCCTGGCCGCTCCACTTCCCATCCAACTTGAGTAGGCAGTAGCGGACGGCCCAAAGCCTTGGGATACTGCGTCTACACGGGAGACCTGGAAGAAGCTCCTGGCTTTGTATTAGCTTAGCTCCTAAGGAGCGAATCAGTGGATGGAAGATCTTTCTGTCTCTCCCTCCCTCCCTCTGTAAGTCTGCCTTCCTAATAAAAATACATGAATCTTAAAAAAAACAAACAAAAAGCTCCCTGGGATGGGCTTTTGGCCTATCCAGATGTTGCTTAGGGGATCGGCACTGCCCACAGTGGGTTTAACCACCACCTGTAATCCCATGTTTGGGGTGCCATCTTGAGCCCCAGCTACTCTGTTTCTGATTCAGTTCCCTGCACTTAGGAAAGCAGCAGAAGATGGTCCAAATGCTTGGGACCCTGCAACCACTTGGGAGACCCAGAAGAGGTTTCCGGATCCTGGCTTTGGATCAGCTCAGCTCCGGCTGTTGTGGTCACTTGGGGAGTGAGCCAGTGGATGGAAGCTCCTTCCCTCCTTCTCTCCCTCAGTAAACCTTTTAAAAATAAGTAAAAGTTATTTTTAAAATACATTTTCCAATTCCTTCAGTACTTCCTCTTTTTTTGGCCCATGAGGTCTTTGTAAAGTTAATATATCTGGGGATCTTGAGGAATGTTCCAGAAATATTTCCAAACCTTTTGGTCAGGGTACCAAGCTTTTCATTTTTAATGGTTTTAATGAGAAACAGATCACACAGTCCTTGCCCTTCAAAGCTTCCCTTTCTCTTCCTCAAGAACACATACAGGCTAAAGTTTCTAGAACTTTAGGAGGGCAGTTCCTCGTGTTACCTGTGGAGGTCCTTACGGGTTCCACTGGGTGTTCCTCAGCCACAACGGAGGCCCACACGGCTCACAGCCCTGCCGACAACGGTGTCCAGCCACACAACCCACTCATCCAGCGAATGCTCACGTGCCAAGCCAATGTCGGTTCCTGAGCCAACCCGGAGCCAGGGACAGTCCCTATTCCCCCACAACCCACTGGCATCATCTGGAAATGGCCCCATCTTTGCCTTGGCTCCTGCTTCCCGTGACTCTGTGTGCTTCCTGCCACGGCCCCACGAGGCCTGCCTTGCCTCTGCTCCCCAGGGCAGCTGGGTGGAGCCCCCGGCCTTGAGGTTTCCCTCACTCATGGACATGGACAGACATGTGGAAGGGGAGTTGGCACCCCTTCTTCTCCAGGGAGGACAGTGTCATTCTGACCTCACCATCACCAGAGCAGAGCTTGCTGAATTGCAGGAAACGGCCTCACCTGCCCCTTTCCTGGCCGGCCTTGGACCCTTCACAGGATTCGGTGCTTGTGAGCTGCCCTTGACTTCCTGAGTGGCTAAGGGGGTTTTCTCGGAGTTCGGCTTTGGGAGAGAACATTCCAGGAGAGCAAAGAGGAAGAGAACCCAGTTAGGCAAGACTGGCAGCGAGAGGCAGCATATGCCATCATGCAGGACACTCTCATTGTTCTCAGCCAAGGGACATGCAATGGGCAGCAGGTGCTATGCAGAGCCCATAAACGAGGCCCCTGGGGGCCCAGCCCCAGCTGTGTCACTCACAGCTGGGCGAGTCACTGAGCATCTCCTGGCAGGGCAGAGCTGGCCACCATACTCTCCACACCCCCTGCTTCTGGAAACAACTCCTGGGGCAGCTGGCACCATGACTGACGCTGGACGAATCCTGACACTCGGTCCCTGGCTTGAGGAGTCTCCCAGTTGAGCCGGAGATAGCATGACAGTAAGTAGAAATAATTCCATATGGATTTCCAAAATACCAGGTATCAAAAACCATGTATTTCCACTGCATTTTCCCCACAGCTTTTTTTTTTAACTATTTATTATTATTATTTTAGATGATGTTTACATAGTAAACATAGGATGGGAAGGATCTAGAGTTAAGGAGAGATGTGTGTGATCATTGTTTCCAAAGCACAGCTTTTTTTTTTTTTAATTTATTTATTTTTATTGGAAAAGCAAACAAAGATCTTGTGTCCATTGGTTCACTCCCCAAGTGGCCACAATGGCCAGAGCTGAACCCATCCGAAGCCAGGAGCCAGGAACTTCTTCTGGGTCTCCCACATGGGTGCAGGGTCCCAAGACTTTGGGCCATCCTTGACTGCTTTTCCAGGTCACAAGCAGGGAGCTGGATGGGAAGTGGAGCAGCCAGGACATGAACTGGCACCCATATGGGATCTCAATGGATGCAATGTGAAGATTTAACCACTGAGCCATTGTGTTGGGCCCCACAGCTGTTTGAAGTTCCCTCATAGGAGTTAGGGTTATATCTGGACAGGAGTGACAGACTCAAAATAATGGTGGCTCCCACTAGGTGAAATTTTTTCCCGTGTAGTAATCTGAAGACAGCCAAGTCGAGGCTCACAGCGTGCTGCTAGGCCACCCACACAGGGACTCTGTCTCCTGTAGCTCCTGGATCCACTTTCCCCAAGTTAGGTCTCAGGGTCTGCAACGACAGCCAGAGCACCAGCTGTCACATTCACATTCCAGGCAGAGGAACAAAGGACAAAGACAGGAAGGGTTCCCAGGGCTGCTTCCCAGGGACCACTCCCCCAAATGGCCCCTGCGGCTCATTCACTGGCTCTCAGCCACAAACAGAGGCTAGGAGCACATTTCTATTCGAACCATGTGCAAGGGGGTTCTTTGAAATGTTCATAGAAAATGTTTATTATAGGGCTGGCTGGCACAGTGGAGTAGTATGGTAATCCTCTGCCTGTGATACCTGGGAAAACAACGAAGCCTCGGGACCCTGCACCCATGTGGGAAACCCAGAAAAAGCTCCTGGTTCCTGGCTTCAGACTGGCTCAGCTCCGGGCATTGCGGCCACTTGGGGAGTGAACCAGTAGACAGAAGATTCTGACTCTCCTTTACTCTCTGTAAAATCTTCCTTTCAAATAACAATAAAATAAAATATTTCAAAAATAATATAACCGGGCCCGGCGCAATAGCGTAGCTGTTAAAGTCCTCACCCTGAATGCACCAGAATCCCATATGGGTGCTGGTTCTAATCCTGGCAGCTCCACTTCCCATCCGGCTCCCTGCTTGTGACCTGGGAAAGCAGTCAAGGACGGCCCAAAGCCTTGGAACCCCGCACCCGTGTGGGAGACCTGGAAGGGGCTCCTGGCTGAGTTCCAGCCATCGCGGCAGCTTGGAAAGTAAACAATCAGACAGAAGATCTTTTTCTCTGTCTCTCCTCCTCTCTGTATATCTGCCTTTTCAATAAAAATAAATAAATATTTTTAAAAAATAAATAAAATAACCTTTAAATCCCATTAGCTTTCTACATATATAAAAGTACTTCAAAAATCTGTGGTAAAATGAAATTAAGAGATAAGTCTATGTTGGTGTAAAACATGTTTGAAACTTTCATGTGGTTTTTTTTTCCCTAAAAATGCATTGAAGACCCCTCCTGCTGACCTGCCCCCAACTTAGCATCTCTAAGAGCCAAATTCTTTCACTTTTGCCTTGTGGTGTCTTCATAATTTATCACTCTGTGTTAAGGTGATATGTTAATGAATGATTCTTTGGGGTTTTCACTTCTGCTCTATGAGGATCCCCTGGTGACATGAAGATATTAGCAGTTAATACATTTGAATGCCTTTTCTCCTGTTTTATTTTTCATATGTTCAATTTACATCACCCCCAGTGACTGAGCCCTAAGCGGAAGGGGAGATTTCTAACCTTCTCATCAAGAGCCTGAACTTAGAAGGAAGGATGAGTCGGACTGTGAACTAGCATCCCATATGGGTGCCTGTTGCAGTCCCGGCTGCTCCACTTCCCATCCTGCTCTCTGCTTAAAGCCTGAGAAAACAGCAGAGGATGGCCCAAAGTCTTGGGACCCTGCACCCATGTTGGGATACCCAAGAGAAGCTCCTGGCTCCTGGCTTCGGATGGGCTCAACTCCAGCCACTGAAGCCATTTGGGGAGTCAGCCAGTGGATGGAAGATCTCTCTGTCTCTTTTTCTCTCTCTAACTCTGACTTTCAAATATAAAGATTTATTCATTTTTATTACAAAGTTAGATATACAGAGAGGAGGAGATAGAGAGAGGAAGATCTTCCATCCGATGATTCACTCCCCAAGTGAGCGCAATGGCCGGTGCTGCGCCGATCCAAAGCCAGGAGCCAGGAACCTCTTCCGGGTATCCCACACAATTGCAGGGTCCCAAGGCTTTGGGCTGTCCTCAACTGCTTTCCCAGGCCACAAGCAGGGAGCTGGATGGGAAGTGGAGCTGCCAGGATTAGAACCGGCACCCATATGGGATCCTGGCACGTTCAAGGTGAGGACTTTAGCCGCTAGGCCACGCTGCCGGGCCCTGACTTTCAAATATAAATAAATGAATATTTTAAAAAGAAAGAAGAAAGGATGAGTGTCAGGCCAGGGATTGGCCAACATATTCTGTCACAAGCCAGAGTGAGCATGTGCTTGGCAGGTCCTAAAGCCTCCATTGTAACTTGGCTGTGTCAGCCCCAAGGCAGCTGCAGACCCCAGAGGACGACTACTGGGGGCCGTGTGCCAATAACATTTTATTTATATAGAGCAGCAATGAATAGCCCTATTCATAAACCTTGCCCTGAACAATGATCTTTTTCAACTCTCCAGGAAAAACAAAGCAAAACAAAACAAGACTTACTTGTGGCATCTGGTTACAATACAATACAAAGTCAATACAAGCTCTCTGAACTTGGAATTGAGAGAAAGTGACAGGGACAGCAGTAATGGGAGCGGATACGGGGATGAGAGGACTGGCAGGTACAGAGGCCATGTGTAGAGTGTGGGGTCTGCCACAGAGCCACGAGTGGGCAAGGCCGGCCTGTGGTTCCCACTGCTTGGAAAGTGAGCGAAGGTCCTCTGAGACAGCAAGAGGGGACAGGGAGGATGTGTTAGGGCTGCGGGTGACAGGAAGGTGTCATTAGCTGCTCAGCTGGAGAGGCTTGCAGGGAACAAATCTGAGCTCAGACTGTGGTGGTGAGAGTGGCGAGGTGAGAGGCAGGGTTTCTGGGCAGTCAGTAGAAAGGAACAGCGCAGAGCAGGGCAGGGGGCAAGTGTCAGGGATGGCTGCCAGCTTCCTGTAAGGTCCAAAAGACCAACGAACCAAGATCCAAAAGCTTGCAGGCCTGCTGCATCATTTCCTCTCCCCCTAATTTCTGCCCCTGGGTGCTGCAGGTGACCTAGCCTGGGCAGGGGATAAGGGGACAGGCAGTGGGGCACGGGAGGGGAGAGGGAGGGCAGGATGGAGCAGGGGTACAGAGAGGTGCATGACAGTAGAAGCCGGGGCTCCAGGGGCTCAATGGGTTTTTCTAACCATCCCCTCTATAGCCCCACTTCCCAGTCCCCCAACTCCTGCTTACCTGGGCATAATAGGATTTCCTGCTCTGGGTTGGCTTCCGGGAAAAATGTCTCTTAGAAGTGAAGAAATAAAAATCTCTTCCTAAGAAAAGGGAAAAACCATTTTTTAGTTCCTTCTTGACGTGTGTGTGTGTGTGTGTGTGTGTGAGAGAGAGAGAGAGAGAGAGAGAGAGAGAGAAAGAGAGAGAGAAAGAGAGAGAGAGACAAAGAACAGGGACCAGACACTGCAGGGAGAATAAGCCTTGGGCAAGCCTGGGACCCCTGTGGATTCCACCTGCTGAAGCATGTGGACACTGGCTGCCTGGCAGGGCTGATGAACTACTGAAAGAAACGTGTGCATGCAGAGCCCTGGACACGGGCAAGCACTGACCCATGTGCCAAAAAAAAGACTCCTCTCCAAAGCAGGTAATTCAGTACCAGCCCAACAGAAATGAGGAAAGGTGGATGAAATGCTTTCAAAGAAACAGCCCACCCACCCACACAGGACTGTGCTTCACACTCACTAAAGCATCAGGACATTTGAAGATCATTTCTGGATTTTCCTGTGTTCCACATCGAAAGCCATCCCTGCGTGCGTGTGATGATTACTGGGGAGGTTCCCACCTGCCCTTCCCAGGCCTGCTCTGGGTGACCACCCAGGACCAGAGGTGCTGCACTACTCGCTGTGTCGTCGGGGTGTTCCTCTGGACAGTCAGGAGGGACCGTGCAGGCTGTCAGCACCGAGCCCCTGCCGCCAGCCCGGGCCTGGCACTCAGCACTCATGCTGTGTTTGTTGAGTAACACCAAAGTTGTCTGAACTTCTGCTTCCTCATCTGTGCTGTGGTTTGAGGGGGTGCTCGGCAGACTGTCAGCAAGCTGGGGGGTACCAGCACGGTACCCGACACGCAGGGGACATCCTTTGTTGGCATCTCTCTCTCAAGTACCAAAGCCCACCCCTACACTCCCAAGTCATGTGGACCCCGAGGACACACAAGTATAACCAGAAGTTTGGGCCACTGGTCTGTGGGGCGTGGTCCGTCTCTGAGAGGGGAGCTGGACCGACAGCCTCAGTGCTGGGTGAGGCAGGGTGTCGGGGGCTACACGTGCCACCTTACCCCTCATCATCCTCTTTCTCTGAAACATTAACTCTGCCCTGCGGGATCGCTCCGGGTCCAGCTCCGAGTAGTTCCAGTTGGCATAACTCTGCGGGCAAGGGTAGGTGCCTACAAGGAAATTGAGAGTGGTGATGGACACTTTGCCAGAGAGAACAGGAGGTAAGGCAGATGTGGTCTGGAAACACCGTCCTGGTTCTGGACAGGTTGGCCTTGGGGATCGGCCCCACCTCCTACTAGCCCCGTGGCCTTGGATAAGGTGCTTCATATGGCGGGAGGTGGAGGGGCTGGTGCGGGGAAGGGTGAGCTGGGGCACGGGCTTGGTCTGGAAGTAAACCTTGAACTACCTGAGTGTTTTGTGCCGGAGGGCAGAGGGGGCCTCTAAACACAGGTGTGCAACGCTGGGACATGCTGTCCATGCAGAAGGCAGGGTGCCCTGTGTTTATCACACCCACATGGGCTAAACTGGGAGTTCCCAGTGGGCAGGGGCTGGCATCACCAGCACCAGCAAGGGCTCCACATGCACTGGCTCTCCTAATGAGCATGCAAGTGGGCTGTGCACGGAGTGTGCCAGTGCTGTCTCCTACCTTCCCGAGAAACTGAGAAAGCTGTGCCTCTGTTGATCAGAAAGTGGACAAGAGGTTTATTCCAGGGGAATAGCTGGGAGACACAGGTGCAACCCAGATGAAATTGGGATTGGGAAGGAGGAAGAGCAAGAAGAGAAGAATCAGAACGGGAGGCAGGAGGGTGCAGTGGTCAGAGACCTCGCTCTGGAGTCAGGTGACCCAGGAGCTGCATTCCTGCCCCCACTGGTTTGCTCTGATTCCCTTGATCCTGCTTTACAGAAACAGGATTAAGTGGGCAGAAAAGAGACCGCAGTCCCGAGACAGGCCTGTTGGCAAGGTTGGCCCCATGCTGACGTCTGCAAACGTGGCTGGCAGAGCTCTGTACACGGACATGCAGCATCCTCTAAAGAGGACTGGCTCACTGTGCCTGGAGTGGGCATGTTACGCGAACACCTGCTCTCCGGCAATCACAGGACACGGAAGGGTGCTCATGTAACTGCCCCGAGGAAATCCTTGGGCATGTGTCTCTAATGGGCTTCCCTGGGCATCACAGGGGATAGGCAGGCTCTGTGGGTTTCATTATGAGAGGGAGAGAACATAGGGGAGCCTGCTTACGGCCGGCGTTGTGATTAAGGTGCAGAATGCAATGCCGACATCCCATATGGGTAACAGTTGGTGTCCCAGCTGCTCCACTTGTGACTCAGCTCTCTACTAAAGCACCTGGGAAAGTGGCAGAAGATGGCCATTTGCATGTGGGAAGCTGGCTTCAGATCAGCCCAGCTCTGGCTGTTGGCAGTCATTTGGGGAGTGAACTAGCAGATGAAAGATGTCTCTTTCTTTCTCTCTCTCTCTCCTTCTCTTGCCCTCTCCCTATGCCTTTTAAATAGATAAATAAATCATATATGTGTGTATATATGTAATATAGATATATATTATGTGTATTATACATACACACACATCTACATACTAGCCTCCCTGTCTTTCTTGTGATCTTGCCATGTATTCTTGCTACATCACCATGACATATTTCAGCCATGACAACTATATGTTGAGACTTTTGAATTTTTGTAGCTAATCTATTAATGTAAGGGTGATCCTGGGGACCCCAATACAACAGGAAATGCAAAGTGAGAACCTTTCAATAAACCCCAGCTTTGGATAACCTTGGGAAGGTCCAGATTGAGATGAGGGAAGAGGGGAGAGGACTGAAAGGTAGTTGTTAAAACAGGTGTCAGGCTGGCCCTCGAGTCAGCCAATTTGGTCTGCGAGCTAGCCTGCAGTCACTGTAATAGCACACACACGTAGGCAAGCAGACTCCCAGGGCAGGCTCTTCCCTCACCATTGCTGTCCCCAGCAGGAAGAAGCCGCCGGCACTCACCTGCAATCCACAGGTTTATCGTGTTGCACACATAGGCCTTGAACTCGGGGGTGTTGAACCAGGACTGTGGGAAGCAGCAGCAGAAGCTGGTGTACACAGCTTTGCTCAGAAGTGATGGCAACCTCTGGCCGAGGAGTTGGGGGGCATCAGGGGAAAAAACAGCATTCAGGCAACATTCTGGGCATAGGGTCCCTGCCACCCATGTGGGAGGTCTGGTGGGAGTTCTGGGTTCTTGGCTTCTGACCTGGCCCAACTGCAGCCTTTGTGGCCTAGGGAGGTGAACCAGCAGGTGGAAGACCTCTCTCTCTGTGCCTTCCAAATAAGTCAGTAAGTCTCTTTTTAAAACTATCTATGTTTATGGGCTATGGTGAACCACAGCGCTGTGCTGGGAACACTGGAACACACTCTTACTACATTGTATTTTGGTACTAGGTGGTGTTGTTTCTTTTTTAATGCACGTGTTTTGCCTCTCAGCGCACAGTGTGCACTCATAGCTGGCTTTACCTACGTAACATCCGAACGAAAGCCTTTCTCCAGGTCAGTACAACCTCTGTTAGGCTGTTTTTCCCAACAGAGACCTTCGTCCTGCTGGCCTGGGAGGGCATGATCAAGCTTCCCCTTATCTCCCATCCCTGGTTACTGTCTTTCCTCAAATACCTGCAACAGCCATGGCTGGGCGGAGGTCAGAGCCACAAGCTGGGCCCTGCCAGGGCTCCAGGGTAGGTGGCAGGAGCCCAGCCACTTCCTGCTTCCCAGGGCCTGCACTAGCAGGATGTGGGAATCAGGGGCTGGAGCCAGGAAGTGAATTTGGGTTTTCCGCTGTGAGATGTGGGCATCTCAACTGCCAAGCTAAATGCCCACTCCTCGTGTGCATTTTAATGTTGTAGCCACTTGAAGAGTAATCCTGTGGATAGAAGATCTCTCTGTTTTACTCTGTCATTTCCTCTCTTTGCGACTCTGCCTCCAAATTAACAAATCAACACACTGAGGTATAGCAGGTAAAGCCAATATCTGTGGCACAGTATCCCATATGGGTGTCATTTCAAGACCTGGCTGCTGCACTTCCCACCCAGCTCCCTGCTAATGTGCCTGGAAAAGCAGCAAATGATGGCCCAGATGCTTGGGTCCCTGCTGCCGATGTGTGAGACCCAGAAAAAGCTTCTGGCTTTGGATTGGTCTAGCTCTGATCACTGCAGCCATTTGAGGAATGAACCAGCAAATGGAAGATCTTTGTCTCTCTTCCTGTATCTCCTCTCTCTGTAACTCTGCATTTCTAATAGATAAATACATAAATAAATAACTTGCCTCACCCTGCAGAGGTAACCAAACCATAGCTATTTTTTCCATCCATAGGCCCTGATACCTATACAGATATTTCTTGGTTGCAAAATTGTGTTCATTGCTATATAAACTGTCTACCAGCGCAACTGTCCCAGTCATGACATACGCCTATGTGACAGCTCTACTGTGCTGTTGTAACACTGCATGGAGAGATGGAGGAGGAGTCGACGGTGATTTGCTCATTTCTCCCCAGGGCAGAGAGAGTTGGGGGCTCTCCTGGAGTCAGAGTGGACAGCAGTCTCACGTGACTTCCTGTCTGACCAGCGGTGCACGCCTACCTGCAAAAGTGCCTCTTCATAGTGGGACCTGGGCTCCCGGAGCAGCAGCAGGGCATAGCACCGAGCCGCCCGGTCGAAGAGCTTCTTCTGGGTCTCGATGTTGGGCTGCCGGGGTGCAGAGAGAGGGCAGGGGTGACTACGGCTCCACGCTGAAGTCTGGGAGGATGGCTCGTGGTTCAGGACCATCAACCGTGTATGCTTTACTCAATGGGACACCCCTTTACTGCATCAGGTTTAGAGGCCCGCCCTTTGGCTCAGCTCTTCAAGTGCAGGGCAGCTGCCAGACACCAGGGAGCAGATGGCCAAGGCGTGGGTGCAGAGGGGACAGGGTGAGAGGTGAAGCTGCAGGTGGAGCCCGCAGGGCGGGGCTGAGGGTCGCTCGTGCTTCATGGGAAAGGGGCTGCCATGTGTTTCGTGGAAAAACAACTTCGGCAAGGGGAGCCGTGAGCTGCGAGCCGTGAGCCGCGAGCCGTGAGTGGCTCAGTCTTACCTGGTACCTTTCATGAAAAAGCCACCAGAAGCTGTCCAGCCACAAGGATTTCAGGAGGGGAGCCGAGAGGAACTTCTTCAACTCTTTATCCGAACAGAAGGACTTGGGAGAAAAATACAACTCACATCAGTATGTCTGGCCCTTGTGCTCCCCCTAATTCACCTGGGGCCACAGTCAGACTCAGAACCAGCTCCCAGCCCCACCTGCCTCGCTGCCGCCTGTGGGCCCTGGCTGGTTATTCTTGCTAACTGCTCCATCCTCCCAGAAGAAGGGGAGGGGAGAGGGAAGAGAGGGAGGAAAGGATTACAGAGAAAAACAGATCCAAACTCACATACACAGACCAGGGGAGAAGGGCATGTCTTTATTATTATTATTATTATTATTATTATTATTATTTTACTTTTGATGTTGTTTACATAGTTGATCAAGGTGGGAAGAGTCAAGAATTGGGGGAAAGTGGGTGAGACCACTGTTTACACATGGGTACATGCTTATGTACCAGCTGCCTCACTTCCCATCCAGCTCCCTGCTTTTGGCCTAGGAAAGCAGCAGAGGCCCAAGTCCTTGGGACCCTGCATCCACAGGGGAGGCCTGGAAAGACGCTCCTGACTTTACATCGGCTCAGCTCTGGCTGTTGTGCCCATAGGGCAGTGAACCAATGGATGCAGGACTTTTCTGCCTCTCCTTCTTTCTGTAATCTGCCTGTCCAATAAAAATAAATCTTTTTTAAAGAACAAAAGGGAACAAGGCTTAATAATATGCAACGGAGTGACTGAGAGTGGACAGTGCATATAATTTGCACACAGCTCTCTATGAAGTGAGGTCTGGAGTCATCCGTGAACAGGTTACATGGCCAGAACAGTCTAGAGACCCTTGCTCTGGCAAAAGGAATGGAGATCTTACAGTGAGCCTGGGCTGGGGTGCCCAGTTGGGCCTAGCCACCCTGTGGCCTTGGGTGAGCTCTTTGGCTGCTCCTGGAGTGAGCAAAGGAACAGCTGTGCCTGCAGGGCCAGGGCAGGGCCAGGGCAGGGCCAGGCACATGGCAGGGCAAGCGGCAGCCCCTTCCCTTCCCTCACCTTGCCACTGACAGGGTTTCTCTCAGCCCGGACCACGTTGCCCACCATGTCGCAGAAGGCCACCGCATTGGGAAGCTCGTTGGGCTTGGTGTTGTCAAAGGCTGGGTACTGATACAGCTCCACCAGCAGGTTCTTATCGGCTGTTTTCTGATGCAGCAAAAAAGAAGAAAGAGAGAGAGAAAGAGAAAGAAAAGGGAAAAAAAAAATCAAGATGTGAAAACAGAGCCCACTGATCTGATAGTTTAGTAAAACAACAGGATCTTTCCCTCGCTTCAGGGTACAGAGCACACTGTCACCAGTGGCCCAGCCCCTGTCCTTGGCTCTGAACCAGGGCAAGTACGGGGACAGAGGGTGAAGGAAAGAGGAAGTGAAATTCATCTCCACAGCAGGGCAGTTAGACTCCAGACAGGGCATCTGTTTCCAACAATGTTACAGCAACCTTGCAGAACAAGGAGGAAACGAGGGGCACGCAACACCTCAGCACCTTTGCCAAAGTCCCACCCAGGCTATTTCTACACTCACATGCAGGATTTGAGGAAATACATGCAAGAACAGATCTGAGGGCACTGCAGGATGTTCGTGCAAAACGGCATTGGAAGATAAATATATATGAAGGCAAAGAAAAAAAAAGTTGGGTATCCATGCATAGTTCTCTCAGGATACGCATTTCCATGAACTTTCTGAAACCCCGGAATGTGACTTCCATCAGTATGTGTGGATACAGCTGCTTTTCGGTTTTGTTTTACGCATATGCATTACTTTCGTTTTCCCGTGTGGTTGCGTGACGAGGGCAGCTCCACCGCAGGTGCAAGGTGTGTTGTCATTTACCTAACTACTTCCTGATTGCTGCATGAAACATCAGGATAACTAACACCACGTGCCTTCCCTCCCCACCCCTTTTGGGTTATTTAGTCAGCATAAAATTTCTCCAAACTGTAACATCGAGTTAGAGAAAGCTATTATCCGTGATTCTCAACATATATCATTCTTTAGAATAAAATTAAAACACAATGACATAAAAATGGAAGTAGAGAAAGAAGGCTGTAACCCTTGACTGTCATCAAGGGCCCCCATAAGAAGCATTCTAGGTGGGCGGTGGCCAGTGACAGTGGAGGAACCGCACTGAGGGAGTCCCTGTATTGACTTGGGGTTGGGCGTCAGCCCCGCCGGCTGTGCCACCCTGAGCGGGACACTCACAGGGTGACGGGTTCCACACAGACTCTTGGCCAACAGGCTTCAGGATGCTTTGGGATTTGCTATAGGCTGAAGGGGGTACAGAGGAGGACAACTATAACGCACAGTCCCACTCTCTCTGGCATGAAAGCTCTGAACACCCTCGTCTGCGTGGCCAGTTGGAGCTGAAAGCACCAAGAGTAACAGGAGAGGCGGGGCCAGACGGCTGCTGGAGGGCTGGGCCAGGCCCTGCGCTCAGTGCAGAGGCCAGCTAACTGCTCTGGGGCCACAGCCTCACGAGGCATATGCAGCCATTGGCGTGCTCTGTGTAGGTGCCTGGGAGACGCTCTGTCCAGCGGCCTTGAACAAGCCCTGGATGAACTATTCCGGGAGGTGGAGGTAGGGGTGAGGCCTCATGGAGGCAACACCCCCTGATCTGAGGCTGGCTGGGACCGGCTCTGCCCTTCCTGGGGCGCCACAGAAATGTTGGGGTCATGGAGGTGTTTGAAGATCCCGCATTTGTCCATCATGATCACTGTCTGAGCAGCAAGGATCTCCCGGCCAGGGGTCAGCAGCTGCTCAGGAAACAGCGCCCCGCCCAGGTGCCTCACCCGCTTCGTCATGAAGGATCTGGTGCTCTTGAGGTCAAGGTCTCTGCACAAATCCCCTTCCGTGGCTGGTGGTCTCTTGGCTGCTGAGGAACGGGAGTAGGGGATGGGGTGGGGAGAGAAATAGGTGAGCAGCTCCTCTGTGGGGCAGGAGGGATTATGGGGACTCTTCAGCCCCAGACACCCAGGACGCTGGAGCTGCGGGGCTCCCCATGTCCAGCCTGGTGAGATCCCCTCCGTTAGCTGACCAGGCTGCATGCTCCATGGAGTGGCCGGGGCGACACATGCCGTGGCTTTCCACGAGGGATGCTTAGCTCCGAGGCCCATTTCTCAGGCACCTTGGAGAAAACTTGAAGGCGCTGTGGACCACAGTGCCAGGTGCAGTGGTCCCCTCCTCACAGGTGGCCCCACCCTCCTTCCTTGCCTCTTGGCAGGTCAGACTTAAGTCACCCTCCAGAGAGGACACAAACAGCCTCCCTAGCCTTGGGCTCCTGCTCAACTGTATTTCAGATACTATTTAAAAAACCAAAAGATCAAACCCCACAGAAACACCACCGAAGCCACGAGAAAGGAGTTTTGCCTCTGTCTCCCGGGCTGCTGCGACTTTTCTCTTTTACAGCCTTCTTCTCCATTTCAAATCTCTCAATTGCCTTCAAAAACCAGGGAAAAATGGGGGCAAAAACAAAAACACAACATGTTGGGACGTTAGGGCTTGATGCAAATCCTGGAGGAGCAAGAGGAGGGGGTCAGGGACTAATGCTTCCCCTGGTTTGGTGCTAGTAGGCCTTGGGAGTGGAGACTCCGGCCCGCCAGGCTTCCCTAGTGACTGGCAGGACCTGGGACCTGGGTCCATCACTGCCATCAACCCACCCCAGACCCCTGCCATCCTGCCCCTCCTCCTGCCTACATCTCTGAGAAGTACAGCACCGAGAACAGTGTCCCGATCAGGGCCCCAGGCATCACAGGCTCTTGTTGAATCTGAGAAAGGGGAATAGTAACACCAACTTCCAGGTCCTTCCAGGGGTCAGAGATCAAGCAATGGGTCTGAAATCCTGGCTCAGGTGGCAGGGAACCTGTCGTTACTGTGAAGCCCTCAGCCCCCTCAAGCTTTCTTCTTCTTCTCTTTTCTTTCTTTCTTTTTTTTATTTTTTAGGATTTTTTCTTTAATTGGGACAACACATCAGATTTATGGAGAGAAGGAGATCCAGAGAGAGATTTTCCATCCACTGTTTGACTCCCCAAGCAGCTGCAACGGCCAGAGCTGAGCTGATCTGGGTCTCCTGTGCGGTTCAGGGTCTCAAGGCTTTGGGCTGTCCTCTACTGCTTTCCCAGGCCACAAGCAGGGAGCTGGACGGAAACCAGAGCAGCCAAGACAGAAACCACTAACCATATGGGATCTCAGAAGTTGCAAGGTCAGGATTTAGCCACTGAGCCATCAGACCAGGCCCCCACAAGCTTTAAAGACATATTTACCTCAGTCTGTTTCCTCTGAACTCCCCAACACCCACACCACTTGAAAGAGAAATAAAGAAAAAAGTTGTCAGGGACACAGCAGAGAGCTCCGATGGTCAACCACCAGGTCCAGCACCTGGTATGGATAACGAAAGGGTCAAGTCCAGTGTCATCGCTGCCAGGGACCACACACAGAATGATGAAGATGCTGAGCTGTTGCATCTCTGACCCCCAACAAGTGAGGTCATTGTGGGCTGGAAGAGTCACGGAGGACTGCCTGGAGGAGTTAGGATGGGAAAGTTGTGGTTAAATGATGAGGGCCTGATCTTGGTTTGATAGAGCACAAATGTTGGCTCCTGCTTGGGAAAGCCTGCTTTGCATCAATCTGAGCGACAGGACACGCATGCAGGAAGTTAGCGGAGATAAGGCGTGGGGAACGTATTGGACGGTGCACCTCTGTGGGCTAGTGTGGCCGTGTGTCTGCCTCCATTAGGATGAACATGGCAAGACAGGAAGGCAGACGGCACACAGCCTGCATGGGTGAAGCTGTGTGGAGCCAGAGAAAGACGGCAGGAGGCTGGAGGTGAGGTGACAAAAGTGGGCGCGGTTCAGCTCACACTGATGATGAGTAGGACCAGGCCTGGGAACCTTAGATATACAGGTGCCCCGGCCCTCTCTCGAGAGGCACACACACCAGATCTGCACTGGCTTCTGAATCGCCGGCGGACTCCGTGTGGCTCCTGAACAGTTTGCTCAAACTCTACAGCCAAGCAACTTGTGGCATAAAACCATGTCATACTGAGAAAGGTTTCCCTCCCACCCCTTGCCGGATTCCCATCCCCGTGGGCAAGCAGCCTGACTTCCTGTATACCTATAGATTTCCCACTCACATGAGAGCTTGCCAGAGAGAGAGAGAGATCTCATTTGTTTGTTCACTTTACCTAAGTGCCTACAAGTGTCTGGCCAAGGCCACCAGGCTGGTGTGGGGAGCTAGAAATGTACTCCAAGTCTATTCTCAGGGGGCAGGGGGACAGAGACCCAAATACTCAAGCCATCACTTGCTGCCACCGAGGGTCTACATTAGCAGGAAGCTGCCACCAGGAGTTGGAGGCAGGAGCCGGGTACCCAGGCATCCTGATACGGGAGGAGGGTGTTTTCAGTGCTGGGACAATGCCTGTCCCCAACATCACTGCTCACTCCTCCAACTCCCGTAACAGCCCCAGGAGACAGAGACAACTGTCACCAGCTTTTATGGGAAACTGAGACTCATAAAGTTTAAGTAATTTACCTAAGTCATATGCGAGGGAACAAGGGAAGGGGAATTTACACTTAGGTGGTCTCGCCACTCTGGAGCCTACACTTCCAGTGCCACCGTGCCTGCCGTAGACACACACACACACACTTCAACCCCTGGAGAGTCACTGCACAGGGGTGCATGTGTGTGAGGGTCACTTTCACTGACCAGCAGAAGTAGCAGCGGGGCGCCGGGGAGTCCCGGCTGTCAGCGGCCACACGGAAGCAGGCGTCTCCCTCCACGAAGACTCACTGGACTGACTGCAGCGGGGATCTCCCAACAGCTCACCGAAGGCACATGTGAGGACTTCCAGTTTCACATCCCAGCAAACTGATGTCTCAATTCCATTTTGCCAAGAACTGTGGGAGTCCCCCTGTATTCCTCAGATTGAAACATTTCACTGACAGCAACACTTATGAGTGGCCAGGTCTCTGCCACCCTCGAGGGCAGCCCTGGTTGAGTTCCTAGCTCCTGGTTCTAGGATGGCCCACCCTTGTTGCTGTGGGCATCTGGAGAGGCAAGGAGCAGACGAGCACTTTTTGTCTTTTTTTTTTTTCCTGTCTCAAAAAACAAAACAAACAAAACAAAAACCAGGTGGGCCAGGTGAGTGGGCTGAAGATCCATCCAAGGGCAGTAACCAGGGAAGGATCTCCCCTCAGTCTCTAGAAAACTCTACAGATGACCTGGGCTGTTTATGGCCGGGGCCTCCTGCCTCGTGTGGGGAAGTGGAGTGAAGCGACCAGATGCACACTTGCCTGTAACCGCAGCAGACACCGGCCGCTGCCTGGGGCTCTCCAGGGAGCTGAGGGGGAGCGGACACCCTGATCTTTGCTCCTTCTGATGGTGACCACATGGAACAGCCAGCCCTGGCAGAAGACTGCTTGGGCCACCTGCTGCTTCATGAGAACATGTGGGAGAGCTCAACCTTGGTCCACCAGGTGGGATGAAAAAACTCGCTGCTTGTGGCCTGGGAAAGCAGTCAAGGACAGCCCAAAGCCTTGGGACCCTGCACCCATATGGGAGACCCAGAAGAAACTCCTGGCTTCTGGCTTCGGATTGGCTCAGCTCTGGCCCTTGTAACCACCTGGGGAGTGAATCAGCGGATGGAAGATTTTCCTCTCTGTCTCTCCTCCTCTCTGTATATCTGACTTTCCAACAAAAATAAATCTTTTTTAAAAAATGGGCAAAATTCTTCACAAAAGCCCCATCAAATACCAACAGATGGCAAATAAGCCAGTGTCAGCAGGCTCCACAGCTGTGACAGATATGGCAGCAGAGGATCTGTGTGTGATGGGGACAGGGAAGGAGCACACAGGGAAACTACACTTTCTGTTCAGCTTGGCTGCGGACTTGAAACTGCTCCAAAAATGAAGAGAGCCTGTGACTTTATGTAAAAAAGTAACTCTGAGATCTCAACAGTGGGAACATGCTTCCAAATCTATGGACCGGCCCCCAGGGCAGACGGGGTGGGGGGCGCGGGGAAAGCCTGGCCTGGGCCCCAGTCCCCGAACTCACCAGGGTGTTGGTCAACAGGCTGGGAACCAGGTTGATTTCAGCAATCCTCTTGTTCACTTGCTGCATGGAGCCGATCAGGCATGCTGGGAGGGATGTGCTGAGGAAGCTGAGCAGCGACCATGTACACAGCAAGACGGGGCAGCAGCCCCTCACCCCCCACCCCTGCACGCTCTGGCTACAGTTATTCTCTCTGCTGACTTTGGCCTTTAGAAACAGTACATGACAGAAGACTGTATTACAGACACCTTGGAAAATGCAAGAAGAAAACAGGGCCATCCAACATGCCAGCACCTTACTCATGCAAGTCTGGAGAGACTTCCCTCCAGTGTTTTTGTTGTTATCTATTGTCTTTTTTTTTTTTTTTAATGTTGCGGGTTTTTTGGTTTGTTTTTACAAATAAGGTATTCTCTAAATGTTTGGGGAGAAATATTCACTATATAAAAACCGTGCGCAGATAGCAATTTTTTTGTGTCAACACAAACTTGTTTTTGATCCTGTTTTTCCGTGAACTTCGGCAGTACATCGCGTGTACTTCACGCAAGGGAAGCATCGGTATGGGCTGGCTCAACGTTCTGATGCCTTTTCCATCCCTTGCCATGCACCCTCTCCGTGTGGCTAAGTAACCCCCGACAGCAAGGCTGCTTGTACGCAGCAGCCTGTACGCATACAGGAAGTATGGCTTCATACTCTTGACTCTTCTTGGGTATTGAATATCAGTTTCCAAGCATTTGCAACGAATGCTTGATGCCCCCTGGCTGTGCAGTGAGTCTCCATGCTTAGGACTGTTTCAAGAGAGATTATTTTTTTCTCAGGTATGAGATGTCTGAGGTGAAGGGGATCTTGACCTTGCTGGTCACTGTTGAAATCAGCTCGGCCCCTAAAGCCCATCTCGCTGCTTCTCTGCCCGGCTCGATTCAAGGACATAGCCTTGGCCAGAGTCCCACAACCCTCTCAGGCCTCCACATGCGGCAAGGTCCACTTTGATTTCTATTACGCTCAAGGGTTCTTAGGAAGCAGAGGACACTTGAGACAGCAGGACGCCTGGAGGGGACATGACAGATCATAGCAACTGACTCGGGTTAGTCAGGGTGAGATGAGCCAGGGGGATTAAGAAGCGGGTAACAGAAGCGGGGGATTGGTCAAGCGAGGCCCCGTTGCAATTCCAGGCAGGATCCCGCACTGCCTGGTCTGGACAAGGAGTTCTGAGAGGCCTGGAAAGCGAAGCACACAGAACACATGCAATTGGCTGGTGGGGCGTGACTCAAGGTGAATGAGCTCCGGGGTTATTTATAAACAGAGGGCAAGCTGCTGGAAAAGCACCTGCGGCCTCCAGAGACATGGCTCCGTGGCCCCTGGGGAACTATTCAAGGTCAAAAAGGAGATGGGGATGGATGAAGGCCTTGTCCAGGAAGTGGGGCAATGATGTCAGAGCCATGAACTCTGGGTCCAGGGAGACCAGCCAGCTGGCAGGTGAGACAAGGTCTATGCTGGGAGGGACAAGTCAGGCCTTTGGGGAAGGGATGAATTAATAAGTAATCCGCAGTGTAGATGTTGAGTGCTGATCACACACACACACACACACACACACACGAACGGCTCTGCAGAAGGATACAGGGCCGGTTGTTCTCCAAGTCCCTCCGCGCGGCCTCCTTGGAGGCGTTGCGCGTGGCCAGCGGCACGTTCAGGTTCTCATCCACGGGGATCATCGGCAAGGCAGAGCTGTTGACAGCATCCATCCTCTCGAGACGCTCCATGAGTCCACCTTCCTGCAGACTCTGACCTTGTGCTCAGCTGGGTCGGCCTCCTGGAGACCAAGAACAGCCCCTGCACCATCTGCCAAGACAGGAGAGGAAGAGATCTACTGTGCCCACTGCCTAGGAGGGCAAATGGACAGTCACGGGGGTGCCGGGCTGACACGGGTGGGGCTGGGTAGCATGTGAAAGGATTTTGGGGCCTCTGAACAGATTAGCTCACTTGGCTGAGGTCTGCCTGTCTTACCATTCATGTGAAAATTGTTGTAGTTTAGGGGCCGGTGCCACGGCACAGTAGCTTAAACCTTCACTGGTGGTGCTGGCATACCATAAGTGCCGATTCATGTCCCGGCTGCTCCACTTCCCATCCAGCTCCCTGCTTGTGGCCTGAGAAAGCAGCAGATGACAGCCCAAGGCTTAGGGACCTGCACCTGCATTGGACACCTGGAAGAGGTTCCTGGTTCCTGGTTTCAGGTCAGCTCAGTTACAGCTATTCTGGCCACTTAGGGAGTGAATCGGCAAACGGAGGATCTTTCTGTCTCTCTATATAAAACTGCCTTTCCAAAAAAGATTTTAAAAATCTTAAAAAAAAAAAATGAAAGAAAGAAACAGAAAAAGAAAGGAAAAAAAAAACCAGAGAGATTTCAATTAGGTGACCCAAAGACCCTTCCTGCTCTCCGGCTCTGAGTGGAGGCCCTGGCCCCATCTGGGAAGCACAAGGTTCCCCCACACACATGGGCTTTCTGCTCCTGCCCAGTACACTGGCCCCATCCTGGGCCCTTCCCTGGCTTCCTCACCAGCTGTTCCCTGAGTCCTTGGCCTGCTGCTCAGGGTTCAGTGGTCTATTACTACCATCCATGGACTCCCTGTGCTCAGAGCCTCACATCTCAGGCCTCGCTGTAGCAAAGACTGAGAATAAGATCCTGCCCTCCAACCTCATGAGAGAAGAAAGGTCCAGCAGAGGACCTTGGGGACCTGCACCCGCGTGGGAGGCCCAGAGGAGGCTCCTGGCTTCAGTTTGGCTCAGCTCCGGCCATTACAGCTATTTTGGGAGTGAACCAGTGGATGGAAGATCTTTCTCTCTTCCTTTTCTCTATAAATCTAAAAAAAAAAAAATCCAATAAAAATAAATAAATAAATAAATAAGGCTGGTCCAGGCCTAGGTCAGTCCTATTGCCTTCCTGGCTCCTAGTCAAGCCTATATGGGGAGGAGGGAAAGAAATGGCAGGTGTATTTTAAGCCTTTTCACTTTCCTCCTGCCCCCACCCCATATACTGGAAGATGTCATGTCCTCTGGGAAACCGGGCCCACTCATGTCTATGGGGACAACCAAACAACACGCTGCTTAAGCATAATGTTGAAAATATATCCACACTCCCTGCTCAGCTTGTCATCTGCCATTTTAGGATAAAAAAGATAATGAGTTTTTACTGTCACGTGGCCAAGGGAACAGGATGGGAGGCAGGAAAGTAGCTACATTGCAGCAAGCCTGTGCTATTTGCTGGGTGGTGGTAGGGCGTGTGAGTAGAACAAGAAGGCTGGGGCAAGTGCTTGACAGTGAGGTTAAGGTGCCATTGGGGACACCCACTCCCCCTGGCATCATGCCTAGGTTGGAGCCCCAGCTGTGCCCCATTCCAGCTGCCTGCTCATGTACCCTGTGAGGCAGCAAGCAGGTGATGGCTCAAGGGCTTGAGTCCCTGCCACCCACATGGCTCCTGGGCCAGCCCTGACTGCAGTGGGCATCCGAGGAGTGACAGTAAACAAAAGAGCCCCGACTGTCTGTACCTCCATCTTTCCAGTGAAAATAAATCATGGGGGGCCAACGCTGTGGCACAGCCGGTTAAGCTACTTCCTGTCACAACAGCTTACCTTACGGGTACTGGTTCAAGTCTCAGCTGATCCACTTTCTTTTTTTTTTTAAGATTTATTTTTATTATTTTTTTTTTATTGGAAAGGTGGATATACAGAGAGCAGAGACAGAGAAGATCTTCCGTCCGATGATTCACTCCCTAAGTGAGTGCAACGGCCGATGCTACGCCGGTCCGAAGCCAGGAGCCTCTTCCGGGTCTCCCATGCGGGTGCAGGGTCCCAAAGCCTTGGGCCGTCCTCGACTGCTCTCCCGGGCCACAGGCAGGGACCTGGAAGGGAAGCGGGGCTGCTGGGATTAGAACCGGCGCCCATATGGGATCCCGGGCATGCAAGGCGAGGACCTTAACCACTTGCGGCACCACGCCAGGCCCCCTGATCCACTTTCAACCTGGCTCCCTGCTAATGTGTCTGGGACAGCAGCAGGAAATGGCCCAAGTGCTTGGGCCCCTGCACCCATGTGGGGTACCCAGAGGGAGTTCCCGCCTCCTGGTTTCACCCTGGCCCAGACTGACCATTGTGGCCAAATGGGGAGTGAACCAGTAATGCAAGATCTCTACCTAATAAACAAAGGAAATCATTCTAAAAATCAATCCAAAAATATACTTTAAAAGGAAAATCTGCCCTTAGGGAGCACCTGTGCTAGCAGTGAGATTTGAATCTGAAGTTAGACTGTTCCAACATGTCAGCGCAAGCCTGCCTTTGCAGTCCGATTTGTAATTGGTGTAACCTTCAGTCACTCAATGGCCACTGCCAGTCACAGTGCCTCACTCACAGGTGTATGTCTTCTCAGAAGACACGCAACCAACAAAAACACCAATAAACAGCATGATAAATTACTATGAATTATACCAGCTCTAACAGGGGGTACACAGTCCCTGAGAGGACATACCTGTGTGCTTTTCAAAAAGATTTATTTATTTTTATTGGGTCATCAGAGTTACAGAGAGAGACAGAGAGACAAAAAGATCTTCCATCTGCTGGTTCACTCCCCAACTGACCACGGTGGCTGGAACTGAGCTGATCTGAAGCCAGAATCCAGGAGCCTCTTCTAAGTGTCCCATATGGGTGTGCAGGATCCCAAGGACATGGGTCATGCTCCACTGCCCTCGCAGGCTACAAGCAGGGAGCTGGATTAGAAGACGACGACGAAGACAAAGATGAAGAAGGAGATGAAGATGTAGACGAAGAAGAAGAAGAGAGCTGAACATGAACCTGTGCCTGCATGGGATGCCGGTGCCTGAAGGTGCAGAATTATCCCGTTGAGCGTCAACATAGCCCCATGCCCAGATGCTTCAAAGTACCAGAGCTGATTTTCAAAAAGATTTATTTATTTATTTATTTTGAAAGGCAGGTTTACAGAAACAGGATGAGAGTCGGTGGGAGATCATCCATCCACTGGGTCACTCCCTAAACGGCTGGAGCTGAGCCTTTCCTAAACCAGGAGCCAGGAGCTTCTTCCGGGTTTCCCAAGTGAGTGCAGGGACCCAAGGATTTGGGTCAGCCTATGCTGCTTTCCTAGGTGCGTTAGCAGGAAGGGGGAGCAGCTGGGAGCAGTCAAATGGGATGCCGGGGCATGCTATGCCATCATGCCAGCTCAGTAAGAACAGTTTGCAGATCAAGGTATGGAAGGAAGAGATGAAGGGAAGAGCAGACACCTTCCAAATATTAGAGAGGAAGGCTGGGAAGGTAGGAAGAATCTCGATTTGTGCTGTCCATCACAGTAGCCATAGCAGCAATGGCCATAACATCAGCCATAGCAACAGTGGCCACAGCAACAGCTGAGCCCTGGTTATCTCATTAGTGTAACTGAAGAAGTAAAATTTTAGTTATTTTAACTTTTAAAAAACCGAAACAGTGTAAAATTAAAATACTGATTTAAAATGATGTTTTGGCACCTGGCATTGTGGTTTTGTGGGTTACGTTACTGTGTGGGATCTGGCATCACATAAAGGCACCGTTTTGAGCCACGGCTGCTCCTCTTCCCATCCAGGTAACTGTTAATGCCCCTGGGCGAGCAGCAGCAGATGGCTAAAGTGCTTGGGCCCTGGCTGCCTCGTGGGAAACCCCGAAGAAGCTGCCGGCTTTGGCCTGGCCCAACCTCAACTGTTGCAACAACTGGGGAGAGAACCAGTGAATGGAAGACTGGTCTTATCTCTGCAACTCTGCCTTTCATATAAATAAAAATAAATTGTTTTTAAAAAACACGATACTTCGGGTACAGGCTATTAAATACAACATTCTTCAAGTCAATGTCACTACTTAAAGTTTTAACTTTGAAAAAAGTAGTTGGCTATTACAACATTGTAAATGCCACGTGGCTTGCTTTGTGTGTCGGGCAGTGCTAAGCCACAGCCTGCAAATTTGGGTTCCAGGGCACGTCACGTGGTGTGGCTGGAAGAGGACTGTGGAGACAGAACTCCCAAGGTGGGAGACCTGAGACACCCACCAGCCAATGAGGCTGGTCCCACAAGTCACTTGAGACTCGGGTGACAACCCGCGCTCTGAGGACTTGAGGACGCCTGGCTGGGCCCATTTTCCCTGATCGTGGAAGCCGATGGGGGTCCCGGCGCGCGTGGGGAGCCCCAGGCCTGCCCAGAGCAGCGCGCCGGTCTCCGACGCCTGTCCATCTTACCTGAAAGCAAGGTCCCCTCAGGGGACCCTGCAAAGTTCTAGGCAGGCTCCCGACACCGGACACACTCATGTACCAAGAGCTGGTGCCTCTGGCCTCGTGATGAAGGACGCAGACGGGCGGGCAGGCGGCGCCCATTATGCCAAGGCGACCCCCTGTCCGGCGCCGTCACCACCTACAACCTTTCCCACCACAATGCAGCTGCCGCGCAGCTCCTCGGTGTCTGCGAGACGCCGTCCCCATGGTGACGGGTGCTTGGGGACCAAACCAACGCGCTAGAGGGGAGGGTGAGCGTAGTCCCTCTCCTTAACCTATAAGACAGAGCGTGTAAATAACTCCGTACGACGTTTGGTTTGACTACTGAACATATATCTGTAGTCTGAAAGAGTTTCTAGTACTTTTTAAGCCCGTGTTAGCGACCCTCACAGAGCCGGGCATACCCCTGTTTTTTTGATTGTGGTGGAGTCCGAGAGGAGGCTGCGCAGGCGCGTGGCGGACGGCGCGGGTCGGCCTCGGTCTCCTGCAGTTATCCGCCCCCGAGCGCGACCCTGGCGGGAGGGTTGGGGGCGCGCTTGGACCCCAGCCTCTGGGGAGCGTCAGGTAGGTCTGCGAATCCGGCACTGCCGAGCAGGCAGAGGCCTGAGCTCACCCGAGGAGGGTGGATGGAGGCCGGGTCACCCCGACTCTGTCTCGGTGGTGAATGGGGTGGGAAGGGGGCCGCGAAGGGGCCTGAAGTGGGAACGGGCCTGTGTGTGAACGTTACCTGGAGGTCCAGCAGTCCCGGGTGTCCCGCGTCCTTGCAAGACGTGCGCTGGGCTGGCTGAGTGTCTGTGGGGGTCGCGCCGTGGGATCAGACGCCCCCCTCACCTTCGTGTTGGTGTTAGTGGAGGATCACCTGCTGGGTGACCCATGGCAAGCTCTGAGCAGGGGTTAGCGTGACGGGGACACTTATTGAGCAATGTGGGGCCCGAATGCGACCGCTTAGGAACACTGGAGCCTTATGATAACAACCTGTGGATCCGTTAGGAAGAGAGAAGCTCAGCTGCGGGAAAAGCAGATGCTGAGCCCCGCAGAAAAGTAACATACCCTGGGCCTCAGAAGCAGTTTGTTCCTCTGGGACACACCGACAGTCGGAGTTATCTGCAGATTCTTGTTCCATCCCACTTCCCAGGCGAGAGGCCAGACCTGACTTTCTGCTACTGTGGTTAATCCATCAGGGTTGCGAAAAAGCAGATCCCCACTGGGCAGGTTGCCAAGCCACACCCCACAAAGAAGAGCAGCTTTCAGCAGGTGTCCAAGGGGCAGTGTGTCGTGGTGGTCAGATGATGGGTACTTTGGCAAGATCAGCCTGGCTCATTTTTGTTTATTTTTCTTTTTCTAAGAGAGGTTAGATTTACAGAGAGAAGGAGAGACAGGAAGATCTTCCGTATCCCGCGTGGATGAGCCCTCCAGTGCTTTCCCAGGCCGGGAGCAGGGAGCTGGATGACAAGTGAAACAGCGGGAGCTTGAACCAGCACCCATGTGAGATGCCAGAGCCACAGGCAGAGGCTTAATGTGCTACACCACGGTGCTGGCCTCCAGAAATATTTTCTTTCAAGAATTTTATATTGGTACCTTATAGAGTCACCACTCTTGACCATTTTTAGACCTAGAAAATGCCAGCTTCAGGCAGGTCATTCATCCTAGTGTGCCTGCCAGTTTTAACCACTGTGAGCAGTGGGTTGCAGGGTGCTGTCGGCAAATACAGGGGCCGATGGCAGCTGGGCCTCCCGGATGGGACCGGGAACTTTCTGCTGTAGGGCCCAAGGGGCCTGGAAATGACAACGGGCAGGGACAGCTTTGTTGCTCCATGTGGGATCTGTAACTGCTTGGGCTGGACCAGAACCCCTTCCCTGGCTCCCATGTGGCAGGGACCCAGCTACCCGAGGCACCAGCACCTCCTGCTTCCCAAGATGTGTATTGGCAGAAAGCTGGATCAAAAGTGCAGTAGCCGGGGCCAGCACCGTGGAGTAGCTGGCTAAGCCTCCAACTATAGCGGGTGCTGGTTCAAGTCCCAGTAGTTCCATTTCCAATCCAGCTCCCTGCTGGTGACCTGGGAAGGCAGCAAAGGATAGCCCAGACTTGGGAGACCCCTGGCTCCTGGCTCCAACATGGTCCAGCTCCAGCTGTTGCAGCCATTTGGGGAGTGAGCCAGTGGATGGAAGATGCCTCTCTCTCTCTCTCTTGCTCTGCCTTTCAAAATAAGATAGATATTAAAAAACAAAACAAAACAAGATGAGTAGCCAGGACTGGAGGCGGGCACTGTTATGCTGGATTTGGAATCATCCCAAAGGCATCTTAACCGCCGTACCAGCGCGCTCGACGTCTCAGGCTTTGTGACCCTCACCTGGCACATAGGGCACAGAAGAGGAGCTTGTCCAAGGGCGGCTGGGATATGAAATGTGAGACACGGGCCGAGGTCTTAGTGTGCCTGGAACCTGGGGAGCACCTAGTGCGTGGGGGATTTTACCGGGATTTGGTTGCACCTGTTTTGTTTTTTGTGCCCTGACTGGCCTGCCCCAGGACCAGGGCGCCTCGGCCTCTCCCTGCGCAGCCTGAGGATGCCGCTCTTCGGGAACACCTTCAGTCCCAAGAAGACACCACCTCGCAAATCTGCTTCTCTCTCCAACCTGCATTCTGTGAGTGTGGCCCCCACACATGACCCCTGGGATGGGGCGGGGTCCCCGCGGCCATCGTGCAAGGGGGGGCACATTCCGGTGCATAGCAGTGCCACTGCAATAACTGTTTTTGGCATCCCAGGTGCCACCCGCCAGAGGCCTGGAGCAGATGCTCCCACAGCGGCCACCTCTGACCCTGCTCAGGCCGTCAGTCTGACCCTGGGGCGTGTCACGGGTGTTCACAGGCAGCTGTAAACAGCAACCGGATGTGGGTGCCAAGAGAGTTGTAGGTTTTAGGTTCCCCCATCACTATGGGTGCCAGCACCCCAGAGCCAGAGAGGACACACGAGGCCCCTCACAGCCTTGCCTCGGTGTCCTTTCCAGCCCAGGCTCTCCACACAGCCAGCCGGGCCACACCGCCTCTGGGCGCGCCCCTCTCTCTGTCTTCCCTGTTCATGAACTTGAGAGCTACTGATACCTGGACATGGGCCAGGCCCTCTGCTTGGCACTGGCTGGAGAGGTGGATTAAGAAGGGGATGGAGTAGAAGTTTTAATGAAAGAAGAGCACAGGAACTAAGTAGATGGCTATGGAACAATGAAAAGTACTAAGAAGCAAACAAAATGGAGGCCTGAGGTTGGCAGTGGCCAGCTTGGGCACGGAGCTGTCATTCCAGGAGGGCTTCTCGGGGAAGCCTGACCGGGAAGGGCCACAGGCACGTGTGTCCAGAGCCCCCTGCCCTCCTCATGCCGAGGAGAGGCCTGCCCTGGGCTGGGCGTGCTGTGGATCCAGTGAAGAACCAGCGCTGCCACACTCGCCTCTCCCGTGGCACATAGTACATGACAACTGATAACATTTAGGAAGGATTCTTCACTCTTAAGAATTCACAGCATGACTGCTGTTTTCATCGCTGCACGGAGCAGCGCGCCCCTCCCCCTTCTTCAAGTGATGCCTTGTTTTGCATCATTTGATTTTCTGACCTTTTGAAAAACACATTAGGGCCTGGCGCAGTAGCTTAGCAGCGAAAGTCCTCACTTTGCACACACCGGAATCTCATATGGGCACCAGTTTGTATCTCAGTGGCCCCACTTCCCATCCAGCTCTCTGCTTGTGGCCTGGGAAAGCAGTCGAGGACGGCCCAAAGCCTTGGGACCCTGCGTCTGCGTGGGAGACCTGGAGGAGGCTCCTGGCTCCTGGCTTCAGATTGGTGCAGCACCGGTCGCTGTGGCCACTTTGGAGTGAATCAACGGACGGAAGATCTTCCTCTCTGCCTCTCCTCCTCTTTGTATATTTGGGCTTTCCAATAAAAATAAACAAATCTTTTAAAATAAATTAGAAAGAGAAGAAAAGAGTGTTAAAGGTGCCGAGCCAAAGTAAAAGCACAAGTTGTTGGGGAGGAGGAGCAGGAGCCAGGACTGCTGTGCTGCTGCCACCCCTGAGCCAGCACACCTGTCACCCGCAGCTGGATCGGTCGACCCGGGAGGTGGAGCTGGGCCTCGACTATGGAACCCCCACCATGAACCTGGCAGGACAGAGCCTCAAGTTCGAGAACGGCCAGTGGATCACAGGTAGGTTGCCCATCCTGGCTCTTGGTGAAGCGGGATTCTAGAAGGAACCTTTCCCGCTAACCACTGCTTCTGTCCTTCTGGGAAGCAGAGGTTGGTGGTGCAGTGGACCGCAGGGAGGCACAGCGCCTCCGCCGGCGCAACCAACAGCTGGAGGAAGAGAACAATCTCCTGCGGCTGAAAGTGGACATCCTGCTGGACATGGTGAGGAGGCCCGGGCCAGCGGGCAGAGGCTGGGCGGGGTAAGCAGCGGGCGGAGGCTGGGCAGGGTGAGCAGCGGGCGGAGGCTGGGCGGGGTGAGCAGCGGGCGGAGGCTGGGCAGGGTGAGCAGCGGGCGGAGGCTGGGCAGGATGAGCAGCGGGCGGAGGCTGGGCGGGGTGAGCAGCGGGCGGAGGCTGGGCGGGGTGAGCAGTGCGAGGAGGAGCCGAGGAGCCGAGTGCTGATGGCCTGGAGCCGGCCCACACCCAGTAGGCGCTAATCAGTACCTGGCGCCACTTCTTGTGCCTGCTGCAAACCCAGCAGCCCACTGGGCCTGCAGCTGCGCAGGAAGGTGGCTGGGGAGGAAGGGGAGCTGGCACTGCTGGGGCTGAGAGCAGCTGTCTACCTGGCATGATGGCTCAGTGTCTAAATCCTCACCTTGCAAGTGCCAGGATCCCATAAAGGCACCGGTTCATGTCCTGGCTGCTCCACTTCCCTCCCAGCTCCCTACTCATGTCCTGGGAAAGCAGCAGAAGATGGCCCAAAGCCTTGGGACACTTCGCCTGCATGGAAGAGCCATAGAAGCTCCTGGCTCCTGGATTGGTTCAGTTCCAGCTGTTGTGGCCATTTGGGAAATGAACCAACAAACAGAAGGTCTTTCTCTGCCTCTAAAACTGCCTTTCAAAAAAAGAGAAATAAATCTTAAAAAAAAAAAAAAAACTTAAACAGCATGCTCCTGTTTGCTGCTTTATTCCCCAAATGCCCACAACACACAGCAGCTGGTACCAGGCCAGGGCCAAAGCCAAGAGCGACACACTCCATCCAGGCTCCCAAGCGGGTGGCAGGGACCTACTTCCTCGGTCATCCAGCAACCACAGGAAGCTGAAGGCAGGAGTAAGAGTCAGGAACTGAACCCACGTACCCCAACAGGGCACATGGAGACCTTAAATATATATATATATATATTTTTTTTTTAAGACTTATTTATTTGGGGCCTGGCACGGTAACCTAGCTGTTAAATTCCTCACCTTGAATGCGCCGGGATCCCATATGGGTGCCGGTTCTAATCCCAGCAGTCCCGCTTCCCATCTAGCTCCCTGCTTGTTGAGGACAGCCCAAAGCCTTGGGACCCTGCAGCCATGTGGGGAGACCCGGAGGAGGTACGGGCTCTTGGCTTCGAATCAGCATAGCACCGGCCATTTGGTCACTTGGGGAGTGAACCATCAGACGGAAGATCTTCCCCTCTGTCTCTCTTCTCTGTATACCTAACTTTACAATAAAAATAAAAATAAATCTTTAACAACAACAGCAAAAAGACTTATTTATTTGGAATGTGGGGTTATAGAAGGAGAAAGAAATAGCTCTTGTATACAACAATCCTTCTGGTTAGGTTTTTTAAAATAAAGAGGTTGTTACTGAGTTTGAAAGGCAGAGTAAGAGAGACAGAGCTCATCCATCCACTGGCTTCCTCTCCAAACGGCCTCGGTGGCTAAAGCCAAGAGCCTGGAGCCTCATCCTGGTCTCCCACATGGGTGCAGGGGCCCACACGCTTGGGCCATCCTCCACTGCCTTCTCGGGGGCATCAGCAGGCAGCTGGGTCGGAGGTGAAGCAGCCACGTGGGATGCTGGCATTGCAGGTGGCAGCTTCACTCGCTGTGCCACGATGCTGGCAGAAGGCTTTGTCAGGGCCAGACCCACAGGCTGACGTGTGTGCCCCTATCTTGAGCAGCTCTGTCTCCTAAAGGTCATTGAAAACATGAGGAAAGTGGCATGTCCCCAAATCTGCACCGTGCGCTGCAGCTCAGGAGCCACCTTGCTGCCCATGTCCCACCCCACCTGTCCCCTGAGGCCTGCCATCCTCCCCATGGTGTGTACCACCCCTTCCTGGATGAAAGAGATGTGGGCAGACTGCATTTGACTTCTTTTCATCTTTATTTGAGAGACAGGGAGATGGAGTGAAAGCCGTCTGCCATCTGTCAGTTTACTTTGCAAATGCCTGCAGTAGCCAAGGCTGGGGCAGGCTGGGCCAGGAGCCTGGTTTCCCTCCGTGCCAGCACCTAGGGCACATATGATCCGGAAGCTGGGCAGGCAGTGGACCTGGGATTTGAACCCAGGCATTCCGATCAGCGAGGCGGGCATCCCAAGCAGCAGCCACGTGCCCGCCCACAGCCTGAATAGGCTCGGGCTGCTGTGCTCCCGGGCACCAGCCCGTGACGCTCTGCCCACTCACCAAGTGTTTCCGCATCATGGAGGCCAGAGGCCTGAGAAACCCCAGGGGACGTGACCAGTGGCTCGCAGGCCCTTCCTGGCCTCACAGGGCTGGCCTTGGGACCCTCGTAACCGCCCACCGCCTTCCTTCCAGCTCTCAGAGACCACTGCTGAGTCCCACCTCATGGAGAAGGAGCTTGATGAACTGAAGAGTGCGGGCCGGAGGAGGAAGTGAAGGCCCACGGACGTTCAAGGGAGAGCCCGGAGCCCCCCACTGGCCGAGGGGAGGCACTGGCTGAGCAGGTGTTTGGGTTTAGTTTTTATTTTTAGCCAAACTAGTGGACTGGGCCCTGGGACAGGGTATCACACAGGTGGGCCGCTAAGCCCTGCGCCCTGGGCTGGTCAGGGGGACAGGTTCTGGGGAGCAGCCAAGGCCAGGGTGAGGGGTGCTACCGCAGGTCAGGTGGACCTGCACCGCCGAGGGATGCTGTCCCAGAAGCTGACCTCCTGGAGGTGTGCAAGGCTGCTGGCAGGATCAGCCGGAGCTCTCGTCTGCGCCCTCAGCTGGCATCGGCTGTGCCAGTTCTGAAGAGCTGCTCTGTGGGCTCTCTGCTGCCCACACTGCTCTCACCCTGCCTTGAAGACCACATTCCCCCAGGCCCACAGCCTGCTCTGGCTGCAACCTGCCAGCTCGCCCTGCAGACACTATTTTTGTGCTACTTTCCTGTTCACATGACTTCTTTTATATTAAATAGTGACAGATCATGTCTCTGTGGCCAGAGTGACTGAGAGAGGATGCAGGAGCCGCTCGGGGAGCGGATGGAGTCAGACTCTGCTGAGGCTGGAGGATGGTGCCGTCTGCAGGGGCTAGGAGAGCCACGTGCGGGACACAGGGGAGACTGCCTGGTTAGAGCACTCCCCTCACTCCAGTCCCCTGCCCTCCTGCACTCTGAGCCAGGTCCGGTGAGCTGCATTCCTTTGCAAGGCGGAAGCTAGTCTCTGGAGTTGAGCAGTGAAGGTCGGGGCACAGGCCCGTGGCTTAGGGCCTGGAACAACTCCTGTGTTACAAGGGGACCCCTCAGAGTCTGTTGGAAATAGAACTGAAAGATCAGGGTTGTTGAGGTTTTTTTGTTTTTTGTTGCTTTTTTTTTCTATAGAATTTTGTAAAATCTATGATCTTTTGTTTTTAGTACTTATTTAGGGGCAGTGCTGTGGCATAGCGTATTAAGCTACCACCTATAATGATGGCATCCCATACAGGCACCAGTTCCAGTCCTAGCTGCTCCACTTCTGATCCAGCTCCCTGCTAATGGCTGGGACAGCCAAGGATGGCCCAAGTCCTTGGGTGCCTGCACTCATGTGGCAGACTGGAAGAAGCTCCTGGCTCCTGCCTTTGGCCTGGCCCAGCTCTGGCCTTTGCAGCCACTTGGACAGTGAAGCAGCACATGGAAGGCACTCTGCTTCCTTCTCCGCCACCTCCATCTTCCCTTCTTTCTCTGTAATTCTGCCTTTCAAATAAATAAAACCTTAAAAAAAAAAAGTTATTTTGAAGAACAGAGTTACAGAGAGAGAGAGGAGAGACAGGGAGAGAGATCTTTCATCCACTGGTTTATTCCCCAGATGGCCCCGACAGCTGAGCCAGGCTGGAGGCAGGAACTTCTGGATCTCCCACATGGGCAGCAGGTGTCCAAGCACTTGGGTCAGCCTCTGCTGCTTTCCCAGGCACGTCGACAGGGAGCTGGGTTAGCAGAACAGCCCAGACTCTAACCGGTGCCCATAATGACTACTGGCATTGCAGGTGGTGGCTTAACGCACTATTCCACAGCACTGGGCGCACAATAGATTTAAAAAAAATTATTAGGCAGGGAGAAAGAGAAAGCTCCTCCCCTCTCCTGGTTCACTCCCCACACACCCACAACATTCTGGGCTGGACCAGGGCTGCAGCCAGGAGCCAGCAAGTTGTCGTTTGCTGCTTCTGAGTGTGTGCACTGGCAGGAAGCTGGACTTGGGAGCACAGCCGGGACTCGAACCCAGGTATTCCCGCGTGGGACACAGGCATCATGAGCCACGCTATACCCTATGCCAGACACTCCAGTTTTCTCAGAACTCACATTTTCCATGAACTCTGACGACCAGCTCTAGTCCCAGGCTCAGTTCTTGGCACCTGGGCTGTCAGATCCCCTCCGCTCGGCCCCATGCAGCAGGGGCTCCCAGCATGCCCGGGGGCAGGCGACAGAGCTCACCACGGCAGAGACCAGCAAACAGGCAGCAGAGCTCACTGGGGAAGGGGCCCCGGGACTGCCTGGCGAGGGCTGCTGCGTGTGGCCCCTCCAGTGAGTGGGGACGGAAGGCGCCGATGGACAACAGGGCCAGGTGACAAGACAGTCTCTGGTCGCCTAACACAGGAGCCGAGGGTTGACCTGTACCCTTCCAGGCCAGCACCTGTTTCCAGTTAAAGTCAGCTCCGTGTTTAGGTGAGGGAACTGACTCGGTGAGGTGAGTGGTGCCAGTGCTGGGAACTCAGGAACATCCCTGTAAAATTGATGTGGTTGGCCCCTGCCCTTGCTGCCACTGCCGTCCCCAACTTAGGGGTCTGCAGGATGGGCTTGGGGCAGGGGAGCAAGCCGTCATCACATGTGGGCAGGGGGCTACACTCCTCTGGCCGCTGTGGGGGTCGGCAGGAAAGAGGTGACGAGTCGGCGTGCAGGATGTCCTGAAGGGGGGTGCCTCCTCAGTCCCCCCACTTCCTTTGGGATACTGAGGTCCTGTGAAATGCAGCATCCTGGAAGCCTTCTCATAGCTGCAGTACACAGGCAGAGGGCAGCACCGGCTCTCGTGGCTGCTGCCTCCTGCATCACGGCCATCCTGTGCCCAGCATGGCCTGCGAGGTCAGAGGTGCCCTGAGGAGCGCTCCTTCCCGAGACTGAGCCCTGCCAGGCTGACGGGCATGCTCTGTGGGAGACACTTGGGGTTTTTCTAGGCCTCTCAAGCTCACTTCCCAACTCTGAAAGGGGGGCAGTTCTAGGACACAACCCCCAACAAACACCTGCAGGGCTGTTACCTTGGCAGGGGGCGCCACCACGCACTGGCCAGCATGCTTCCTGTCCCCTTGTCCACTGCCCTGAGCCACATCCCCGCAGCGCCGTCTCCTGTGTGCTCTGTTCCCTGTCCTGCATCAGCTCCTTTCTCAGTGTCGATGTTTGTATCACATGAGCTCCAGGATTCCCCTTGCCCCTTGGTAGTCGTGCTCCTTTTGGAAGAGCTGCCCAGCCTTGCACATCCGTTCTGTTTTAAATCATGCGCTGCTCTTCTGAACCTGGAACCGGTAGTTTTCCTGAGACTGCCTTCCACCTCTAGTCTTGCAGCCAGAGCTTTTCCATCCCCCCCTCCCTCAGCGCTGCTCTAGCATTTGAGAAATGTAACATTTGGTACTGGCATTGTGGTGTAACCAGCATCCCCCATGAGCACCAGCTGGACTCCAGTCCAGTTCCCTGCCTGAGAAAGCAGCAGAAGATGGCCCAAGCCGAGAGCACCTGCCACCCCTGTGAGAGACTGGGATGGAGTTCTGGGCTCCTCATTTCTCCCTGGTCCAGCCAGGTGACTGCAGCCATTTGGGGAGTGCACCAGCTGATGGGAGATCTTTCCCTTTTCTCTAACTCTGCCTTTCAATAAAATGAATCATTAAAAACTAACAATTGTGGCCCAGCGTGGTAGCCTAGCGGCTAAAGTCCTCACCTTAAATGTGCTGGGATCCCATATGGGCGTTGATTCTAATCCTGGCAGCCCCGCTTCCCATCCAGCTCCCTGCTTGTGGCCTGGGAAAGCAGTTGAGGACGGCCCAAAGCCTTGGGACCCTGCACCCATGTGGGAGACCTGGAAGAAGTTCCTGGCTCCTGGCTTCAAATCAGCTCAACTCCTCCATTGCCGCCACTTGGGGAGTGAATCAGCAGATGGAAAATCTTTTTCTCTGGATCTTCTCTGTATGTCTGGTTTCCCAATAAAAATAAATAAATCTTAAAAAAGAGAGTAAACCCTAAAAACAAGTTTTGTAACATCCCCCCCAAAAATACAATAGCACATAATTCGCCAGTACACTTGAGGTACTGTGGGCAAATGAGCAAACCCACATCGCTGCCAGCAGGCCCGGGGCCTCCGCACGTCCTCCTCAGCGGGCATCGCTGTCCTGACACCTTGCCACGTGGGTCGGCCTCACATGGTTTTGAGCCTTGGGCACCCGGTTCCCTTTTTGATGTAAAAGGGTACATGAGCTTTGTCCAGTCGGAGGACAGAGCCTGGAGTGGGGTGTGGGATGAACCTGTGGATATAAGCTTCTCTGTTCTGTCTTTCAAATAAATCATAAAAAAAAAAATTAAATCTATGCACATGGAAGTCAGTCAGAAAATTCACACAAAATGCATATTATGAACAATGGAGTTCGACATTTTTGACGCCATCAGACCTTTTATCTTCCCACAAACTTTGGGAGCCCCTTTGTAGTAAAGGAAACCCATCATTCCCCCCCACACCCGGCCGGCATGAAGTGATGAGGGACATACGTGCTTCTTTGTATAATGTGCTGCATGGGTCACTGGCCTGGTGGCCTGATACGGTCCTTTACCCACTGACCCTGGCATCAGACCCCAGGGCTGCACCCTGGGGTGCCCAGCACCCCCTGCAGCAGAGCACAGGACAGGTTCATATCACCCCCACACCCCACTCCCGCACTGACTGCCACAGACAGGGTTAGGGCAGCGTCAAGTCAGCAGCCGGGAACGCCACCCGGGTCTCCCACGTGGGTGCAGCGGCCCAAGGACCTGGAGCACCTGCTCCCTCCTGCCCAGGCGCGTCAACACGGAGCTGAGTGTGCAGCGGGGCGGCCGGGAGGCTGGGACACTTCATCGGGGCTTGTCAGAGTGCGGCCCCAGGGAGGGCCGGCCCAGACCCGGTCTCACAGCCTCCTCACCCCCGCCGCGGCTCCGGCCCCTAGGAGCTGAGGACACGCCCACCAGAGGGCGCCGCTCTCCGGGCCTCCGTACGTCTCGCCTTTCGGAAGAGCCGCTCTGGCCGCCACCGGGCTGCGCTCGCCTTGCCTCTTCCGCTTCCGGTGCCCCCTTTACAGCAATGGCCGCTGCCGCTGCTGCTGCTGCTGCCGGCGCCGGGGAACCCGCGTCCCCGGACGAGTTGCTCCCGAAAGGCGACGCGGAGAAGACGGAAGAGGAGCTAGAAGAGGACGACGATGACGAGGTACTGGGATCCCCGGCGGGCTGCGGGGGGAGGGCCGAGCCGGGCCCCACGGGGCGCCCACAGCCGCGTGTCCTCCGCCCCAGCTGGACGAGACCCTGTCGGAGAGGCTGTGGGGTCTGACCGAGATGTTCCCGGAGAGGGTCCGCTCCGCGGCCGGGGCCACCTTCGATCTCTCCCTCTTCGTGGCCCAGAAAATGTACAGGTAAGGAGGAGGAGCGAGGAGCACGGCGCGGGAGGCGTTGGGAGCCGTGACCTTGGGTCTGCCCGGCGGGGCGGCTGCAGGGTCAGACCTCGGAGAGCGGATCTGCCGGCCCCGACACCCCCCTGTCCCCGCGCGCCTCCCCCAGGTTCTCCAGGGCAGCCCTGTGGATCGGGACCACGTCCTTCATGATCCTGGTGCTGCCCGTGGTCTTTGAGACGGAGAAGTTGCAAATGGAGCAGCAGCAGCAGCTGCAGCAGCGGCAGGTGAGCCCAGCCCTGCAGGGCGGCGTGGAGTGGGACGCGGGGGGCACTCGCCCCATCCGCTCCCCGGGCTTCTGACGCTCTGCTTTTCCTCCCAGATCCTTCTAGGGCCCAACACGGGGCTGTCAGGAGGAATGCCCGGGGCCTTACCCTCACTTCCTGGGAAGATCTAGATGTTACCACCCCGTTGGAGTTTGGTGGGCGAAGTCTGAAATGCAAATGTTTGGACTGCTGGGTTTTTTTCTTGTAAACTCTAGCCCCTCTAACCCTGGTGAGGGTTCCCCACCGTGGGGTCCCCTAGAGACCCCCGACTTGCAGCTGCGCCCCGCCACGGACCACACCTGTTCTGTCTTCACTCTGGTAGTGGAATGCGGCCTCGCATACGGTTACCCCGATGCCACTGTTCCCACCGGGCTGCCATCCTGCGCCCTCATGGGGTGGGAGAGCAGGCCAGTGGGCTGGAGGGACACTTCGCCCACTGGTGACGGTTCTGAACACCGGCCAGCTGCAAAGTGGCCCCGAGAGCCCCGCCTGTGCGTGTGGGGGACGAGCGGCCGTGTCTCTTCCGCACATTGGCTGTTAGATCTGTGCGTGTAAAAACAGTCAGTGCTCTGTTTTTGTATTTAAATATTAAAAACGATTCCAACCCACTGTCCTTCACCTTTAAATCGCTGAAAGTTCTGGAATATCCAGGGTACCGGCTGCCCTTCGTGTGTAAGCTCACCTAAGCTAGGACCATAGATTGACTTCTTGGGTTTTTAAGGTTTACTTTTAGACCCAGCACGGTGGCCCAGCAGCTAATGTCCTCTCCTTAAACACGCTGGATCCCATAGGTTTTGGTTCTAATCCCGGCTGCTCCACTTCCCATCCAGCTCCCTGCTTGTGGCCTGGGAAAGCAGTTGAGGACAGCCCAAAGCCTTGGGACCCTGCACCCATGTGGGAGACCTGGAGGAAGTTCCTGGCTCCTGGCTTCAGATTGGCACAGCACCGGCCATTGCGGCCACTTAGGGAGTGAACCATTGGACAGAAGATCTCCCTGTCTCTCCTCCTCTCTATATATCTAACTTTGCAATAAAAAATAAATAAATCTTTAAAAAAAAGATTTACTTTTATTGGAAAGGCAGATTTACCAGAGAAGGAAAGACGGGAAGATGGCCACAGTGACTCAAGCTGAGCTGATCCAAAGCCAGGAGCTTCTTCCAGTTCTCCCACGGCTTTGGGCTGTCCTCCACTGTTTTCCCAGGCCACAGGCAGGGAGGTGGATGAGAAGTGGAGCAACCAGGACACGACCCAGCACCCATATGAGATCCTGGCTCATGCAAGATAAGGATTTAGCCACTAGGCTATTGTGCCAGGCCCTGATCAACCACTTAAGTTACTTAAGTTCATTTTGGACCAAGCACAATTCTTAAAATTAATTTGAAAGGTAATTAGATTGGGAGAGGACTTGTAGCTGCTGGTTCGCATGCTGAATGGCTGGGCTGGCCAGTACTGGGTGAGCTGAACCCAGGCTCCACAAACTCCATCTAGGTCTTCCAGGGTGGGCGGCAGGGCCGATGGCTGAGTCACCTTCCACCACCCCCAGGCGTGTTCACCGGGAGCTGAATCAGAAGCAGAGCAGCCTGCATACCATCCCCCCATGTGGTATGTTGGAGCCCCAGGCACCGACCCCAGCCTCAGTCATGGTCAATTCCAGCCGTGAGTCAAGGTTCACCAACCTAAAGCGCCAGGTCTTGAGTCCACGGTGACAATACAGGCTCAGTGTTTGTGGGGGAACAGCTCATTTCCAGTGGCAGAGACGAGGGGGCTGCCTGCAAATACAGCTGCTTTGTGACCTCGTTTTTTGGGACACAGAGCAAGCCCCAGGTGCTGTTTCAGTCGCAGATGACAACAGCCTGCCCAGGGTCTCCATCACTAGGCCAAGCACCCACCCACTTCTTCTACAACGTGCTTATTGACCCTTGTGGTCACTCCTAAGCCTCTGCAGGGTTACTAAGCTCAACACTACACCACCTGGAGTGGGTAAGTGCTGGACCTGGGTCACATCCAGGCCATCCTGTCACGGACCATGGCAGGGCTGAGGCTGTGCGAGTTCTGGCAAGGGGAGCACTTGACCCTTAGCCCTGTGGTGTGTGTGCCTGTGTAGTGGGTGGGTTCTTCCACCTGGCAGGCTGCACTATTGTAAGTTACAGTAAATGAACGGCGAGCACTCACAGGGACCCTCAGCATGGTAGCAGTGTGTCTCAAAGGTGACATGAGAGGTGGTAATGAATTTTCTTTTTGAGTGGCATCAAGCTGGTTTTTTTCTCTTTACATGATTATAGAATTCAAGCAAAGTTTATGTAGTTTTCCATGTTTAATATTTGGTTAAACAAAATACATCTTCTGTAAACAAACCCAGCACAAGGCCAACAACAACAAAAAAAATTAGGGAACAAAAGCAAGAAAAACGAAGCCTCGAGCTGCCCCCCCACCGGGCATTGGGTCAGGCCTCCCTCCCTCCCCAGAAGTGGGCCTGCTGCCCTGGGGCCTCAGCCTGGGTCCCCGTTCCTAAGCACCAGGATAGGATGTGAACAGGGAAAACTGGCCCTGAACTGTCGAAGTATCTGCATCTCCCACTGGCTCAAGGGCTCGGCGTGCGAGGGGCTCCAAGCCAGGCAGATGTGCACAGCCCAGGTGGGTGTGCGCAGCCTGGGCAGATGTGTGGAGGAGTTGTTCCCCCTTTCCAAGAAATGGCTTTCCATGGTGCCCAGGGCCCCACAGTCTGGCTTGTGACAAGCAGCAGGGTGGGCTGTCATTCTGGCTGGCGGTGGCTGGAATGTCGTGGTGCAGGGGAGGGGTGCCCTGGGGTGCCAGGCAGGTCAGCAGATGGGACTGCAGCCAGTGATGCGACCGCTGCTCGGCAGCTTCTGGCACTCAGCATCGGACACAGCCAGGAGGCGCATGTGCAGACAAAGTGCTGGTGTGGACATGCACTCGGGTCCTGGGGAAGCCATAGCCTCGGCCCGCTGAGCTTGCTTGTGATGGGCACGCGAGCCTTTGCAGGCAGGCAGGCCAGCCGGCAGGTGGAACAGCTCTCAGGCTGCTGAGACGGCCAAGTGCCTTGAGGCCACGGTAAGCATGTGGGCGGCAATGTGGGCTGCACTGATTCCCTCTCTTTACTTTCCAAAGTTACAGAGGAGTAACTGTCAGGATGTGGGGCTGTTTTGACACCCGTGACCACCCATCCCGAAGCCAAGGCCTCTCATGACAGCAGCTCAGCCTCAAAGGCTCTGCTTTCCACTCAACTCCCAAACCAGTGGGACCTCATGCTGGAGTGGGCTGACTGGGAAAGCTGCTTTTGTCCCAGAGCCTCTTAACTCAGTGTGGTGAAAGGGCAGGGACCAAACAGGAGTGCAGCCAGATCCCGCCTCTCCCAGCTGGCTCCTGCCACATCCTCTCAGGTTCTCACCTGTAACACTGCACAGCTTACCCGCTGGCTTGGAATCTTGGTGAACTTCTTATAAAGCTCCAACTCCCCTTAGGGTGGGGGCACAGGGCGGTGGTAAGGGTGGGTGGTGGCAGGTGGGCCACCGGTGGGGTTTGGAGATGGTTTCCTGAGAGACCCTAACGCTCCGGCTCCTTGGAGCCAGTTCCACGGCTGTGCATTCCTGCATCTCAGAGCCGCTGGTGCTGCGGCAAAGGGAGGGAAGAGGCGACGTCAACAACAGGGCCTTCGTCCCGTCCGTCCATCAGCATGCTTGGGTCCACCTGCCTTTCCAGGGGCGGACAACGCCAGGCGTTTCTGGGAACCTCCACATGCTGCTCTTATTGCACTGCCAAATCTGAGGGAAGACACCCTGGTGAGATGTTTGGAAAGTGGCAAGGGCGGCCCCGTGGTGAGCGCAGGCCGCAGCACACCACAGAGGGCTGCAGGGTAGAGGCGAGCGCAAGGCGCAGTGGGATGTTACGCATCAGCCCTCCAGCTCTGACGGGCCTCCACCTCTTCTGGGACCACCAGCAAAAGTTCACAGTTCTTCCCTCGCAGGTGATGCCTCAGAAACTTCCTGGGGGAAGAGGAGCAGACAAGTGGGAGAGTGACATGCTGGGGGACTGTAAATTCCAGTTTTGGGGCCCTGGTCCTCTAGCATCCGCCCTGTGCCTCTGGCAGCCCTGGGGCACCCCAGTCACCATCGCCTGGCTACCCCCAAGTCCCGCCTGAAGCCTGCCCTGCTCCACACGCCCCATCTGGTAACTGTAGCTCCTAAAGCTCTCGAAAATAGTCCAATCGCTCATTTTCTCTTCCCTGTTCCCCAGAGACATCTGACCCTCCAGCATCAAGCCTGCCCTCCCTTTTCCAGAAAGGGCAGTGATAACCAAGGGACCCCAGAGCCAGCATCCCTGGAGGACCACCGTCCAGGCAGCCCATGGGAGGGGAAAGGCCTTCCTGGCCCAAGACCCTGTGTAGGGGACCAGAGCGAAATGCCTTTAACTTCCTTCATCCAGAAGCCAGCCCACGCTCCCCTCGCCCAGCGCCACAGTCCCAGCAGGCAGGGGATTACCTGAGCTCGCTCTCGCCTCCGATCCACTCGGGTGCCTTGAGTTTTGAGTCGAGGTTGTAGTAGGCCCCGCCCACCTCCCGCACACAGATCCAGTGCTGCCTTTTGAGGGGCAGTTTCAGTGGACCCCAGCACAGGCTGGAGGGCAGATTCATGATGAAGCCCATGACATTGGTGAGGGCGATGACGCCGACATCCCTATGGAAAAGAAACATCAGGCCTGAGCCAGGGTCCCCATGTGGAGGGCTGGACACGGCCAGCCGTCTCCCCACCCAGGCCAGGGGCCGCCCCCCCATGGAGGCCAGACATGACCGGGCATCTCCGCACCCAGGCCAGAGGCCTCCAGGAGGATTGGCACTGCCCGCTGCAGCCCTGACCCAGGCTGAGCCAGGTACACGTTACCTGCGCTTGTCCCACCACACGGCCTCATAGCCTTTGGTCTGAAGTGCTGCCATGATGACGTTCACGTCATAGTTCCCATTGCCCAGCATGCTCTTCTTGTGGGGTGTCACCATGGTGTTCGGAGACAACCTATAGGTGTGGGGAGAGGTGAGCTAAGACGTGGGTCTGCCCGGGAGCCTTCATTCCCTCGTGGGGCACTCAACACCCAAGCCAGACAATGCCACAAGAGCCCAATCCAGCACAACCTTGCCAGTTTGTTGAAAAACATTTAGTTTATTTGAAAGAGAAAGCTCTCCAATGCACTGGTTCACTCCCCACATTGCCCACAACAGCCGATGAGTCAGGCCAAAGCCAGACCCTGGCTCTCCCACACGGGGTGCCAGCGACTCAGGGACTCGGGTCCCCGCGCCATCGCTTGTCGCCTCCTGAGATGTGCATAGCAGGGAACTGGGACCAAGCAGCTTCCTAGCTATTAGAGTGACAGCCTGCCCAGTCTCCCGTTTCTGCTTCAGTGTGTAGTCTGGGCTCCTGCCCTGGAGAACCACCTGTCTAACACAGACTAGCAGCTCCGTGGCGGTGGGACCCATGGGCCTGCCAGTGGAAGCAGTGTCACCGCTGCTGGCCTGACACAAGCCTTTCATAAACACTCACTATTTGCTATTCTCACTTGCTTAGACAGTAACTACTGTTACTTCTGTTTTTTACATTTGGAGTGCTATTTTTTAAGTGCAATTCTTTATTTGAAAGTCAGAGGAAAAGGACAGTGAGAGGAGACACCCGCCTGCTGGCTCACTCCCAGGTGAAGCGGCCCCACCTGCAGCAACCAGACCCAGTGAGGCTGAGGCTGGGAACCAGGACTTTATCTGGATCTCCCATGTGGATGCAGGGGACCAAGCACCTTGGCCATCCACTGCTGCTTTCCCCAGACCGTCAGCATGGAGGCAGATGGAAATGCAACAGCCAGAACATGACCAGAGCGCCTATGGAATACCAATATGGCAGGCGGCAGTGGAGTTACTAAGGCACAACTGGTCACTTCTTTAGTCATTATGTAAGGGCACCATACTTGGCAATCATTAACCAATAAATACTGTATAAAGTTAAACGGGGTTCAAGCATAAACTGAGGTCATATGCAAACTGGAGTGTAAGATCATCTTAAAGGCACTCCAAGTGTGTGTTGGGGGTGTACTTGAACAAAATTTAAATATGCACACAAAAAATCAACTCTAGAAAACTTGTGGGGGTCCAGCGTGGTAACCTGGTGGCTGAGGTCCTCACATGCACTGGGATCCCATATATGGGCACTGGTTCATATCCCGGCAGCTCCACTTCCCATCCAACTTTGTATTGTGGCCTGGGAAAGCAGTCGAGGACAGCCCAAGGCCTTGGGATCCTGCACCCATGTGGGAGACCTGGAAGAAGTTTCTGGCTCCTGGCTTCAGATTGGCTCAGGTCTGGCCGTTGCGGTCGCTTGGGGAATAGGTCATTGAACTGAAGCTCTTCCTCTTTGTCTTTCCTTCTCTGTATATCTGACTTTGCAATAAAAATGGGTGAATCTTCAAAAACAAAATCTTAAAAAAAAGGGGGGGGGCCAGCATTATAGTGTAGCGATTAAAGTCCTCGCCTTGAACACACCGGGATCCCAAACGGGCCTCGCTTGGAGCTCCCTGTTTGTGGCCTGGGAATGCAGCTGAGGACAGCCCAAGACCTGGGAACCCTGCACTCTCGTTGGAGACCTGGAAGTGTCTCCTGGCTTTGGATTGGCTCCGAAGCCTCCTGGCTCAGCTCCAGCTGTTGTGCCCGCTTAGGGAGTGAACCATCGGACGGAAGGTCTTTCCTTTTCTATCTCTCCTCCTCTCTGTATATATCTGACTTTCCAATAAAATAATATATATCTTTTTTTTTTTTTTTAAGAAAGAAAACTTCTGGAGTTAGCATGACAGCTCAGCTGGGCTATCCACACCTTATAGCGCCAATATCCAATATGGGCTCCAGTTCATGTCCTGGCTGTTCAACTTCCCATCCAGCTATCTGCTTGTGTGACCTGAAAAGGCAGCAGAGAATGGTCCAAAACCTTGGGGCCTTACACTTGTGTGGGAGACCCAGAGAAGCTCCTGGTTCCTGGCTTCAGATAGGCTCAGTTCCAGCCACTGCAGCCACTTGGGGAGTGAACCAGCAGATGGAAGATCTTGCTATATCTCCTTCTCTCTGTGACTCTGCCTTTCTAATAAAAAAAAAATTAGAAACAGAAACAAACAAACAAACAAAAAAGCAAACCTTCTGTGCCAGCCAAAGTCCAGCTGCAGGCCTGGTTTGCCCAGCCCTCTGTGGACAGCCCACTTCAAGATCAATGCTGAGGCATCCCCAGGGGACTGGCCCCAGGACCCTGGGATGCCCTTAGGCCTCTCAGAGAAAACAGCAACTGCATGTTTGCAGGGAACCTAGCTTATACTATAAATAACATCTGGTACAATGTCGCCACCATATAAACAGTGACTGTGTTGTATTGTTGAGGGAATAATGCAAGAAGGCCTGCTTGCATGCAGTACGGATGCAGCTCCCCTGCCAGCATGGAATCTCTGGCCCCCAGGCGCTGATGCACCTGCTGGGGCAAGACTGGCCTTCCCAGGTGCATCAGGACTGCACCAGGCCGGGAGCCGAGGAAGGCTGCCCTGCAGGAAGTGAGCACCCAGAGCTGCTCATGTGAGGAGCAGGAAGGGAAGTGGGGCAACCTCCTCAGGTCAGGCACAGACCGGAGGTTGAGGAGGCCAATGTGAAACCTCCTCCACACACACCAACCCTGCCGGTATTCAGACAGGCTTCCCCACTGCCTTGCAGCTCCGGCCACGGACCCCAAACTCTCAGCAGTCTCCAGGTCCCCCTCTCCTCCAACCTCCTGCCACATCAGCCTCTCTCCCGTCCCTTGAACACACGAAGCTGTTCCTCACGCTGCACTCGTTGTTTCCTGTTTGTCTGGAATGTTCTTTCCCTAGCAGAGGGGAGGAACCTTCTCTTTGCCAAGGCCATCTGGGTATCTGTTAACACTATTCCCAGGCTGCACAAAATGATCCACCTTTACGTCAGCACTACGACCGACCGGCTTTGGAGCCCCGCCTGTGGCTGGGGTCACCCTGCTTTCATCTGGGCCTCAGCTCACTGCTGTCACCCCCATCTGCTCTGCCCTCAGCCCCCAAGCTGCTCCTAGTCACCTTCTCTGTGTCAGCCTGCCTCAAGGACAGCCCATGTCGCTGTCTCCTCCAGCACATCCAGCAGGGCCCCGAGAGCTGGGCGAGGACAGGGACACGAGGAAGGCATGCCTAAAGTCCTTGTGCTCATTTCTGACATGCTCCCTTTCCCCATACACATTAGGGTTGACACTCTTGTTTCTAGAGAAGACATGGAGTATCCAAACAGGCCCTCTGCATCCCAACCCTGTAGCAGCGAGTGCTCCCTGAACACCTGCCTGCCAGGCAGTACACAGGTGCTTCCCTCCATCTCTCGCCCCATCCCCATGCCAAGCCCCTGGGGTATCAGTTTCAGTTTTACAGGCGAGAACTGAGGTTTGCTGATTTTCACCAACTGGCCTATGAACTACTAGAAGCAACATGTGCTATGACAGCCGCGACACTGGCATCCCACACTAGAGTGCCAGTCATCCCATTTCTGATCCAGCTCCCTGCAAATGTGCCTGGGGAGGTAGCAGAAGACAGCCCAGCTTCTGGGACCCATGCCACCCCAGAAGGAGACCAGGATGGAACTCCAGCCTCTTGGCTTCAGCCCAGCTCAGCCCTGGCCACATGGGAAGTGAGGCAGAGAATGGAAGGATTTCTTTCTTTGTCTCGCCCTCCCACTCTATCACTACTTTTTGAGTAAGTAAAATTTTTCCTTCTTTCTTTAAGATTAATTTTTATTTGAAAGGCAGATTTGTAGGGAGAAGGAGAGACAAGATCTTCTGTCCACTGGTTTATTCCCCAAGCAGCCGCAATGGCCAGAGCTAAGCCGATCTGAAGGCAGGAGTCAGGAGCTCCTTCTGGGTCTCCCACACAATTGTAAGGTCTCGAAGCTTTGGACCATCCTGCACTGCTTTTTCAGGTCATATAAGCAGGGAACTGGATGAGAAGTAGAGCAGCTAGGACACAAACCAGTGCCCAGATGGCACTTCCACATGTGCATGGAGAGGACTAGCAAACAGTCATCACATCGGGCCCAGTAAAATCAATTTTGTAAAGGGCAAGCTTATACTATACAGCTCATACAGCGACGGAAGCAGTCTGGGTTCTGTACCAAGAACTGGAGGCAGGGCTGCTGCCAGGACAGGCCAGCTAAGCCCCTGCCACTCTGCCGGGCCCTCAGATCACATGAGGAAGCACCAAGGGAGCTCATGCCAAGGGTGCCTCCCGGGCACCCTCATGCCAAGTGATGTCTTCACTCAACTCCGACAAGGATGAAGCAGGGTCTCGCAGCCATCACTCCCTGCTGGGCACCGCCCTCCCCCGTGTGTGCCTCAGGCTGGTTAACAGAGTGCAGAGGGCACACACGGACTGCAGGAAGTGATGCGTGCACAGGAATCCAATAGGAAAGGGAGGGCTAGAGGCACTGTGGCTCCTGGACACAGAGACCTCAGAAACCTCTTCCTGGGGGTGTACGACACAGGACTGGAGACCCCCTTCCCGCTCCCTCACCTGCCAGTCAGAAACACCCCTTCCTGCTTTCTCCCTCAGCCTCCGTCCTGACTGCAAGCCCTCCATCTCACACCTGGGCGTCTGATACAGGTGCCTGATCTTCCAGACTCCTCTCAAGCCAGTATGGCTCAGATGTCCCTGCCACAACCCACAGATCGTTCCATGGCATCATGGAAGAGCTGGTGGTGGAGCCGATTCCCACCCTCCCCAAATGCCCTTCTCACCCTGCTGTTGTGGGAACCATGACTACACTGCCTGCGGTGTTGTGGGCCAGTGGGTAAAGTAGCCACTTGCAACACCAGCACTGATCTTAGCTGCTCCATTTTCACTTGCAGCCCCCTGTAATGGGCTAGAACAGCAGCCAGTGCTTAGGCGCCTGCATCCACGTGGGAGACCCAGAAGAAGCTCCTGGCCAGCCCTGCGGCCAGCTGGGGAGTGAACCAGC